TTCACACTGAAGCATCTGAGGGCTCCACACCGGTGTCTCTCAGGGCCACATACCGGCATCTCTGAGGGCCCCATACCGGCGTCTCCGAGGGTCCACATCTGGCGGGCACCCATCAGCGACTGAAGGTCCCACACTGTCGACTCTGAGAGCCCCATCTGCGTCTGGGAGCACCATGCCGTCTCTAAGAACCACAGCGGCTCCTCCGTACGAAAGATGGGCGTCTGCATGCCAAAGGGGAGCGGTTCTGAGACAGTAGGGCACCTACGTGCAATAGCGGGGCGCCTATGAAGCCCATAGGGGCGCCTCAATGCGAAAGAGGGGCGCCTCTGAGGCCTGCATATACGGGCGTCCACATGCAATAGATGTCTGCACTGCAATTGATCAATGCCATGGGGGTGCATTCATAAGAAACAGGGGCGCCGGCATGGCAAAGAGAGGCGCCTTCAAGTGTCCATAAAAGATAGACGCCTATGATAAGCGCACATTGTATGCGACAACGGGGCGACTGTGGGACATATAGGGATGTCTCTGATGGCTATACATAGGGCGCTTATATGCCAAAGAGGGCGCCTATGAAGCTAATGGGGGCACCTGGGAAACGAGGAAGACATTTGTGTAAGGGTTTTCAGGGGTCATGCGCCGTTTGCGGCAAATAGATTCTAAAAAAAAAAAATCGGAGGGGGAATAAGTTTTAAAAAAGGTGCGGACTTTCCGCACTGTTCGCTTAAAAGCAGTTACGCCCCTGGGTACATCTGCCCGATCTCAGAAGCTAGATTTGGAGGTCATACTTGAAAGCAGCCAGCAGGACGAGGCAAAAGTTGGAGGCCCCTGAAAATAGGAGGCCCCCTGGAAAAGGAGGCCCCTTGACAGGGTGGCCCACCCACTTTTCATGACGTTCCTACGCCCGTGGTTTTACCCAAGGCGTTCTACCTTTACACAGCAAAAATAATAATGTTACGCCATTTTGAATTTTCATCAAATGAATCACACATCTTTTTGTTTTTTCTGCTGATTTGTCAGGGTTCTCACGCTGAAAATACCTCTTTGTAGTCTGTAACTGTGCTGCAGGTAATAATGTTGAGGGTTTTCGATGGCGCAGCTGTGACAATTAATACGCATTATCTTTGGTCAGATCTTTGGTAGCGCGAGAAGTTTTCCGCGTGGTGTATTTTTTGCAGGTATCTCCATCTTCCTAGTTACCGTGTATTTTCCTTAATTTTTAAAAATAAATATTGATATTTATGGTGCCTGGGTACTGTATCGATTTGGTCCATGGCATTCAATCACATCACAGCTTCATACAACTTGATACCAACTTGGACCAAACAAATGACAGCGCAAATGTTGTCAAATGTTATCTTAGCATAAAAGCTCAACTGTTCCTCTCTCGTTGTCTTGCAAAAATATCATAACTGCACCATTGATGTTCACAACCAGACGAAAAAATACAGGCTATACTGAATATGTGCGGCGTAATACTAATGGCTATGGCTGGATTGCGCCGAAAATGTCAGTGCATGTCCGGTGTAACTTCTCATGCGCCAAATTCAGCGCATGGTGGCGGCTGAATTTTTTGGGGAAGGGCAGCTGAATATTTTTTCCTGGCGAAAAACGGTCACCAAATTTAGTCAGCATGCTGGTCAATCTAGCAGCAGATCCACCCTGTGGGTGGCTCTGGACTCTGGAGAGGTTTCGGTGCGGGATGTCCCGCCCTGGTTGTTGCATGCAGCGTGAACTAGTGAGCCACCCTGAGTCTACTCAGTGGAGGAGTGGCCACCCAGGTGAGCCCTCAACCTTCGGCATGGAGATGGTAAGTACGGAAGACCTTGTTGAACAACATCGCCAAGTGACTTTAACCCTATTCCTGGCGGGGGGCCTCAGGAGCCCCCCCCCCCCTGAGGTTTTTGGTTATTTCTCCCAAACGCTTTGAGCTAGGAAGCTCAAATTTTCTGACTTTTCTCAAAAGGCTTTTACGCAACATTTCTAAGAATTTTGAGTTGATCTGACCTCAGGTCAGGTCACCAGAGGCGGTTTAGTGACCATACCTCAGAAAAATTTGAAATCACGCCAGAGCTAGAGTTTTTGACCGATTAGTTTCTTCTCTTCAGGCTTTAGTTAAGGTACCAGTATGTGCAATTGGTATATCTCAGAATTTTCATATCTGTGACCTGAGGTCAGGCCAGACTCGTGACCTTTACATTGAGAGCCTATGGGAAAATATTGAAACACCTCCTGCTTCGTGTAAACGAGTCAAAACCACCCAATTCTTTCAGTATTATGGAAGATTATCTCATCGGTGATGATCCTGGTGCCGCTAATTGACAGGGGCACCGGCAAAGGTCATCTGAGGTCATGTGACGTCATAAATCGTTTTTCTGTCAACAAATCACGACATGATGGTGCTAAAGACTTGTAAGTGGTACCAAACTGCTCGCCTGGTCAAGGCGCGTCGTTTGGTATGCAGCATGACCATACCCCACAACCTCATTGATGAATGACCTGACCTTGACCTCAGGTCAAATTTCAAATTGACCTGTGAAGGTCATCACATACTTATTTCGCATCGCCTCGGCGAGAGCAACAAAAAATGTATTGGTTTTATGTCTCTATGTTTCTTAGTTTAAAAGTTATATAGGTAACTAATTCCAAAACATTTTATCGTTGATGACCTCTGGTGACCTCAATATTGACCTGCCCTTAAAATGTTTTATGTAAAAGTTATAGATCTTTATACGACCTATCAAACGCCGTTCGCCGTTTGTCGCTGCGATGTGTAGTTTTTGAGATCTGAAGGGGGGCCGAACCGGCCCCCCCCCCCCGCCAGTTTCTTGTCCCGGCGGAGCCCGCCAGGAATAGGGTTAAGTAATACTGCGGTGGGCTCCTACCCACTTTGGTATTGACTATTGAGGGGAATGAGAGCGCGGACGACCTGGCGAAACAAGCGGCCGGCCTGCCCTCATACGCCCGCTCGCTGACCGGGGTGGTTCATTGCGCGGCCTGGCCTCGCATCAATGGCGCGACAATTGGTGCGGGTCACTATTTAAGCCACTCCTCGGGAGCACGACGCCGCTCCCTATCCCCGGAGAGGACCGATAGGACGCCGTTTCGTTGCACCAGATGAGGGCGGGCCACTGGGACCGCTCGCAACAGTACGTGCCCCCCCCCCCCCCCCCGAATCGGCTGTCTTCGGCGTGCCAACAGTGCCCAGACAAGCGGCGCTCTGCGCTGCGCCGTGTGCAGAGAAGAGGCTGATGTGCCGCACTGCCAGAGCACGCGCTGCTCCGCTGTCCGGCCCTCGCTGGCTCCCGCCAGCCTCGAACACACTGCTTCGCTAATTTTTATGGCCCCGGAACTTCTGGCTCTGACCTTGTTTCACGGCACGACGCTACAGTGCGCTAATTAGTGTTTTGAGGTTTTAGGTTTCCGTGGAAAAAGTTTATTCGGGCGCTCAAACATAGGGAGCGTCCAAGGCCCCGGAATGTTCTGTCTGGTTGATATAGCCTTGATCGGTAGATGTGCACATGTGCTTTATATAAAAGTGGTTCAATTTTGGCATAAATAGGCACCCACTTTTTGACGCAAATCATGCAGAAATTTCAGCGTAAAATCGGCGCAAGAGGGTCTCACAGGCGTCCGGCGTAGTGTATGGATGTTTTCCAGTCTGGGTTCACAATAATACCAGGGTAAAATAGATTGATGGGTGAAGTACCAGTCTATCAGACTGCAAAACGTGGTTTGCGGCTTACGCACACCCGATGTGCGGGAAGTTTGATGGGAGTGCTTCCCTGGCAAGTAGGAGTGCACGCCTGTGTCCATAATTTGCATGCGTGGCACATGGCATTTCAAGTTCAAGCTTACATGCCCCGCACAAGCACAATGGTATTGATCACTGGGCACTGTAGTGTAGACTTGCCGGGCGGCATTGAAAAAGTGTCTCAGTGAGCAACACATATGTATATGATATGATATAAACTTAGTCAATCAGTGATGTCTTTCGTAGATAACCTAACCATCTTACTTATATCAGGGCAGGGTTTCCAATGCGCATGACTGACTAAGACTCGGCTGGTGACCATCGGTTGACATTTTTTTAATACTTGTTTGAGTAAGTTTCTGGGCCGCTAACTACTTGAGCATTCGTTTGAGTATTTGGGAACTATTTTTTGGGAATATATACAATGTGATGGAGGAAATATTGGCCTACACCTAACCTACCCCAAATGTACGAGTACACATGGCATTTTCCCAAAAACTAGTGTGGAATTCAGAATCAGCCACCAGGATCCCAAAATACCCTCAAGAAGACTCATCTGCTTCATTTCAAAGTTCAAGGAACTAGCAGGTTCCAAGTTCCGTGATGAATAGGTTATTGACCAGACCTGGAAGGTCAGTGAATGATCTAAGATCTCAAAATCGGTTGGCATTTGCTTCCTCTGGTCACAAGGAATACATTCTCTTTATCAGCGAGGCTCCATCTCGATCAAAGGTCGAGCGGCTGGAAGGAGTGCGCCCGACCGAACTGAGATCCGCCATCCGACAGAGGTTCCTGTAAGCAGCGGTGAAAACGCCTGCTTTGTGGCAACCGTAGTGAACTGTCGCACATTTGATCCCAATTAACAGCGCTGAGCGCTGTCACAAATATCAGTAGTTGGGCCACTTCAACGACGTCCGTCCACATATTTCGCGTTTGTTTCATTCAAGTGGGAGCTTTCCCGGCAAGCATGCCATGATTTGTCATTGTATGCCTGCATGCCTGGACTGCGCCTTTTACACCTGATAGTTTACTACATGTCAGAGTGAGGCTAGCGGAGGCCCCGTGCACGCCCAAGATCTCGTCGAAACCTGACATTCTTTGCAGTCTGCCAGATGAAGTGAAGAATATATAGTTTGAAGAATGTTATTCTCTTTGTCTATTTTCTCAAAATATTTTGTTTGCTCTCTTCATGCTACAAACATCAGAGACAGAGTTATGAATGGATGACAGTGTTCTGTAATTTCAGATCATTTTGGATCACAATTTCAATCGCCCACCATGGTTGGAGGCGGAGCTGTCATCGTTTTGTCATTCTTTGCCTTGCTGAGTAATGGTAAGTGCTCTTCCCAAAATCATTATGCGTATTTAGGTAGGTATATGTATGTATGTAGGTAGGTTAAGGTGCTATGATATCAATTCATCACTGCTTCTTATAGTTAATAAATGTGACAATAGCTACCAATATCATAGCCAGTGTCAGTACCATTATGGTGTGAAAGGGTTTGCAGATTGGTTGATGCATACAAAATCAGAGTTGACAAAACACTCAAAACAGTCAGCAGAGCTTGTGCCTTGTAGCAAATACCTACTCTGTGTCTTGCTGTATGCACTGTTCAGTGGGAATTTTTAAGCTGTTGGGAGCAACAAGAAAACAGCATTTATTACATTGGGACTTGTGTGATGCAGCTCATTTATCTCCATGACTTAACCAGGCTGCAGCTCGTTCCTGCACAAACCATACAGACTAGTATTGGTCTAGGCTAGTCTTTTCTAGGATGCTAGATCACACTGTAAGCTAGCCATGCTTTGCAGCACTCGGTTAATTTTGTGTCATTTAATGGGAGCCCTCGACCTTTACTTGCAGTGCTGGCCCATGAATGTTATGTATGCACAGAACAAGATGGAAACTCCGGCAAATGTACGACTACTGTGGCACTATGTCAGTATGAAGAGGAATCCTGCATGACCACCGTCGGCTGGGGAAGTAAGTCACCACGATACGATTTCCGCTATTCCAAACGTCAGTGCATTTATCAGCATGGTAATGGGATGGTCCGGCTCATTTTCGATATCATTTCACGCTCCGTTGATGTTCTGTTAGGTGCGGGTACGTCTCCGCCATGTCCCCCAGTGTTGCCATCTCGCGCCGCGCGGCCGTCCCCGCCCGCCCCGCCCGCATCTGACGCTCCCGGCGCCGGCACCGCCAGGCCAGCCCGGCTGGAGGATCGGCGTGCCAATGGTACACTTTGTGACGAAACGCTGCGCCACCGACGCCGAGTGCGAGCGCCGCCGGCGCGCCGACGAGCCGCTCTGCACGCGCAACGTGTACGAGGACTGGCGCTGCACATCGTGCTGCAAGGGCGACCGCTGCAACTACTACGTCATCGTGAGTGGACTGACACCCCCGGCCCGGCCCGGCACCCCGCAGTGACTGACACCCCGGCCCGGCCCGGCACCCCGCAGTGACTGACACCTCGGACCGGCACCCCGCAGTGACTGACTTCCCCGGCCCGGCAACCCGCAGTGACTGACACCCCGGCCCGGACCGGCACCCCGCAGTGACTGACACAACTCCAGTGGACTGACATCCACCGGCCCGGCACCCCGCAGTGACTGACACCCCGGCCCGGACCGGCACCACGCAGTGACTGACACCCCGGCCCGGCACCCCGCAGTGACTGACACACTCCAGTGGGCTGACACCCCGGCCTGGCTGACACAATCCGCAATACAGGCCGATGTGGTTGTTGAGTAGAATCTGTTCTGGAGCACCACTCGGCCACTCTGCCTGCCCCCGGCTCACCAGTGCGAATTAACACTGAACGCCGGCGTACTACAGTTATACATGGCGCACTCACCATGTGCCGACTAGCTCAATAAAATCACTATGAGAGCTGACCAGCTACCTTCCATTCAGTCTCGATCTTTCTGTCATTCAGACGATTCAGTCTTACCTACCAGTTACCACACACAGGAAACGTTGTGGAACTAATTGGTGCTGGATGTATGATGTTTCATGCGTTCACTGTCTAACTTGCTAGCAAAGATATTTTGCATTGGTTCGCTGACTAGTTTGCGCGCTGGTTAAGAGCCCTATTCATGTTTTGTGGCCAGTGATGAACAATCCTAGTGGTATTAGTGTGTGCAGCCGACTACTGTCTGTCTGTCTCTGATGTCCCCGGATGGTGTGCAGTCAGACAGGGCTGGTATTCACGGTGTGTGTGTTTGTGTGTGCACACAGGACGGCGCGGCCGAGCGGCGCGCCGGTCTGCTGTGTGTGGCTCTGGCCGGACTGGCCCTGCTGCTTCCGGCCGCGGGACTGCCGGGTCGCTGAGCTGTGACCGCGCCGGACTGGACCGGACCGGGCTGCGGACCACCGGACCGGACCGGACTGGACCGCGGACCACCGGACCGGAGTCGGAGGGGGCGGTCAGGTCAGCCGGGAGTCACGGGGAGAGCGGGGCTGCCGTGCTCACCCGCTGCCGACCGCGCTGCCCGTGACCGTCTGAACCGGCAGCTAGGATACTTAAGACATTATTTCTAATTTTCTAAGCGGGCTATTGCACTGTGAAGTGGGGACGTTTTTATATCTTTTTACACATATGCTGCACTGTTTGACACTTTTTGTAAACGTTTATACATTAAGTTTATGGGACCATTTTGGTGGCGCTTTACGTCGGAAGACATTAGTGATTCATCGGGCGCCACCATCCGTGTACCGTGTGCCGCTCTTGCCGGGGCGGAGTCCCAAGTGGCGCTGCGTACGGCGCCGGAGCTAGTAGATCTGCACTCTCCTGTGATACTCTGGCGGGCATTGTGTCTTTCCGGTGGTCGGTTACTCTCTGTGATGCTCTGACTGATCTCAGGCGCTCTGTTCCTCTGTATGCCGCGCCTCGAGCTCACATTTGTCGCGGCCGTCCGTGACGGGGGCGTGGCCGTCCCATCCAGCTGTAACTGTACGGAGGCGTCCCGTCCAGCTGTAACTGTACGGAGACGTCCCATCCAGCTGTAACTGTACGGAGTACGTCCCATCCAGCTGTAACTGTACGGACAGTTGTGTCTTTTTGCCACGGCATCCAGTGTCCACTGTCCATGGATGATTGGGATGCTACGAATCTTCGTTAGTTCAAGTGGCGACTATCGCCTTCCGATGTAGTGAATTGTAGTTTGAATTAAACATGTCACGAGCAACGAATGGTTGACGATCATCCCAGGGTGCGAACTCGCTTAAACGGAACAAACTCGTCTTATCAACGGAACAATGCATAGGCCAAACAAACGGTGTTCATCCTATGAGCAGGGTTCCATTTGAGGCGAGTAGGTACTGCTCCCTCTCCTTGGGCTGGTTTGCATGTCTCGGTGGCCCCTAGCCATCTCACGGACAGCGAACGCGCTGTGATCAGTCATGTGATCGTTATCATGTGACTACGCGTCAACGATTAGCTAGGACCACTTCGTTAGGTGTTCATTTTGATACAAATACTTTTTAATACACGCCGTCCAATTTCTAATTGCTGTTTGATGATTTGCCCGAGCTCGGTCTGCGGAGTTGCTTTGTGCGGAGTGCCCCTTTGTGCGGAGTTGCTTGCTTACAATGCCGGTTTTATACAGGCGAAATCGAATCTTCCTTGGCGTCAGATTTGGAAGACAATCCATTACCTGCGTGTGTGATTGACTTCATAATAAGGCAAATACTTATCCAACTCCTCGGCCTAACCAGGCGATGCAGCGCACAATGGCCATGGCCCCTGGGGCTGGGGGCGACCGGAGAGGGATGGCGGTGCAATGACTGGATATTGAACGATTCTCGGTGGAAGATTAATATGCACCATGCTAATCATGTCCTGAATAAGAACATCAATCTACTCGTATGCGGCATGAATTGGTTAAACCGGTTCAGCGGCAGGATTGACTCCAATCTCACACTCATATCCTTTGGGAATGAATCCTCGATGAGAGGCGAATGTTTAGATATGTCGCGTGCCTTTTTCCTTCATTCGATAACGGACAAGATTTTGGCCAATGCTAATATTAGCGAAATGAGAAGTATGCGTGGAGATGCTGTAAATATTGTGTGTACTTCTTGGATCAATTTTGTAGCGTCGCTTGTCATTTACAAGTTGTGGTGACTACAGTACTGGCTGAACACATGACGATCCAATAGTATCACATTCGGCACCGGCGCCAAACGCGGCCTTCTGTCTGAGCACTGATTGTCTGCCCCTGAAACACCGATGTTCGTGGTCGCCCCGTCGACGCCGCGTGAGGTCGGCGCCGACGGCGAGGACCCGGCATCTCCGCCGGCCGAGTCGGCGCCGCCGTCACCGCCGGCGGCGGACGCGTCCAGTGGCGCCGAGCTGGCGCGCCAGCAGCAGCGCGCCCAGCTGCTGCTGCTGCGCAACATCGTGCCGCTGCTGGTCGGCTACGTCACAGAGACGGCTGAGGTGGGGCGCGACGAGCACGGCCGCTGGCACGGCACGGGCACCGTGCTGCTGCGGCGCGGCCAGCGCTACGAGGGCCGCTTCGAGCACGGCCTGCTAGAGGGCTGTGGCACGCTGACCTGGCCCGACGGCACCCAGTACTCTGGCGAGCTGCGGCGCAGCGCGCTGCGCGGCCGCGGCACCTACCGCTGGCCGAACCGGTGCCAGTACAGCGGCCAGGTGTGCTGCGGCCGCCGGCACGGCTACGGCGTCTTCTCACACCCGTCCGGCTACGGCTACCTGGGCGCCTGGGACCACGGCGCTAAACACGGACAGGGAAAGATGTTCTTCGGCTCAGAGAAAAACAGCGTCTACGAGGGCGAGTGGAAGAACAACCAGCGTGAGGGCTATGGGGAGCGCATCTACCCGTCGGGCAACAACTACTCTGGGTACTGGTCGGGCGGCCGGCGCGAGGGCCACGGCACCATGCGCTGGTACCGCTGGGCCTTCTACCTGGAAATCTACGAGGGAGAGTGGAAGAACGGCCTCCAGCACGGCCAGGTGAGTGAGGAGCCGCCTCCAGTAAGGACAGATGGGTCCTGCCCGCGGCTTATTATCACTGGATGCATAGGATTTACTCCGAAACTTATTTCCCGAAACATGTATACTGGTTTGTAATGACAGTTTACGCGACAGTTAGTATCCAGTGGGCATTATTCACATATCTGGCATAATAACCGTGTTCAGCCTGTGACGATATCTTGTGACCTTGGGCATTCCAACTTCGTCTCTTATCCATTTGTAACTCTAAAACCTCTACGTAACCTCACTGACTCTTCCGTTATCTCTCTGTGACACGTCTGACCTCCCAGTGGCTGACCTCTGTGGGACCTCACTAACCCGTATGACGGCTCCACAGGGCCGGCACGAGTGGCAGACGCACCAGCTGGATCCCGTCCAGCACCCGCGGTTCAACACGTACACGGGCTCATTCCGCAACGGCGAGCGTCACGGCAGCGGCGTGTTCCACTACAGCTCGGACGCCACCTTCACCGGCCGCTGGGCGCACAACCTCAAACAGGGCACCGGACACTACGTGGACGTCGTGCAGACCACCACCACGCAGGACTTTATCGACGACAAGGTGAGCGCGCCGGCGGGTCAGCGGGCAGTTTCGCGGAGGGGTGGGATGGGAGTGGGACCGACCCGTCTCCGGCCGCTGTAAATCCCGGGTTGGACTGTGGTTAATATTGCCTAGCTGATGGTGTAGCCTCTGACCTCTGGCCGCCGGCCAGGTGATGTACGTGTAGCCTCTAACCTCTGGCCGCCGGCCAGGTGATGTACGTGTGTGAGACGAGCGAGGAGACGGGCACCACCATGTGCGTCTACAGCGACCTGCGCGACTTCGAGCACCTGCTGAAGCCCACCTACCAGCTGGACACGTCGCCGCTGCTGGCCGGCCTGCCGGAGCCGCAGCGCGCCGCCGTGGCCGACCAGGTGTGGACCGTGCTGCGGCGGCACATCTCCGAGCTGCGCCGCATCTACAGCTACTACAGCCGGCTGGGCACCGCCGACCTGCAGGCCGCCACCTACGCGGCCATGACCCAGCTGCAGTGGTGGCAGATGATGCGCGACTGCGACGTGCACGTGTCCGGCCTGCCGGCAGACGTGCTGATGGGTATCCCGATGCTGGCGTGCGGCACGGGCCACCCGCTGGCCGTGGTGCACTTCCACGAGTACCTGCTCATGTTCCTGCTGCTGGCCGACGTTCTGTACACCACCGAGGAGGACTGGCAGCTGGCGGAGCGCGTCGGACGCTTCATCGAACAGGTGGTGCTGGTGCGCGACGCGCGCACGGTGACCGGCCTGGTGCTGACGCTGCCGCTCAGCCGGCGGCCGCGGCCGGCGCTGCTCGAGCAGCTGTATGACGACTTCCAGCAGCAGCAGCCGGCCACGGTGCGCAGCGCGGTGCGCCGACTGGGCACGGGCCGCGTGCCGCAGTTCCCGGCCGTGCGCGCCAGTCTGATCCTGCGCGCGGCGCGCCGCGTCGTGCCGCTCATGGTGGTGGAGGACCAGCTGGACACGGAGCTGGAGCTCACCTTCATCGACTACTGCGAGCTACTGCTGCAGGCGCGACAGCTGCACTGGGAGCAGCCGGCGGCGCGCGCCGGCCGGCCGCGACGCGCGCGCCAGTACCGCCGGCCGGCGCGGCCCATCTACGAGCGCTACGTGCCCACGTACGCGCTGCTGCAGTACCGGCAGCGGCTGCTGGCGGCGCTGCGCGACCTGGCCGCGCCGCCGCCCCGCCGGCCGGCCGCCGGCAAGGGCGCCAAGCACGCCGACAAAAAGTCCAGCACGGGCACCCAGCTGCAGAAGGACAGGAACCGGGTCTCTAGCGTCCGAGTCCGGAAACTCTGAAAAGGACCCGATGTCCGCCGAGAGTGCCCCACGCCTTGGCAGAAAGAAGCGGAAAAGACGGGGCCAGCTGCCCTGGAAAGTCATTTCCATACAGTCGGGTAGCAAAGTTGGTCAAACAAATGCTTACTTTTTGTTACCGTCTCAACTTGGGCCTGGGTTTGTATTGTTTGGCTCGAAAGGATGGTTTGTGACCAGTGAACAGAAGAAATGCCTTAGTTTGTTGTCATTTAGCTGACGTTAACTGCGACAGTTAGATGAAAGATACACTGAGTCGGAGCTCGAACGACGGCTGTTGTACATACATCAACAGAGATTATATAAGCGTCCATGAGGGTTTCCAGCATACTGGGTTCAGGGATGATTATTTACAACGCCGCAGCTCGTTGAATGGGTGGGATCCCGTTGCGTAACGCCCTATACACAACCACAAGAGCCATCAGATGGTACACAACAATCACAACACCAAACAGCTAATACTAACAGAATCCAGAGGCGCGTGCGTAGGGAAGAAATTGAAGCGATGAGCGGTGTTTTCAATAACCATAACCTACCGAACTCTGGAAAAGTGGCACATGATCACCGTGTTTACTGATGTGACTGATACGGATCCGGCAGGCGACAGATCTGTTGTCTGTGTGGGAGTCGATGTGACTAGGCCATGGCAGATCAACTCCCGGGCTCGCCGATGCTGTCGGTAACGTCAGCGGACTGGGGGGCCGCGTCCGTCGGTGTGGGAGCGGGCGGCGCCACGACCGCCCAAAACACGTCATGCACGGCGGTGAAGCCCAGCGGCCGCATGGCGCCCAGCATGCCCAGGTTGTCGCGGCCGGTGGCCACCACCGCCGGCAGGTGGCGGGCCTCGCAGCGGCGCGTCAGCTCGGCTAGCGCCAGACGCGCCAGGCCGCGCCGCCGCTGCGTCTCCAGCGTGTGCGCGAACCCCAGTTTGCCGACCGTGTTGAGCAGGATCCAGCTGACGGGCTGCGGCTCCGCCGGGCCGTCCGGCGCCGGCCGCCGTCGGACGAACACGCCGGCGCTCAGTCCGGTCTGCACGCTGCGCCGCAGGATGGCCGCGGCGTCCGGCACGTGGCGCAGGTAGGGCCAGTGCTGCTGCACCCGCTCCAGGTGGCACATGCTCAGCGGACGCACCTCGACGTCATCGGGAGCGCTGCAACACGACAGAGCGGGCGTCGGCGGGGCTGCGGTACCGCGCGGGATAGGTCGAGACGAGGATACAGAAACACCGAGTTACTGGGAACTGCCGAGAACGTCTCTGATTCATCAGTGTCAACGTGTCTACACTTGTTTGTTGGGCTTTGTAACCATTGAGTTACATAAGCTATGCCAGAGCGTGTATTACATAAGCAGGGTCAATGGGATCGAAGGCATTTGAGGCTCAAACAGGCTACGTAAACTGTTTATTTTCATAGAAACATTCCGGTTCTTTGTAGAAGAAACGCCCCTCGGCGCTGGCTCGGTATGTGTATCAGCTCCCTAGCGACTGGATATATTCCGTTAGAGCTGTGTTTCAGCCACCCCTCGGCTCTGTGTTCGGCGCCGGCCTCGGTCCTCCCACCTGAGTTGCGCCACCTCCGTGTCCGGCGCGCCGTCGGCCTCGCGGACGAACAGGCACGCCCCGGCGCTGACGGGCGTCACCGTGTAGCCGCGCCGGCCGGCGGCCCGCTCCAGCGCCGGCCGCAGTCGGACCGGCCACGAGTCGGCCCTGAGCCGGCGGTCGGGCCGCCACAGCAGCCGCGACACGGGATCACAGAGCAGGGCGGCCAGCAGCCGGTCGTGGCCGGCCGGTGAGTCGGCGCAGAACGCGTCCATCACCAGCAGACCGGGCAGCGGCAGCTGGCGGGCAGAGGGGGGGGGGCGGTCAGACCCTACACCAGCTGACCGGGCAGCGGCAGCTGGCGGGCGGGGGGGACGGTCAGACCCTACACCAGCAGACCGGGCAGAGGGGACAGTCAGACCCTACACCAGCTGACCGGGCAGCGGCAGCTGGCGGGCACAGGGGACGGTCAGACCCTATACCAGCTGACCGGGCAGCGGCAGCTGGCGGGCACAGGGGACGGTCAGACCAGGGTGTCAGTGAGAGGTCAGACCTTACCAGACCAGACCGGGCAGATGGGACGGTCAGACCCTACACCAGCAGACCGGGCAGAGGCAGCTGGCGGACCGGAGGGGCGGTCAGACCGGGTAGGGACAGGGACGGCTAGACCTCACCAGTCGGGACGGACGGTCAGACCTCACCAGGCCAGACAGGAACGGGGACGATCAGATCATTCACATTCCATTGACACCATTCACCATTCACGGACGCGTCACCGATCTGGCAAATTAAAACACCGCCTCTTCAGCCACGGATCGGTCACGTCCCGGAGCGGTGTCTCAGAACAGGGGTGAGACTAGGACCTACATTACCAGCACAGCGGTCACTCAGGCGAGTCAGTGGTCCGTCAGAGTCGAGACCGTTTGGGCCACCCACCGTTATCACGAGCGTCACCGGCGCCTCTGCCGTGTCCTCGTCGCTGGCGAATACCCAGTACTCCGAGTCATTGACGCCCTGCTGGAGCAGCAACAGGAAACAGCGCACCTGGGAACGGATCGAAATTCAGACCGGGGGCCCTTGACGGGCTGCGACGCAGTGATCAGTAGGTCGATGACCGAGTACCCAGAGGACTACAGCCTAACGCAACACTGCTGCACCCGATTAACACTCAACAAGTCATAGTCTGAGCGATCGCTCTTAGAATGCATACGGCAAGGTGCACACTACCAATCACCTTCTCGCCATCGAGCCGTGCCGGCTCAGCGTACACAGTCCGCCCTATGTTCGCGGAGCAGGACCTCGTCCAGGGGTGCGCGGTGTCGTCGCCCTCACCTGTGCCGTCTGCAGCCCGTACCGCTCCAGTCGGGTGACCAGCCGTCCGATCTCCTCTCCGGAGACAGCCTGCACAGGGGGACACACCATGGCCACCGACCGCCGCCGTGCCCAGCCACCTCCGCACACAGTCGGAGACTACCCCGCGGGGCGACGGCGGCCACAGAGTGCGCGCGGAGTACACGAGAGGCTCCCCCGCGGGGCGACGGCGGCCACAGAGCGCGAACAGAGGCCTTGACAGGCCCGTCTCAGAACTGTGTGTTTGACATTAACCGCATTATCCGCCGTGCCGTGGTATAACACGTCATAGTGTCCAGTGTCGTCTGTTTTGGATCTACGACGACCCGCGACAACGCATCACATGATCGCTTTTTACGTGACCCTGACATGTTGAAGGTGTACATGGTGTGTAGTCAGGCATAAACAGAATAAAGCGATATAACTACTTCGAAAACATTCAAAATTAGAAATGAGGTAAAGATGCAGCTTTATTTCGTGTCTATATCCGTAACATAAATCTAAATGATAACACGACTAATAGAAGAAAAACATTGCAAAACATATCAATTTTATGTGTAGCATAGGCTTATGTGGATAACAGGTCTCATCGTGCACTCATCGGTTCTATAGCACCAAAGAATATTGAGTCATTGGTAGTAAAAGCGATGGTTTATTTTGCATTACCGAACTTGATATATACCAAACATGGATCAGTAACAAAGGAGATAACCTGCGGTGACGAACTATAGCGGGCGAAACATTCATTACTCACAGCACGTTAGTCGGGCTCATGGCTGTAAACCTGTCCACATTTCACAAGTGGTATCATTTACAATTTCTATCTAAAAATCGCACGGCACAAAATAATAAAGCAAGCTGCTTTCTCATTGGGTAAATTGAATAATTTATGATTAAATCGAAAATAGTTTTAATGATGATTCAAAAGAAGGGAATGTGTTACGTAACCAAATAATCGCGATAATATCTACATTTTGACAGCGTGTTCATAATTCGACGAACATTCTCGCGATCACACCCCTCCCACACGGCAAACCTCTCACGCCTCTCACCCACCAGCTCTCACAGGACAGCTCACCCTCGCCCCCGCACCGTTCACACACAACACTCCAGCGCCACCGCAGCGCACCGGCGCCACCAGCGCCACCGCAGCGCGCCAGCGCCACCACAGCCCACCGGCGCCACCAGGGCGCGCCAGCACGGCCGGCGCCACCACAGCGCCACCGCAGCGCACCAGCACCACCACGGCCGGGGTGCGCCCGGACGCCGCGCGGCGCGGAGCGACGCTAGTCCTTTTTCTGGGCCTTGCTGTCCTCCCGGAAGGCGCGCATCACGTACAGTCCGAGCACGCCGTGGATGACGAGCACAGTGACCACGGCCGCGTACAGCGTGCTCGTGCTCGTGTCCAGGCCGAGCAGCGCGTCGAACAGCAGCGTCCGAGACGAAAAGAACGCCGCTACCGGCACGAACAGGATGAGGAAGACATAGAAGAGCGCCGTGCGGAACACGTCCGCCTCCGAGTACTGGCGGCCCAGCGCGGCGTCCATCGTCCCTGAGGTGCGGCCGAGGCGCAGCGCGGCTCCTGGAACGGCACACCAGCTGTCAGCACCCCGAGGTCATGGTAGGGAGATGCATGGTGCCAAGTGAAAGGAAACAGTTTATACATAATGTAAGAAATTGTTGAAAAACAGCAATAAAACTAGGATCAAAGATCGTTATGACTAATGTGAATCACTACCAAGTATCAGCAGCAATACTTTTTAGCGCTGCAAGCAAAGCTTGATTTGCTCCCAAAGTCAAATTGACACATTATTTATTTGGCTAGCAGTTTGAATTTGACCTAATACCCAAGGTGTCCACTGTCCTCTGTTCAAAATTCAAAGCACAAATTACACAAATATGTTGAGCTGCAGAAGACTGGTAACTGTTCAGCAAGTTTCTTTATCAGCCTGATGCAATTTCTGACACATAGATAAATATTTGTGACCAGGAGATTGTACAAGTTACTAATTGCCCCTCAATGTTTAACAGTATTGACCCAAAAATTGCCCCTAGTTAGCTTAAATTTCCCTGAGATTCAGAACTCTTAGAAATGTGTTAGAAGGGTGGCCTGCACAAGTCAATTGGAATTGGAGGTGAAAGTATGCAATGTGACCTAACGTTTGTGATGTAGCTAATTAGCTTCCAAATGCTACTGAATGCTGAAAGACATCATTCGGAATAGTTTCCAAACATTCCACCTCACAATATACATAAAAATACATAAAATTAAAAACCCACAAAAAAATACAGTTTGGTCACGTAAGGCTGTCTTGTTCTGTAATAGGTACCTATGATTAGGCAGCACCCGAAACACCTGCTTGATAATACAAAGGGTTTATATAGCCTTGATACAAAGTACTGTCCCCCACCGCCTTGGAGTAAACCAAGGCGGCGGGGGAGAAACGGGGAATAGGGAATCTGTTTTGTATTTTTTGTGGGTTTTATGGATATTCCGAGGTGGAACGTTTGATAACCATTCCAAATGATGTCTAAGCATTCAATAGCATTTGAAAGCTAATTAGCTACCTACATCGTTAACGCTAGGTCGGGTCGCATACTTTCACCAGCAGTTTCATTCAAAATATTTTCAATATTAGATGCATATACGAGGCAGGACTGACTGCCTATCACTATTGAGTATTGAGATAGTTAGCTGTAGGTACCCATCTACCTACCAAAGAAATGACAAGGTAGATGCTAGGGTGAAGACGTCAACAGCTCGGTATCTTGCAAGGCCCGTATCAGTATCTTGTTGGAACACAATACTTCAGTTTATCGTTCTAAAGTCACTCTTCAACGCTAAAAAAATGCTGTCAGACCACTCGTACCAAATTTGTGTCTTTACTCAATTTCCATCAAAACGCAATTGAAATTGGAGAATAATCCAAAGGCTATATTTACCATTTACGCCATTTACCACGGTACATAGAATACTAGGTAACACCGGTTTGTCCGCTCAACACAGGGCCAATGGTCACCACTTTCTTCAGCTGACGTCTGTGACCTTGAGCTGACCTAGGATGATAAACAGCTGACAATTTAGGCCATTTGGAGCTCACTTGACAGCTGAAGAGCGTGATTTAAAATATAAATATTTGTCAGGCACTGACAAAAGATATTATTCACCAGTCATTTTTTAAGCACATTCTGTCATAAATTAGCTGACTCCCTCTGGTCTTCCACACAGCAGAAAATGCAAGTGCAAATTCTGCCGTCTTGAAGTGAGCCAAACGCTTATGATACACATGATCGTTTCTCTCAGAGCACAACGGAAACTGCGAGAAAACAAGAGAGAGTCGGACTCTACAAATGAATGAATTTGGAAGAAAAATAGCTGTATTTTTTCCTGTGTAAATGTTGGCTTTGAAAACATTGGCCATCGACTTTAAAATTGCCCCCAAATATGAAAATGTGTGTATTGACAAAACAGGCAATCTTGCTGTTTTTGCCCAAGTTTGTTCATGATTGAGAGAGATTCGATGCGAAAATGCACTGATATATACTTTTGAAAGCGAGGTCTCGATCAGTGTATTAATTTTGATTTTTAACTTGACGCTAGTCCCACTTTTCCCTCCAAGAAAATATATTTGTCAATTTTTCAATAATCATATTATGCGTCATTGCCTTAAAAATAAAGAGAGTCGGACCGTAATTCTTTCAAAATGACTGATCGTGCTCAATATCTATCGGAATATATCAACAGATTGGCCAGACTCATTGGCTAAATATGTTTAAATTGCATTTTTCTTACTTTCTGCAGATTTTCCTGCAAAATTTTACTGTAGTTTAAGCTGCGTTTCCTGCAGATTGTGTTCACAGACCAATGGGAGACAAGTATTTCTTCATCAACAGGTTTATTCGCCATCAATTGGTCTAGCGGGTGTTTTTCGTATGCGCAGCTTATGTCACAGCTGCGTAAGAACACGTTCGCTTTAAATCATTATGGATCATTATAGAGTTCAGTGTTATGGATATTTCTTTTCGGAATATCAAAGGTCAATGTTGATGCGTTTCATAAGATTTGTGGTGGCGGGATTATCGTCATTAACTAATTACTTGATATATTTTAATGAGGAGTGGTGTAATGCCCGCACGACTGTTGACTTTCATTGTAATTGCTTGAGCTGGTTCCTGGGCCGCCTCAGATAGCAGGATGGTGTGTCAAGTATCATGGCCTGACAGGAAGGTGGGTACCCAGACCCCTAGCTCAATATTAACCTCAGATGAAGCCCGTATATATGTCTTAGAGCTTATTAAAGTTTAACCTCACCCTCATATAACCTAACATAACCTGAAATAACCAGACATGCTAGAACCCTTATTTTGGTCAAATGCTGATGAGCAGAAAATATTAACTTTTTGATGATTTGCCATGCCTACCTATTGCTATGTCTGGACGAGGGTTTCTCGGTTACTGTGTAGATAAACTATGGTGAAGATAAAAAAACATCATCTACCCTAGCCTAACCTTTGCGTACTAAACTACCACTTTTAGTAGGTAAATGTTCAGAAAGAGTGATTCACTTTTCAGGCATACATTTTGTACATTCTTGCACTATTTGACATCCTGAATCCAGATATGATATTTACATGTGATACAAATACAAAACAAAAATCAAACCTTACCTAACGGCTAACCCCATGCCAGACTGGAAAATATCCATACACCATGCCGGATGCCCGTGAGACTATCTTGCGCCGAAATTCGGCGCAAGGGATTTTGCGCCGAAATTTCTGAGTGATTTGCGCCAAAAATTAGGTGCCTATTTGTGCGAAAATTAAGCCCTTTTCATATAAAGCACATGTGCACATATACTGATCAAGGCTATATCAACCAGGCAGAGTGTTTCGGGGCTTTGTACACTATCCCATGTTTGAGCGTCCGAATTAGTTTTTATTTCCACGTAAACCCAATACCTCGGTGGGAGCCAGCGAGGGCCCGGCAGCGGAGCAGCACGTGCTCCGGCACATCAGCCTCTTCTCGGCTCACGGTGCAGAGCGCCGCTGGGCACCGCTTGTCTGGGCACTGCTGACACGCGGCGGGGTGGAGACAGCCGATTCGGTGCCGTATTGGAGCGAGCTGGCCCCGGTGGCCCGCCCTCATCTGGTGCACCGAAATGGCATCCTCTCGGTCCTCTCCGGGGAGAGGGAGCGGCGGCGTGCTCCCGAGGAGTGGCTTGAATAGTGATTCTGAGCAGTTGTCGCGCCACTGATGCGAGGCCGCACAATGAACCGCCCTGGTCAGCGATCGAGCGTTTGAGGGCAGGGCGGCCGCTAGTTTTGCCAGATCGTCCACGCTCTCATTCCCCTCGATACTGCAGTGGGCAGGAACCCACTGCTATTGCTTAACGACGCTTGGCGACGTTCAACAAGGTTTTCCATGCCTATCTCTACGCCGAAGGTTGAGGCCTCACCTGGGCGGCCGTTCCTCCGCTGAGTAGACTCAGGGCGGCTCGCCAGTTCGAGCACGCGACGACCGGGGCGGGGACGTCTCGTCCCGCAACCTCTCCAGAGCTGCCCACGGGGCGAATCTGCTGCTAGATTGACCAGCGTACCGCATAAATTCGGTGACTGTTTTCGCCAAAAAATTATGCGACCGCCCTGCACCGAAAAATTCGTCCGCCGCCATGCGCTGAATTCGGCGCATGCGAAGTTACGCCGGACGTGCGCTTAAATTTTCGGCGCAATCCCGCCACTACGCCGGACATATTCGGCTTAAAGGGACCCTCCCACCTTCAAAAAAGTTAATGAATTGGCATGAAAGTGATGTCGCCCGGTTCAGAAAGAGCAAAAACGAATATCTACCAAATTTCATCGAAAAATATTCACCGGTTTTCAAGATATTAGACTTTTACTTTTGTTTACTTTTTGGGATCTCCGCTGTTCCTAGCGACTTTATTTGAAAGTGCGGCATTTGTTGCGCGCAAAGCAGCATATACCACCGCGTGCTACAAAACGTTTTAGTCAAACATTTAACGGACGTTCGAAAGCCTGATGACGTCATCAGACTCCCGTAATGGTTAAGAGATAGGGACCACGCTGGTCCCACCCTGCAAGTAAAGGGAAGAAATTTCTTGAACACCATAAAGCTGCGGGGGTTGCGACCAGGATAAATGGTGGTTTCTGAGCCTGGCCGCAAACTTGGCTATCTCAACTCAAAACTAATGTTAAGGTGGGAGGGTCCCTTTAACGTGTATTTTTTTTCCAGTCTGGACCCCATGTTGCATATTCATATGAACTGTAGATCAGATATTTTTTAACAAATACCCATCTTTCATCCTTTCAGCATGCCTACAACCTACTAAACAGCCTTGGTATAAACCTACCATTCATACTTTATCTACACATACATATTGATATACGGGGTATGTTTGGTTCAGTAGGTTATAGTAGGTCAGGTGCCTACATGCTATCATTTGTCATGTTTTGATTTCAGGTGGTGTCTTGTGGGCTTTATAGTGGGCTTTGTGGCCCTCTCTAAGTGCAAGGGTTAAGTGTTGATGCACATAATGCAATGTGTTTTTTCCATGGGCGCAGGAACCTCACGTAAAGTGTGGGGGGAGGGGGGCAGAGAACTTCAATGTCACTTTGTGGGAACCCCAATACCCCTATGAACAAATTCTTTACAGTTTCGTGCTTATCTCACCTTGCCGAACAATTTCTTGCTGTTAGTTTTGAATTTAAATGAAAAATAAATATTTTATTTTTAGCATAACTGAAAAGTGGGGACATCCCCTTCCCGATCCTAGGCCGCCTATGTTTTCTTTTTCTTAATGGTACAAATCATCCAGATTCATATGAGAAGGGTAGGTACTAGCTACCTACAAAATCAAATCAATGCCTCAATTGTTTATTGTTTTATTACAATAAGTCCCTCCTCTGCCAATCACACTTAACTATCTACTGTCACAATGCAGTGTGCGTCATGATTTCTCAACTATATGCATACAATATATTTCCATTTGTCAATCACATATTGTTTTTTTTTTTACAGGCTTTCCGGTTATGACTGAGGCCAGCATCTCACGTGCCCTGGCTACGCCAAATCACTGCGGATGCCGGATGCCGAGGACCGGAGAGCCAACCGCTTTGAGGCGTGAGCTCTGTGGCGTGGCTCGAGTGATCACCAGGTTCTGACGGCTACGGCGCCGTCAACCTGGTTGAATAGGTGGGGCCTAGACGAGGGTGCCCTTAGTACGGTGGTCAATCGGTTACGTCCGAGGGACGCTCGAACACGCTGCCGTCGCGTGGCTGCCGGCGGCCGCCCCCTCGCACGTGAATCTCCTGGAGCGAGGACTGCGGGAGGCGGCCGCATCATCACCTGTGTCCACGCTCAACACTGTGCCACGCACTAATGGCGGAAGCCCGACTTTCTCCGATGGAGGAGAGAAGCTGGACGCTGGCTGCCAGGCTGCTGGGGAGGGCGCTGGGTCTGCCATCAGGGGACCCCCTGCGCGCGACCGCCGAGGCCTCGGCACCGGCGCGCCTGCCTTCGGTCCGAGGCTGGAGATTGCGAGGCCGCCAGGCCTGGGCGAGAGCGAGAATCCCACCGTGGCAACAGACGGCTGGCGTCACCTTCCGGTTGGACGTGTGCCCGATCCGGGCTGGGGCCACGGCGGCGGAAAGGGAAAGCATGGCTACGCTGCACCTCGCGTTCCTGCCCCTGTGTGCTGTCCGGCTTTGGACGGACGGACCTGTGGAGGGCGGAGTCTTCAGGCGCTGGGCGGGAGCCGTGCTGGTCTGGCTGGACGAAGAGGTCGAGGAACTACGGCCGGAGAGTTGTGCTATAGCTACCGCGCGGAGATGGTGGCGCTGGTGGCCGGTCTGGAGACCGTACTCGGAAGAGACAAAGACCAGGACCTGCGGTCCGTACCTATCTGCTAACTGTGCGGTAGTGCTGGTGTAGTGCAACATTTTTGGATGGCTAGCTACATTTCACGATTAAATAGCTGGTACGTTTCAGTGCAGGTGGCGTGACGAACAATGTATCTGTTGGCCACTTCTGCGGCCGCTGCCATTTCCTACTCGAAGGCGGGCGCGCTGGGCCGGCAGGATGTTCCCATTATGTGTCGACGTCAAAGCGAGTATATTCATGTTCTTTTAATGCACAGAAGTCTGTTGTATATTTGAAGTTTTATTTTAGGTTAACGATTGCGAAGGGCAGATTCATCTTCTCTCTTTCATTTGTGTTGCCACTTTAGCGTTCATGTTTGTCATAAGTGTCCTGGTCCGGTTTGGTTGTCATCTTTATTCGTGATGTATTTTATTTTACGAACATGCTGGTGATCAATACAATACACTTTTGATTAATAATGCTGCTTTAGCTCTGATCCTTTGTGGTATGTCTTGATTGTACTACTGCGATAGTGATTTTTCCTCACCAAAATATGCAGGCAACAAATGTAAATGCTGCCAAAAGTTTGTCATTGCGTGATGTATCTAAAAGACATCAAGTTTCTGAACGTGGTCGTGTACTACGCAACCGGAAACTCAATAGGACGTGGAATGCTGTGAAGCAAAACTACAGAAGTGAGGCTGGCCACGCCAAAATCAAGTGAGATATGTCTGGCCTTTCTTCAGCCGCCAAGGCTTCGACAGACTATCCGCGGGTTCGGTGTCTCTCGAACTACGAAGATTCAACGTCGTGCGGCCAATCCTGGTTAAGGTCAGCGGGGACTTAGCTGTGGTTATGGAACAGGATTGGCTGTCCGAGAGACTCCGAACCTGGGGTATGTTGCAGCACAGCTATGTCGACCGAGTGTCGTCGCAAGCTGCCCCACTCGACGAGAAAAAGTAAAACCGTCCCGTCCTAGGCTGACTAGGCTTAGCTAGGTGGCAGCACAGTCGCGCCGGCAGGGGGCAGTGCCACAACCAGCCGACTGATATTTTCGTGTGACGTCAGAACCGGTGCCTCCCTGCCATTTACCAAGGCGATATAAAATACGTTGCATTTACTGCGCCACATTGTCATTACTGCGCCAGGAATGTATTGCTTCCAAATACACCTTGGCAGCTCTTCAGAGCACCTGATCCAGGAAATTTTACGAACCAAGCTTGAAGCTGAACGGCCCGCCGCATGCTATTGCATTGTTCGCAGTCGGGGAACACGGGACCGTCACCGGGCCATGCATGAATGACACTGGCCACTGGGCTGGGCCAATAGTAAGGACAAGGAGCCCAGTGGAAGGTAGGTGGTAGGCAATAGCAGTAAAGGGAATATTGAGGCAATCCGTAACGGGCCCCCAGCTGCGACAGACCGCGAGCCACGCTAGCTAGGTTAGCTAGGTGGTGGTCCTGCCGGACTAGACATCACTAGGGAAACCTACCAGCAGCTCAGTTGACGGTGGCAGCTCGATGTTGGTCGGTATGGACGATTGCGAAGAGCTAGTTTTGCTTGATCCCGTCTGAAGTGTCACTGGGAGACAGTGCCGGACTTGGGCCTCCATTCACCACCATGCGTCAGGACGTCCTCAAGCGGCAGAGCCTACCGTCTGCCATCCCCACTGCTCCAACCCAATCACTCCCCTCCCCTCCCCATCCTCCGTCACCAGTTCAGCCACACTACCGACTACCGAGCTGCACTGCCGCTCCAACACAAAGACAAACGGCGGAAAACGGTCTCCTCGTAATATTGTCTCTGTTAATGCAGGAAAACACTCCCTCCACGATTGCCGACCTGGGCAAAAAGTGGTTACAATGGCTCATTAATACACACACGGCATGGCAACAAAAGCGACTCAAGGCGCGCATAGTCTGCCGGCACATTGCGTAAAAAAAAAAAAACATTAGCAAAGCGGTGAGCCACCACCGCCGGTGATTTGGTGAAGCAGGTACATCCAGGTACTAGGTTGAAGCACTCCCGCCCGCCCGCCAGCACCAGCCTACAGCCCGCTACGCCCGGTCCACTACACAACTCTAGCCCGTGGGTGAAAGCACATGCGTTACAAACAAAAGCCCAAAGGCAGTCGACGGCGACTTGAGAAGCTCTAACGTGGGTTCGGAGACTCGTCTCTCCGCGGGGTGGGAGTATACTCCCAGTGTGTGTGTGTGGGGGGGGGGGGGGGCACTCAAAGGGGGTCGGAGACTCGTCTCTCCGTGGGGTGGGAGTATACTCCGAGTGGGGGGAGGCACTCCAGGGGGTCAGAGACTCGTCTCCGCAGGGTAGGAGTAAACTCACAGTGTGGGGGGACTCCAGGGGGTCAGAGACTCGTCTCTCCGCGGGGTAGGAGTATACTCCCAGTGGGGGGGGGGGACACTCCAGGGGGGTCAGAGACTCGTCTCTCCGTGGGGTAAGAGTATACTCCCGGGGAGGGGGAGGGAGAGGGCACTCAAAGGGAGTCGGAAACTCGTCTCCGCGGGGTGGGAGTATACTCCCAGTGTGTGTGTGTGTGGGGGGGGGGGGGCACTCCAGGGGGGTCGGAGACTCGGTCTCCACGGGGTCGGAGTATGTATACTCCCGCGGGAGATCAACACTCCATCGGTGCCGTGCGACACTTCACACCATATCATAAAAACCGTGCAAAAAGAAACTAGTCAAGGGACTAGTTAGTCGAAGGCATCACGGTACTAGTCACCGCTGGACGAACAGATACAGATAGGGGGTGCCGGTGGCGAGGAAACCACTGAGGGTGGGTACAGAGTACACAGGGCTGGAGGTCCGTAGCAGCCTGTCCAGGAGCAGCCGATAGTGGATCAGTGGGAGCGCACAGCGCAGAAATGTGGCCGGCGGGGAGATAGACGAACCAAGGACAGAGGGTCGCCCCGCGGCACAGGTTCCAGGGAGGGGGAGTATTATACTGGGCCGCAGCCCGGCCCACACTCATATGAACGCACGTCACGAAAAGAAGCTCTCATGCGCGGACCAGGCACAGTACGACAAGCCATCGGTCCGGGGACGGCTACCGGCAGCCTCTGCCGCGTCAGTGACTGCGGCTGCCGGTAGCCGCCGCCGCGCCCCGTCACACGTCGTCAGCTCGAGCAGAGGGACTGGCCCACCGCGTCTCGTCAGCCACTAGGTGGCTCTGTCGCTCCAGCGTCACCACTCTGGTGGACTCACGTCACACGCTCTCACACCGGACCCGCACACACACACAGACACACACAGAGGCTGGACCTCCGACAGCGCTCGGACCGGCACCGGGCGCGGCCGCCTCAGACTGGTTAAAACCAAACGCGCGCGAAACGCAGCCAACGCTGGCTCGACGGATTTACGTACGGCAGTGACATGGCGAATAACAGGCGTTTTGTTGAGTTCCCGACGCCGGTCAATCCCAGTCTTTTTAAATCACACCAGTTACCTTCGAAAACTCACTTTCCGAGATCGACTTTGGCCATAGGAATCGATCAACATATAGAAAGGCCTCTTTAATCTCCCGAAGATCTCATATATGAGAAATCCCTCCCAGAAAACGTACTTCGATTCGTTCACAATATAAATCTGAGATTTCTTCGTCAGATCTGTAAAAGAACTCCACCAGATCTGACGCTTTCGTTGCGCGTTTGTTCATAAAGGCCGCCGGCTCTGCCTGTCTTGGACCGGCCACCGATTTACCGAAGGGAGATCAGATCGTGCGCGCGCCGGGAAGCTCGCAGAGGCGGCGTCTGGTAGCCAGGCTCGGCCTCGGCTCACGGCTCGGCCGGCGCCGCCTCCCGCCTGATGGGCTCCGGCTCGTCACCACCGTTCAGCGGCACCTCTGGGGGAGGCGCGGGGAGGTTGTGTCAGCGGCACGGGGAGGGACTGTCACTGTCAGTGGCACGGGGAGGAACTGTCACTGTCAGCGGCACGGGGAGGGCTGTGTCAGCGGCACGGGGAGGGGACTGTCAGCGGCACGGGAAGGAACTGTCACTGTCAACGGCACGGGGAGTGCTGTGTCAGCGGCACGGGGAGGGTCTGTGTCAGCGCCCAGCGGCCCTATACGAGCGGCGCAGGGGGGGGGGGCTGCATGTGTCCGTGACACGGGGATCGCATACTGACTGGAGTAAGGTTTTTGGTGCAAGCTGGTTATTATCACCCGGGCTAACTGACACACATTTCTGCATGTCAAAATCAGTTGCTTCAATTGCATATTTACATAGCTACGGCTCACCCGCACCAATCCGATGGCGCCTACTCTTCCGGTTATACCCCCGTGAGCCCCATCCCCACCACCCTGCCCCGGCACACACCTCAATCTTCCCCTCCCCACTTACTAACCGCCCTTCCCCACCGCCCTGCCCCGGCACACACCCCAGTCTTCCCCTCCCCACTTACTAACCGCCCTGCCCCGGCACACACCTCACTCTTCCCCTCCCCACTTACTAACCACCCTTCCCCACCACCCTGCCCCGGCACACACCTCACTCTTCCCCTCCCCACTTACTTACCACCCTTCCCCACCGCCCTGCCCCGGCACACACCTCACTCTTCCCCTCCCCACTTACTAACCACCCTTCCCCACCATCCTGCCCCGGCACACATCTCACTCTTCCCCTCCCCACTTACTCACCAACCCCTCTATAAAAATTACACCCTGTAGACGAGGATGAGTAGCAGGCATAGCGCGAGGCGCATATCTCGCGAAGTGAAAATACGAGAAGAGCAATAAAAGGAGTTGGAACCGAGCAACTGTGGTGTTTTGAAGCAGCATTAAGAATTAAGTAAAGTATCACTTCTTAAGAAATATCGTTAAGATGTTAAGATAATACACAACGCGAGGTTATATACAGATTCATTTAGAACATCCTGGTGCATGTGACCCAGACATGAGAAAGCCGCGCAGAATGGCTAATCCATCGAATGAAGAAGCTATGGACAGACAGAAGCCAGAGAGCAAAATGAGAACAAAACAACGGATTCTGAAGGAAATTCGTATGAGTGAGAGCAAGTTAAATGATCTAATTGGAAGCCAAAGCCCATCAGTAGCAGAGCTGCAAGCGATTACTAGCCAACTCGGAGAACAGGCCGGTGAACTACTGGATGTGGTGGAAGCGATCTGGGAGGAAACAAACGGTGGTGAAGTGCAATCGGGCCCCTTGTGGGAGATGTATCACAGCGTGGAAGCTAGCGTTCAAGAGTCGGTGAATGTCACAAGCAAATACATTAGAAGAGCATTGACAGAAAACATCGATTGTGAAAAGAACAGTTCCGCTGCAGAAACCAGTGTAGAGGCAGAACAAGAAAAAAGTGACGGAAGGAAAGAACGAGAAAAAAGTCAGAATCATCATGGAACAAATGAAACAGCCATAAAAGGAATCAAGCCACCCGAACTGCCCAACTTTGATGGCCACAAAGGATACAGTGATTGGTGTGCGATTTTCGACGCGTTTGTGGGCAACGCTAACGTTTCAGCGGAACTTAAGATGGTGTATCTGAAAAATAGTTTAAGTGGCGACCCTCTTCGGATAGTAGAACGCTACCGGTTGACTGAATCAGGATACACAAAGGCAAGAGAAGAGCTGGAGAAAAAATACGGTGGATGGGAAAGGCGAGTAAGGAGCGAGATGAACGAAATTCGAAGCTACCCGAAGATAGACGAAAACGACACCAAAAGACTGGAAGAATACTCTGACAAAATACTGAGTCTCGTCACCTGTCTCAAAGAAAGTGGCTCGGAGGGTGACCTGTCAGAAGTGTCAGCTTTCTACATGCTGGTATCGGAAAAGTTACACCACTCCTACATTAAAAACTACCACAGATGGCTCAGTACCGTGGGCCGGCAAGACAGTTTTGAAGTATTTGCCAATTGGTTGGCTGAAGAGGCAATGTGGGAGAAAAAGGCAAAGGAAACCACTACTTCAAGCAAGGAGAGAAATGTGCCGACGTTCAAAACGAGTCGTGGACAGAAAAAGACATTTTCTTCCCGGAAACAGCCGAGTCGTCCAACCAGCAGACCGAGCTGCTGGGTGTGTCAGGCGGAACACCCTACTGAAAGCTGCGCTGAACTGCAAAGCTGGGATGTGGCCAGACGATACGGCTTCTGCAAAAGTGAAGGAATATGCTTCAGATGCCTAGCTGGAAAACACCGAGGGATGAACTGCCGGAAGTTTCCTGGGTGCAGTATAGAAGGATGCGGAGGAACCCACCACAGCCTCTTGCATGCCAATGGGAGTGAAAAGCCACGTCATGCCGAATCAGAAACAGGGAAGCGGGTGCAAGGGAGTCGCCAGCAGATGAATCATCAAGCACGAGAATTCATACCACGGACGGCTCAAGAGCACATCAGCGTGGAAACTCCAGGGAACTCGGAAGGAAGTGGAGTCACCCCTGGTACAAGTTTCAACGTCGCATCCTTGGATCCTGAGAAGAAAAACGGCAAGATCGCGTTCCAAACGGCTCCAGTAGTCGTACGGTGCCAAAATCGTTCCCTAAAGCTGAATGCACTACTGGATCCATGTTCGGACGCCAGCTTTCTCAGCCAGGCTGCTGCTGATGAACTGGGCCTGAAAGGCGAAGAAGTACACTTTGAGCTTGGCACTGTTAGCGGCAGAAACGACGTCAGCATGATGTCAGGCTCTGTCGAGATATCATCACTGCATAGTAGTTTTCAGGCGTCGCTGGACGTAAACGTAATTCCCAGCCTGGAAGGTGCCTCCGTTTGTTCGAAATGGGAGGACATCAAGCAGCACTGGCCTCACATGACAAACGTTCCATTCCCCAAGATGACAGGTGATGGCGTAGATTTGCTGATTGGTCTCAGTGCTGAAACCATGCCGATCTTCGTGCCTATCAAGACGATTTCTGGAGACAAAACAAGCCCGGTCGCCGTGTTGACGCCACTGGGATGGACAGCCTTTGGCTGCATCGGTGAAGCGGAGCTGAGTGGTGAGTCGTATGAGCTGGAAAAGCTGAAGAGCATGACGAACACTGCACGTACGCTGCGGACTCACCTGGTGGATAAGCGACTTTCTGAGGAACTCCAAGCGATGAAGGCAATGACGGACATAGAACTCCTTGAAGTGAAGACATCTGAAGCCAACCTGCTATCATGTGAAGAGAGGCTGGCAGTCAAGAAAGCTGAAGAATCTCTGAAGAAAACAGGAACTCGCTATCAAGTGGCGGTCCCATGGCGCGAGAAGGAACCAGAGCTGAGCAGCAACTACGAAGCTGTGCTACACCGACTCGTGCGGCTGGAAAACTCTCTCCGTCGTCAAGGAGTTGATCTAGCATCAAAGTATCACGAGATTTTGGAGGACTACGTTCGGAAAGGATACATGACTAAAGTTCCTGCCAAGCAAAGATCGGACAGTGGGAAAAAGGAATGGTTTCTTCCTCACTTCCCAGTCATACGTGAAGACAAGGCAACAACCAAGATTCGCATTGTGTACGACGCGGCAGCCCAGTTCCGAGGAAGGAGTCTGAACTCACAGCTCCTGCCAGGACCATCACTGTACAGTGACCTCATCGAAACTCTCGTCGGATTTCGCCAGCACCCAGTCGCGCTTGTTGGGGATGTCCGTGAGATGTTCCTCCAAGTCGAACTGGCGGCTGAAGACCAGAAGTTTCATCGCGTATTGTGGCGAAACATGAAGACAGATGAGGAACCTACCGTCTATGAAGCCAAACGCTGGATCTTCGGCAATGCTGCAGCGCCTTTTGTGGCACAGTTCGTCTTGAAAGAACATGCACGGAGGAATGCTGATGAATTTCCTTTAGCTGCAGAAGTCGTCAGCAAACATGTCTACATGGATGATGCGATAGCGTCCTTCAAGGATGCAGAGTCTGCCATTGAAGCTAGAGCTCAGCTTCGTGAAATGCTAGAAAAGGCTGGGATGGAGATGAAGAAATGGAAGTCAAATAGCCAGGAAGTTATGGAAACGATACCGGCGCAGGACAGAGCTCCAACCTCTCATCACCGGATCGAAGACAGAGGAGCAAACCCAACGAAGACACTAGGTGTAGTGTGGTCAGCAGGAGATGACAGTCTCTCACTGGATGCCACAAAACGCAGTTCAAAGTCTGGAAGTTGGACGAAGAGAGATGTTCTGAGAGAGATGTCGACGGTGTTTGACCCCTTGTGTTTATTTGCACCGTTCACGCTACGAGCGAAGATGCTGTTCCAGCTGACTTGGAGTGATGGTGCTGGCTGGGACGACGTCCTACCCGAAGACCAGCAAAAGAAGTGGTCAGAGTGGTTTTACGAGCTGGGCGAACTCGGCACCATATCTGTGCCTCGATGCATCCACCCATTTCAAGGACAGCCTGAACAACAAGTACACGTATTCAGCGACGCTTCGGAGCAAGCATACGCCGCAGCGGTGTATGTGGTGTCAGAAGACGATGGCGTTCGAGTCTCGAATCTCGTTCTAGCACGCGCTAGAGTAACTCCAAAAGCAAAGAAGCAAACCATTCCGAGACTGGAACTCATGGGAGCGTTGCTCGGCATGCGCCTGGTCAAAAAAGTATGCCAGGCACTTGGAAAGGACTTGAAGGAAGTATACTTCTGGTCGGATTCCATGGATATCCTATGCTGGATCAGGAACGAAGTGGCTCACTTTCAGCCATTTGTAGCGCACCGTGTTGCTGAAATCCGAGAGTTCACCGCACCGGAACAGTGGCAACACGTTCCAGGATCAAGCAACCCTGCGGATGCGCCGACAAGAGGCCTGGGTCTGGAAGAACTAAGGGACCACAACTTGTGGTGGCATGGACCGGCATATCTGTTAGATGGCGAACAGTGCTGGCCAAAAAGAAAGGAATTCAGCGAGGAAGAGTTCGACAAGAGTGAATTTCGCAAGCTGGAACAGAGGAAAACATTTGCTGTGACAACACCGGTTGCATCAGGATTCCGGCTCCAGCCAGAGAACTACTCTAGCTGGACGAGATTTCTCCGAGTGTCTGCCTGGGTATGGCGGTTCATACACGCACTCAAGTCTAGAGAAAGCAGCACGGGAGGCGATTTTGAGAGAACCAAGTCGAATGAACTGACTCCAGATGAAGTAGAAGGAGCTGAAAGATTCTGGATCAAACAAGTTCAGGAAGAGTCCTTCCCCGTAGAAGTGAAGCAGCTGACGAAGGTGCAGACGGGTCACTGCGTCTCCAAGAAAGCATGTCGTGAGAGCCAAGTCAGGCAGCTGAGTCCATTCATGGACGAATTCGGCGTGATCCGTGTCGGAGGTAGATTGCAAAGATCGGACCTCAGCTACAATGCAAAACACCCGATTCTTCTCCCGAAGAAACACCCAGTCAGTAGGCTGATCATCCGACAAATCCATGAAGATGCAGGACACGGAGTAGGAGTAGAGCACACCTTGGCTGAACTGAGAACACGATATTGGATTCCTGCGGCAAGGGAAATGATCAAAGCCTGCATTCGTCAGTGCGTGACATGTCAGAAACTCCGCCAGAAAACAGAGACGCAAGTGATGGCACCCAAACTGAGCTCTCAAGTCTGCCCATCTTACCGTGCGTTTGACAAGTGCTCAGTGGACTTTGCGGGTCCATTCATTACGAAGCAGGGTCGAGGAAAAGCTCGTCAGAAGAGGTACTTATGCGTCTTCACATGCCTTCAAGTACGAGCCGTTCACCTAGAAATGACGTATGGAATGGACACTGCCAGTTTCGTCAGGGCTCTGATGCGATTTATAGCCAGACGAGGTCGACCCACGGAGATAACATCAGACAACGGAAGAAGTTTCGTTCGAGCTTCCAAAGAGCTGAGGCAGGCTGTGGAACGTCTAGACCACAACAAAATACAGCGGGAGCTGCTGAAGTCGCACACAAAATGGACATTCACACCGCCCGGTGCTCCGCATTTCAATGGACCCTGCGAAGCCATGGTCAAGATGGCGAAAAGAGCGCTGGTGAAAAGCCTGGAACATGCCGATCTGTCGGATGAAGAGCTCCAGACAGCCTTTTGCAAGGCAGAAGCGCTCATGAACACCAGACCGCTGACGGTGCTGTCTGCTGACCCTGATGACGAGCCTCCACTGACGCCTGCCAACTTTATCACAGGACCATCAGACATCGAGATGGTGCCACCTGGCGGCTGTGAGGATGTCTCTCTTAGACAGCGCTGGAAGCGAATCCAGCAGCTGTCGACGGAGTTTTGGAGACGATGGCTGCGAGAGTACCTGCCGTCCCTGCAGCAGAAGCAGAAGTGGCTTCAGCCTCAGATCGACATCGCCTCTGGTGACGTTGTGCTGGTGACCGATCTAACCGCACCACGGGGGAAGTGGCCAATGGGTCGTGTGGAGGAGGTGATGCCAGGTGCTGACGGTCATGTCAGAGTGGTCTCAGTCAAGCTGAAGGGCAAAACAGTCACGAGACCAGTAGTCAAACTGGTCAAACTCAGTGTCGATGAACCACTACCATAGGAGGTGGTCTCTGAGTTAGTTATGTGTTGGATTGACAGGTCAGTCCAAAGAGGGGGGGAGATGTAGACGAGGATGAGTAGCAGGCATAGCGCGAGGCGCATATCTCGCGAAGTGAAAATACGAGAAGAGCAATAAAAGGAGTTGGAACCGAGCAACTGTGGTGTTTTGAAGCAGCATTAAGAATTAAGTAAAGTATCACTTCTTAAGAAATATCGTTAAGATGTTAAGATAATACACAACGCGAGGTTATATACAGATTCATTTAGAACACACCCGTTCACACCATGCGTGACAGAACAACCCATCCATCCATCCTCCCTTCCGCCCGGCCCGGCGGCAGCTCCCCGTGACTGTCTCTGACCCCAGCCCCGGGAGGCGGGGACAGTTCCCCTGTCTGTCTCTGACCCCAGCCCCGGGAGGCGGGGACAGTTCCCCTGTCTGTCTCTGACCCCAGCCCCGGGCGGCGGGGACAGCTCCCCTCTGTCTCTGCCCCCAGCCCCAGGCGGCAGGGACAGCCCCCTCAGCCCCCGGCCGGCGGGGCGGGCCACCCACTCTGCTCGTCGTCGTAGACGGGCCCGGTGAGCTCGACCAGCGGCCGGGTGGGCAGGTAGAGCACCAGCAGGCCGGCCACCAGCACGTTGTACCACACCAGCATGCCGATGTAGAGCAGGTGGCCGTCGGTGGGCCGCTCGTCCGTCCAGCTCCAGAACCACCAGTTATCAGACTCCTGTAACAGGCGGCCGAAAGGGGGAGGTCAGACTGGGCCGCTCGTCCGTCCAGCTCCAGAACCACCAGTTATCAGACTCCTGTAACAGGCGGCCGAAACGGGGAGCTCAGACTGGGCCGCTCGTCCGTCCAGCTCCAGAACCACCAGTTATCAGACTCCTGTAACAGGCGGCCGAAAGGGGGAGGTCAGACTGGGCCGCTCGTCCGTCCAGCTCCAGAACCACCAGTTATCAGACTCCTGTAACAGGCGGCCGACAGGGGGAGGTCAGACTGGGCCGCTCGTCCGTCCAGCTCCAGAACCACCAGTTATCAGACTCCTGTAACAGGCGGCCGAAAGGGGGAGCTCAGACTGGGCCGCTCGTCCGTCCAGCTCCAGAACCACCAGTTATCAGACTCCTGTAACACGCGGTCGACAGGGGGAGCTCAGACTGGGCCGCTCGTCCGTCCAGCTCCAGAACCACCAGTTGTCAGACTCCTGTAACACGCGGCCGACAGGGGAGGTCAGACTCCCTTGGGAGGCAGCGAGCGGGGAGGGGGAGGTTCCGCGGGCGGAGACCCCTGCGCTAGACGCGGCGCCATCGGAGCTCCACACGGGACACCGGATGGGCTGGGAGACTCCTCATTCATAGAAAGCCGGCTGATTTGTCGGGAGCGGTGGATTTTCGGTTTCAGGCAGAAGTCAAAGGAATCCACACCGTTCCGTGCTTCTATCCTCAGGATACTGAAATCCTTCTCCTCCACGCCGCAACCCCCCTCCGGGCTGGACAGGCAACTTTATCTCATGCGGGCTGCTCCCTTAGAACGGCACCGCTGCTCCTGAGGGAGCGCACCCCGTAGCCGGGTGCAGTGAGTGCCTTGGGGCTGGGTGGCCTGTCCTCTGGACGGGCTCAGCCCCGGCGACTCACTAGGGTGCCTGCCCAGACCAATGTCTCCCCCTAATTCCTATCATCCATCCGGCTCTGCAATGGTCTTGTCAGACCGAAAGGGCCTAACCCAACAAAACAAACAAAACAAACAAATCAAAGGAAACTGATGGAAGTTCGATTATTCCGTGCCACGAGCACCAGCACCAGTCTGTATATTGAGCAGCATGTTACTGGCATCGTCGGGGTGCATTGAGGATGAGATTGGTGACATAACTCAGAAACAAAGAAAAAACACCAGTTGGTCACGTAAAGAATTAAAGAGTAACGATCAAACTAAAAATCAGTCAGGATTGTGATAACAATTTGGGTTTTCAGGTAGCCCGAACTGCAGCGTTCATTGCCCCCCCCCCCCCCGCGCAGTAGCCACCGTTTAAGCAGCACTTGCACGAGTTCCGTTGATACCGTCTTCAGGTTACGGTCCATTAGCCAGTGTTGTCAGTTTATAACCCCAGCCCGTCGGCGCCCGTTGATTTGTATATCTGACCTGTCGAGCCCAACATGGCGAGTCGGACGTTCGTCCACATTGCGTCATTCGTTTGAACAGTACCTATCCCTGGTCAGGCGGTCAGAGTGCTCAACCGCTCAGGGCTCGGTCCCGCCATGGCGACAAGCTAGTATGTAAGTCATAAGCACGTTCGCCACTTCACACCGCAAAAAGCGGCACTTCAACTGTGCTCAGGGAGTAAAAGAGATTCGGAAAGGTATTCTGGAACGCAGCAACGGATTAACAAACAAAAAAACTTTTAAACAGCAAATCCTTTTCCGCCGCCCTTTTCCGTCTCACACACGCACAGCTAACACTACGAACTCTGAGATTCCCTTACTAAATTTACTAGCCCTGTAATCCGCGTGACATCTCCAACTATTCCCTCCCAGCCCTCTCCTCCTCAGACTTCCTCAGACTTCCTTCCCTTCGGACGGACCTGGCGCTCGGCGTGCTCCCTCTCTGACTAACCCTGCGCTCGGCGTGCCCCGTTCCCCCCTCACTCTCAGTCTCTCCTCCCCTGTGACTAGCACTCCGCTCGGCGTGCTCCCCTGCTGACTTACCCTGCGCTCGGCGTGCTCCACGCAGGCGGCCGCCACTGTCAGGCAGGTGATGGCCATGAGGGCCCGGTAGCGGCCGGGCACCGGTTTGCGGTCCCAGCCGCGCCGCCAACCGCCGGCCGCCAGCGCGCACACGGCCAGCACGTAGAGCGCATTCAGCACGAGCAGCACGGCCAGGCAGAGACACAGCCAGTGCGGCCGGCCGGCGAACGGGTCGGCCGCCAGCAGCGCCTGCTGCGTCACGTCCAGCGCCAGCAGCAGCAGCGCGCCGGCCGCCACGGGCGCCAGCGGCGGCAGCAGCCGGCGCGGCGCGCGCTGCACACCCTGACGGCGGCGGGCGGGGCGGGGGTCAGTGGAAACCAGCGGGGCGGGGGAGCGGGGTCAGTGGAATACCAGCGGGGCGGGGCGGCGAGACGGTCAGAAGCTAACAGAGCAATGGGGCGCGACAGGGTGGTTGGGGCGTACGGCAGACTACGAAAAGGCGAGAGAAGCTGTACATCACTGCTACGATAATCAAGCAAACAGTTCCTATGGTGCGATCAGCCATCCCCGTCACAAAAAAATGGCGTTGTTATATGGGGAGTCTCGGTAAAATAATATCTTCTTCGGCACGGCATAACACCTAAGAAAATAACTAACTTTCTGGGACGGCCGGTGCCACTAAATCACAGATATTCCGGCTCGGTCACGGAGAGTTACTTCAGTCGTTACCGTTACGGCTTGCCGCGCCCAAACAATGGTCTATTCCAATGACCCTCCCCATCCGTCCCGTCCCCGGTAAGACGCGTACCTTGACGAAGGCCTGCTCCCGGACGAAGACGAGGCAGAAGCAGAGGAAGACCAGGTAGAAGAGGTCCTGCCGGACGGCGTCCACGATCCCCAGCCACGGCGCGTCGTAGTCCAGCGCGATGTACCCCAGAGGGACTGCGGGAGGAAAGGTTAGAGTTGGATGTACCCAATAACGGTTGTGGTGCAGCTGGGAACTATGTATGATTCGGCAAGACCGAGCTTTATCTGCTGCAGTCACCGGCCAGCCAATGTGCTAACGCTCATTAGCAGTGCATTTCTTATCAATCGGTCATCAACATGTGACCAAGTTATGTATATTTAACGGTTTCATCGAGAACCAACTAGCATTCAGTAGCGCAAAACATGGCCCCTCGTCCATCGGCGTGCTGACTGATCCCATTCAGCCACACGAAACACACCGCTCAGCGGATCAGCAGCCCGTGTCTGACACCGTGTTCCTGTCGCCCCGTCCCACTGCGGGCGGCTGGCGCCCCCCCCCCGTCCCACTGCGGGCGGCTGGCGCCCCTCCAGCCCGCGCTCGGCGCTACTCACCGTCCCAGACGATCAGGGCGGCGGCCAGCAGGACCAGCAGCGTGTGACCGGTCGGCACGACCGGGTACAGCCGCCGCACGCGCAGCACGAACAGGACCAGCAGGAGCGCCAGCGCGGCCGTGAAGCAGGCGCCCAGGTGCAGGCACACCAGCGTGTACACCCGCGTCTGGAACACCACCTGTCGAGACCGAGCGGACCGGTCAGCTGGCCCTCCGTCCGGGGGACACACAGGGTTAGGACACCGACGTCCTATCAGTGAGACGACGGGCGCCGCCGTCATCACCGGCCGTCACTGAAGGCAGTGTCGTCATCACCAGCCACTAGTGGACGGTGACGAGTGCGCCTCCACATATCACCGTAGCCAGGTGTTGGGTAGTAAATACCTGCCGCCGGCCGGCCGTTAGGGCCGCCCGCCAAACATGCACCACCGCGGCGCATTCACAGTTCATAACAACACGGCAAGCGGCAGAGCTGACAGAGCAGTTATACCTGAGTTCAGCTCAATTCCGTAAACGGCGATCAAATACGGCAGCCCACGCGCGAACGTTGCTACATGCACTGTTGATGAGGCCAAGCCACCGAGATCATTATTAATGTGCCCCTGACGTGACCTTGCTGACCTGAATACCTTGTGAGTCCTGTCTCAGGCATCTACACTCAACCCCCGTCGGCCGTATGACAGCTGACAGCGGCACTCACGGAACTCGGGACACTCACGGAACTCGGGACACTCAGGGAACTCAGGGCCACTCACCAGGAGATTCATGGAGAGCGGCGGCTGCGTCATGTTCTGCACGCCCGCGTTCAGCAGGTAGTACTCGCGATCCAGCGAGGCCACCTCGAACAGCTGCTGATTCACCACACACCGCTCCGTCTCCGTGCCGTCAGCCGCCTGGTGACGTCGGGGGACAGAGGTGACGTCACACATCGCTCCGTCTCCGTGCCGTCTGCCGCCTGGTGACGTCACACAGCGGGGACAGAGGTGACGTCATACAGCAGTTCACCACACACCGCTCCGTCTCCGTGCCGTCAGCCGCCTGGTGACGTCAGGGCACAGAGGTGACGTCATACAACAGTTCACCACACACCGCTCCGTCTCCGTGCCGTCAGCCGCCTGGTGACGTCAGGGCACAGAGGTGACATCATACAGCAGTTCACCACACACCGCTCCGTCTCCGTGCCGTCAGCCGCCTGGTGACGTCAGGGCACAGAGGTGACGTCATACAACAGTTCACCACACACCGCTCCGTCTCCGTGCCGTCAGCCGCCTGGTGACGTCAGGGCACAGAGGTGACATCATACAGCAGTTCACCACACACCGCTCCGTCTCCGTGCCGTCAGCCGCCTGGTGACGTCAGGGCACAGAGGTGACATCATACAGCAGTTCACCACACACCGCTCCGTCTCCGCGCCGTCAGCCGCCTGGTGACGTCAGGGCACAGAGGTGACATCATACAGCAGTTCACCACACACCGCTCCGTCTCCGCGCCGTCAGCCGCCTGGTGACGTCAGGGCACAGAGGTGACGTCATACAACAGTTCACCACACACCGCTCCGTCTCCGTACCGTCAGCAGCCTGGTGACGTCAGGGCACATGGGTGACGTCACACACCGCTCCGTCTCCGTGCCGTCAGCCGCCTGCTGACGTCACACAGCGGGGACAGAGGTGACGTCATACAACAGTTCAACACACACCGCTCCGTCTCCGTGCCGTCAGCCGCCTGGTGACGTCAGGGCACAGAGGTGACGTCATACAACAGTTCACCACACACCGCTCCGTCTCCGTGCCGTCAGCCGCTTGGTGACGTCAGGGCACATAGGTGACGTCATACAGCAGTTCACCACACACCGCTCCGTCTCCGTACCGTCAGCAGCCTGGTGACGTCAGGGCACAGGGGTGACGTCATACAGCAGTTCACCACACACCGTTCCGTCTCCGCGCCGTCCGCCGCCTGGTGACGTCAGGGCACAGGGGTGACGTCATACAGCAGTTCAACACACACCGCTCCGTCTCCGCGCCGTCCGCCGCCTGGTGACGTCAGGGCACAGAGGTGACGTCATACATCGCTCCGTCTCCGTGCCGTCAGCCGCCTGATGACGTCAGGGGACGGGTGTGATGACGTCATACAGCAGTTCACCACACATCGCTCCGTCTCCGTACCGTCAGCCGCCTGGTGACGTCAGGAGACAGATCTGACGTCACACATCGCTCCGTCTCCGTGCCGTCAGCCGCCTGGTGACGTCGGGGGACAGAGGTGACGTCACACATCGCTCCGTCTCCGTGCCGTCTGCCGCCTGGTGACGTCACACAGCGGGGACAGAGGTGACGTCATACAGCAGTTCACCACACACCGCTCCGTCTCCGTGCCGTCAGCCGCCTGGTGACGTCAGGGCACAGAGGTGACGTCATACAACAGTTCACCACACACCGCTCCGTCTCCGTGCCGTCAGCCGCCTGGTGACGTCAGGGCACAGAGGTGACATCATACAGCAGTTCACCACACACCGCTCCGTCTCCGTGCCGTCAGCCGCCTGGTGACGTCAGGGCACAGAGGTGACGTCATACAACAGTTCACCACACACCGCTCCGTCTCCGTGCCGTCAGCCGCCTGGTGACGTCAGGGCACAGAGGTGACATCATACAGCAGTTCACCACACACCGCTCCGTCTCCGCGCCGTCAGCCGCCTGGTGACGTCAGGGCACAGAGGTGACATCATACAGCAGTTCACCACACACCGCTCCGTCTCCGCGCCGTCAGCCGCCTGGTGACGTCAGGGCACAGAGGTGACATCATACAGCAGTTCACCACACACCGCTCCGTCTCCGTGCCGTCAGCCGCCTGGTGACGTCAGGGCACAGAGGTGACATCATACAGCAGTTCACCACACACCGCTCCGTCTCCGCGCCGTCAGCCGCCTGGTGACGTCAGGGCACAGAGGTGACGTCATACAACAGTTCACCACACACCGCTCCGTCTCCGTACCGTCAGCAGCCTGGTGACGTCAGGGCACATGGGTGACGTCACACACCGCTCCGTCTCCGTGCCGTCAGCCGCCTGCTGACGTCACACAGCGGGGACAGAGGTGACGTCATACAACAGTTCAACACACACCGCTCCGTCTCCGTGCCATCAGCCGCCTGGTGACGTCAGGGCACAGAGGTGACGTCATACAACAGTTCACCACACACCGCTCCGTCTCCGTGCCGTCAGCCGCCTGGTGACGTCAGGGCACATAGGTGACGTCATACAGCAGTTCACCACACACCGCTCCGTCTCCGTACCGTCAGCAGCCTGGTGACGTCAGGGCACAGGGGTGACGTCATACAGCAGTTCACCACACACCGCTCCGTCTCCGCGCCGTCCGCCGCCTGGTGACGTCAGGGCACAGGGGTGACGTCATACAGCAGTTCAACACACACCGCTCCGTCTCCGCGCCGTCCGCCGCCTGGTGACGTCAGGGCACAGAGGTGACGTCATACATCGCTCCGTCTCCGTGCCGTCAGCCGCCTGATGACGTCAGGGGACGGGTGTGATGACGTCATACAGCAGTTCACCACACATCGCTCCGTCTCCGTACCGTCAGCCGCCTGGTGACGTCAGGAGACAGATCTGACGTCACATATCGCTCCGTCTCCGTGCCGTCAGCCGCCCGGTGACGTCAGGGCACAGAGGTGACGTCATAGAATGGGTGTCAGTCGCCATTCATCGTCACACATCGACAACTTAACAAACAGGGACCGGACCGGCGTCGTCACGTGATGTTGGGGTGAATGGCGCCCCCGATAAACCACAGCTCCAGGGCGCATGTCGAGCACCGCTCCGACTTGACTTGCTACCGTGGTGATACATCATTTGATGATAAATGAGTCATACAGCACAGGGATGACACAGGAACAATAACAACCGTGGATACTGAGAAACTGAGTGCAGAAACAACAGACTTGGACACAAGAGACTGGGAGTAAACACATGGCACGGCTACAGGGACGTGACTTGGCAAGCTTCAAAAGATAAAAATAGACAGACGGAAGTTCAAAGACCTGCAGCTGTATCATCAATGCCCGAAATAATTTCTAGCACAGCGTGTGGAGAAGGCCGGATGCTTCAGAGCGTCCAATATAACATCATGTCTTGATTCTTACGATGTCCGAATTCGGATGTCGCCATTCCGACCCCGGCCGGTTGCAGCAGTCGCCGGATGTATTCCGCCCCCGTACGAAGACCCGCTCCCCTCCCCTCCCCTCCGGCCGCCCCACCCCGCTCCCCGCCCACCCCCACGTCGCGTTACATCACGGACCGGTATCAGTCCTGCACATCTTGCAGTGCAGCAGCAGCTGGGGCGGCGGGCGGACGGGCGCGGCTGGGCGGCAGGTGGCGGCCGCCCCCGCTCCACAGTGATGCAAATGGGGTTCACGAGTGGCCATAAATACCCAAAAGTCAAGTTTACCAAATCGAGTTAATTGCGACATGGCCGAGTAGACAAATGTTTGGGGCATCTGAAATCACATGGTTTTCATGTTTTTGTCAAAACCAGCCTCGTGTATAATCGTCAGAAGTCGTGACATTTTCTAGGTCGTAAAATGACGGTCAGACACTCGCAAGTTCAAACGCCGCTGGTTTGCGTTCATTTCGTACAAATTGAAAAAAAATTATGCATGAGAATGATCCCCAAAGTCTTCTGCTTCTAATGCCGGGTCACAAAAAGCCGTATCTCATTCGCTTTGGCGGTAATCTGACTATTTATCATCATGTTGCAATCGCAGTTTTTTACTAAGAAAAAAAATGCTTTCGTTTCATCTACAGCACTTAACACAGTGTGTGCCCGTTAGTCCACCACACCATAGCCTTCCCTAATCATTTCTGAGTCGCATCGTGAAAGAATTAAGGCGCTAGCACAGGGCTGACCGGCGCTACAGAGGTTTTTGTCCGGGCGGTCGGGTGCCGCAGTGGGCTCGCAGTGGGCCGGGTGGGTGCCGCCGCGCGGCGTCCGGGCGGCGTGGCGGCGCGGCCGCCCGGGCCGCCCGCTGCGCCGCGGCACCCGACCGTGCCGGACGAAAACTTCTGTAGCGCCGGTCAGCCCTGTGCTAGCGCCTTAATTCTTTCACGATGCGACTTAGAAATGATTAGGGAATGCTATGATATGGTGCACTAACGGGCACACACTGTGTGAAGTGCTGTAGGTGAATTGAAAGCAAATATTTTTGGTAAAAAACTGCGGTTGCAACATGACTACAAATAGTTAGCTCACCGCCAAACCAAAATAGATGCGGCTTTTTATGACATGGCATTAGAAGCAGCAGGTTTCGGGGATCATTTTCATGTATAATTTTTGCAGTTTGTATGACATGAACGCACGCTAGCGGCACTTGAATTTCAAGTACCTGACAGTCATTTTACGACATCGAAAATGTCTCGACTTCTGACAATCCTACACGAGGCCGGTTTTGACAAAAACATTAAAATCATACTTTTTCAGACACCCCAAACATTTGCCTGACTGTCCATATTAGTTACGATTTATTCGATTAAGTGAACTTGAATTTTGGGCCTTTTTCGTATTTATGGCCACTCGTGAACCCCATTTGCATCACCGTGCGCTCCCGCCCGGCGAGCCTGGCCGGCAGCCAGTCGCCGCCGCGGCGTCCCGGCCGGTTTTCAGGTTAATGGCTCTCAGCTGGACTAACAGACGCACCCCGATCGGCATCCCAAACAAACACGGACGGATGGCGGACCGGGAGCTCGGCACCGCCGCCGGCCGGCCCAGCGACGAGCCACCGACCCGACTGAGCTCGACCTGACCCCTCGCCATCCCCCACTGCCGCCCTGCTGCACCCTCCCCGGCGCGCCGCGCGCACATCCCGACGCGGCGGGTGAGACACCGTGCCCCTCACACGACAGTTCCATTCCGGTCCGGTCCGCAGCGGGCTCACTGGGGACGGCACCGGGCAGTATCGGGCGGTGACAGCCGATACGGCCCGAGTGGCCGCGGTGGTCCGCCGGCTGTTCCGCCGGAGCGCGGACCATTCCCGGGACCGGCGGCGGCGCCGCATACATTTGCGTCACTAACCAGACGGGCACGTGAGCGGTGACTCAACCGGACCGGCGGAGATCAGCGCGGAGTCGGGATGGTGCGGGGGCGGAACGGATGAAAACGAAACAGGATAGACAGACAGCTCGGTGTCGAAAAGAAGGGAAAATGAGCCATGGAAAATTATTAAATATTTGATAAGTAGATGAAAAAGCGATTTGATAAGTAGATGAAAAAGCGAACGAATCGGTATGGATATTCAGAACGAGGAAATGTACACGATAAACGGAAAAAGACCGAAATAGACGAAAACAAGACAAATGCAGTGCAGTGCCTGGCCATAAAAATGTTGATGGGGCGGAGGGGGAGGCGCAGGACGCAGTGCGCCGGGGACGAGGGGCGCGTGGTGCTGGGCCTTGCTCCAGCCTCCACGGCATGCTGTTGGCGGCTACTAGCGCCATTGAGTGACGCATTCGGTTTCCATGGAGACAACACAAACTCGGGCGCTTTATTAATTGGCTGACGCCAACAGTTACAGTTCAAGTTGACGCTAATGGAGGGATAATGAAAGGCCGTGATTGGGCCCCAGTCGTTTGACAGGTATGACCACAATCTATGACGTCAGCTCGCGAAACGCGCTAGTAGCGGCTAGCAGCGTGCCATGGTACAGGGCCCTGTCCCCTGCCGCCGGTGGCGGGCGGCCACCGACCTGTTCGGTCCTGCGCTGGCAGCTGTCCAGTTCGAGCGGCACCTGAGCGCGGCCCAGCTGCTGCCAGTCGCGCTGCCGGCCGCCGCCGTCCCTGCCGCCCAGCCGCAGACGCACCGAGGCGTCCCGCGCCGTCTCAGCTGCCGGCGCCGGACGGGGCGGGTCAGAACCGGGAGACGGTCAGGGTCAGAGCAGCAGGTCAGGGTCACAGCAGCAGGTCAGGGTCAGGGCGGCAGGTCAGGGTCAGGGCGCAGGGACGGCGCCACGGATTTTGCCTTGCGGGGGCAGGTTTTCAGAAAAAGGGCCCAAACAAGATGGGGGCCAAACTTTCCGAAATATCGTCAATACCGTCAATACTATGCAAGCCTTTATTTGTACATTGACCTACCATTCCCACAACCGTTGCCTTCTACACAATAACTTTTGTGTTAAAAGACACACTCTTAACCCTCGCCCGTATTGGTGTTTTTCTAGCCACGAACGTATGGGCGGGAGTCCGTTGCCCCCCTTGCCGTTTCGCCCATGACCTTCGCAGAAAAAAACGAGCGTGCTGCTCGTGACGAAAGGAAGCCGATGATACCCAATTTTAAGGTCCTTGGTCATCGGGTAACCTTCCAGGTCAGGCCAATGACCCAAAAGTCGGGAAAATCGGGACATGTTAGAACGTCGCAAAGGATGGCTGCTATGGTTTTTTCGAGGTGATGATCACGAATATCATGTAAGTGATGAACCTAGACGATATCTTCATGCATTTAGGCCAGGTCGGGTCAGGTCAAGTCAGGTCAACCAGTTAGGGTTTTGCCACGTATTCGTAGTAGGTGGCAACCGCCCCAGTAAACATGCCGACGTCGGCCCGACGTCGGCCGACGTCGGGGTGACGTCGGCAACTCGGCATCAGCATGCCGACGTCGGCCCGACGTCGGTCCAACCTCGGCACGACGTCGGCTGGATGTCGTATATGCCCGCATGTTCCGACGTCCAGCCGAGGTCCAGCCGACGTCGGGCCGACGTCGGACCGAGATCAATTGCTGAGGTCCAGTCGACGTCGGGCCGACGTCGGGGCGACGTCGGACCGACATCGGCCGCTGTTTTGACCGTTAAAATAATATTAAATACATGTTTCATGTTTCATAAAGAGCTTCTGTATTCAAAATATCCTCAGGAAACTCAAATCTTCCTCCACGCCGCAACTCCCTGATCCGGACTGGACGGGAAACTTTATCCCATTTGGGATTGCCCGTAAGCCGAGCACGCCCGTAGCCGGGTGCGGTGAGTGCTTGGGGGCTGCTCGGCCTATCCTTTGGACAGGCTCAGCCCCGGCAACTGACCAGGGCCGGGCCCAGTTCATATAGAAAGGCCAGTCGGCAAGTGTCACTTTGCCAAAGTGCCACTTATCAAAGGGACACTTTGGGAAACGTTGGTGCAGGTGTGTAAGAGTGGCTATATGAACCCATTGTGGGGTCGCCCTTTCCAATAAGTGTCACGTAACAGCAATGGGACCAGGGAATATGAACTGGAGTCTGGACCCAGGGTGCTCGCCAAGAAGACCAATGTCTCCATCCAATGATCTTTCCGGCTCTGAAATGGTCTTGTCAGACCGAAAGGGCATAACACAACAAAACAAACGTCATTCGTTAGCTGGCTGCGTGGTGTAGTGGTTAGCGCACTAACTTCGCGTTTGAATGACACTGGGTTCGAATCCCATCGCCGGATGATGATTTTGGCGTGTTGTCCCAGTAAACATGCCGACGTCGGCGACTGGGGGGCTCGAATCCCGCCGCCGGTTGATATTTTTGGCGCGTTGTCCCAATAAACATGCCGACGTCGGCCCCGTCGGTCCAACGACAAACGATCTCGTCAACCTCGGCAAAAGATCTCGGCCCGACGTCGGCTCGACGTCGGCTGCACTTCGGCTGGACGTCGGAACATGCGGGCATATCCGACGTCCAGCCGATGTCGGGACGAGGTTGAACCGACGTTGGGCCGACGTCGGGCCGAGCCTCGGCCCGACGTCGGGCCGACGTCGTCATGTTTACTGGGGCCTCTGACAGCTTCGTAACATGTTACGAAAGCACCAAAATTACTTCGTAAATGTTCAAATGGCTGCTAAATTTGAATTCAGCTCCAAAAACTAGCCTATAAACATGTAAAACTGGAACAAAGTGAACCGAGGTCATCAAAGGTCAATGAGCTGACCTGACCTTCCGGTGACCTTGTCACCCACCCTAATTCATGGAAGCAGCATCATATCCCATGTTTGAACGCTTGAAACCACGAAAAGACTGCAAACGCGCGGCTCATGCGAGCCGACATACGCTGAATCGCGATTCCGGCCAAACATGGTCTAAAAAAGTAGGTCACAGGTCAAAGGTCATTAGGGTCAGGGTCATTAAATCTTTAGGATAGGTGTAAAATTGATCAACGCGACGGTATTGAAAGTTCCGTCTCGATCAGCCGCTCTTTACGCGAGTTATTCGCGAAAAACCGAGGGGGTCCGTTCGACAACAGGCAAGACATTGTTCGTGTGGTAACATGAATAGGTAACCTTTTTTTGGAAGCTGTTTACTATCCTGACCAACGAATTTCACTAAACAACCTGAATCAGCCTGAGCAGCCAAAGTTCTGAACAAAAGCGTGTTTTCAATACTCGAGTTTATCATGCCCCGCCTCCCGGCTGGAAAGTGACTCGGACGGACAGAGTGGCTCAAACAGGAGCTCGGCTCGACAGGGCCGGCCCAAAAACACCGTTACACACATGACACAGGAGCGGCGCCTGGGGTAATGCGATTAGGTTGACCTTAAGGCCCTCGCATGAGTGGTATGGGCCCTCTCAAGTATGGTACGGTTGACCCCGAAGGTTGACCGGCGGCCAGGGTTTAGTGCGGCGTACTCGCGGGCGATTTCGATATCATAGGGACCCTATGAGGCCTAATTTCTATGTTCCCCCGAGACTGGATATGGGCCCTCTGAGGTCTTGAATGGGCATTCAGAGACCTGTTACGCCCCATTAGGCCTAGTATGGACATTCTGAAGCCTGGTATAGGCACTTTGTGGCCTGGTCCCCATTAAGTCTATTATGAACCTTCTAAGGCCTAGTAGAGGCCTCAGAGACCTGGCTTGGCCCCTTGAGACCTGATATGATCCTTCTGAAGCCTAGTTGGGGCCCCTGAGGCCTGGTATGGGCCTTCTGAAGTTCGGTAGATCCTCAGTTTGGCATGGCCATTGGAGCCCGGTAAAGGCCCTTTTTTGACTGGTAGGGACCCTCAGAGGCTTGATATGGGCCTTTTTATACTACTAGGGGGCTTCTGAGGCCTGCTATGTACTCCCTCTCAGACATTCTAAGGACCTCACCAGACCTTTTAATGACCTTCTCAGTACTGCTGCACTCTGCAGGCCCTCGCATGAGTGGTATGGGCCCTCTCAGGTATGGTGCGGGCCCTCCCATGTCATTGCAACAGTCCTCTCAGTACTGCTGGGGGCCCTTGCATGATTGCCATTGACTGACATAACCCTCAGTACCTAATATGTCAAGGTACGGGCCCTCACATTACTTGCGATGGCCCCCTCAGTACTGTTATGGGCCCCCTCAGTACTGATATGGGCCCTGTCACGGCTGGTATGGGCCCTCTCAGGCATTTTACAGGCTCTCGCACTCCTTCCAAGGGCCATCTGTGATCTGAGCACCGCTGCGGGCCCTGTCATGACTGGTATGGGCCCTCTCCTTCTCAGACATAATATGGTACTTACCTCCCAGACCTTGCCTGGGCCCTTTCATATATTGAATGGGCCCTCTCAGACGTGGCATGGGCCCTCTTTGGCCCGGGCCCTTTCTACAGCCTGGGAAGATAGGACAGGGCCACAATCACCCAAGATACAAAATAAATGATTTTCTTTCACTTTTTTGTGCTTAATTGGGCCCTTTTCCAAAAACATGGGCCAAAGCCCGTAAGTTTTATCTTGGCGGCGGCACCTTGAGAAGGCCCCTTTTGGCTTAATTCCCCACTCCTGAAGTCATTACAGCTCTGCCCAGAAGTCTTCTTTCTGCACAGTCAGAGAGTATTCCGCCCATACCTGACCTGCTGGCTGAAAGAGGGCCCCAGTGTTCAGAGTTGGGGGGGCGGCTGCCCCCTCTGCCCCCCCTGTGGCGCCGTCCCTGTCAGGGCGGCAGGTCAGGGTCGGGGCGGCAGGTCATCGGACCGAGAGGCGCACAGACGCCGGACGGTGGAGCACTCAATTAACAGATGACCCAATGACAACTGACACCGACCATGTTCATTACGGAAACGTCCTGCCAAAGAGGACATTTAACCCTCGCCCGTAAACGGCGATCTGCCACCTTCGCCCATGCAGGGGGGGGGGGTTGGTGCGACCCCCCCCTTGGCGTTTGAAAACGGAGCGTCGTAGAGCTTAGCGGAAAAGACCAACGGATTGCTCTCGCCGAGATCTCGCGATTGGTGGTATATTTTTTGGTCCTAGGTCAACATTTGACCTACTTTTGACCGGTCAAAGGTCAAATTTTCGGAAAAATAGACTTTTTTCAACTTTCCGCGGCGATTGCGGCAACACGGTGGGAGATATCGACTTGAAACCTTCACTATCGTGTTCCTTGATCAATTCTCTATCGTTTGGTATGTATTTCGTTTCCCTAGCTCTAAAAATGGCGCGTTGGGAGCGCCGGAAGTCGGCAAGGTCACAGTCGGCGGCAGAAATTCGAAAAATCAAAATTTAAATTTTTGAAATCTGATTGTATTTTTGGATTTGGGAGGTCCATTTGCTCCCTATAGAAGCTAATATTGCTGCATATTCCCATTGAGGTGACAAGAATTAGCAAAATAGTGGTTCGGGCGCTTTTCAAAAATAGTACCGGACGCTGTTCCTCTTGTGACGTCATAGCTCCGTGACCTGACCTGACCCGGTCAAGTTTCTTATACCATATGATAGCCAATACTTGCCCCAACATGCATGGGAAGTTTCATCACGATCCATCAACCGATGTCCGTACCACCGGCAGGAAACCTCGGGCGTTGGCACTCAGTTTGTGAAAATCCGGCCGGAGGCTGTTCCCTTTGTGACGTCATAACTCCGTGACCTGACATGACCCGGTCAAATTTTTTTTTTATCAAAAGATGCGCAAGGTTTGCCCCATAAGGTACCCAAAATTTGGCGGCGCTGCGCGCCGCCGTTTTTGCACTATTTCCGAAAAACCTCAGGGGGGGTTGCACCAACCCCCCCCTACATGGGCGAGGGTTAAAATCGAAAATGCTCCATTTCGTCCAAGGTCGACAGCGAAACATTCATCAGCCTACTTGGACGCCAGAACTCTGGCACCGAGCGGTAATTATTCTCCGAATATTTCGTGTGTCAGCAGAGGGCCGCCCGGCGGATTCTGACAGCAGTCCTCTGCGTTATCAGGTACTGACAGGGGACCGCTGCGTTGTGAGACACTGTCACTGACTAGTGACTACTGACACCTCAGCCGGCGTCTCTCAGCTCGCCGGCTCCCCGCGCCCGACCCGGCACAGTTTCCCCACTCACTGCCGTTACTGGATATGTCCAGGTCAATGCTGATATAGCCCTTCAGGAAGCGGTTGTATCGCTTGAACGGGTTCAGGACCCGCTCTTTCCTCAGCGGCATCTGGCAGAAAACAGCAAGAGATCAAACACCATCGACATAAAAAGCAATACAAAAGATATGGCTAAGATAAGAATATACTGAAATCATAATCAAAATGAAACGAGCACACGAAAATATTTAACATTCTAAATAGATTGAGCATTCAAAATGTGTAGCATTACGCAAAATAACAAACGTAGTGAATGTCTAGGAATATATTACCTCGAGAGAATACAAACTGAGAAAAAACATTAACTGATCTGACGACAGCAATTGACTCCCATCTCCTGCCTCCCCTAAGACCGCCGTCCCGCCGTCTGGTGGAGCGCCCGGGCCGCCCCACTGCCGTCACCGGCTGACCTGGAAGGAGGTGTGCAGCTTCCCGTCGATGAAGAAGCGCCGGAACAGCTCCCGGTTGTGCTCCTCCTCGGCGTGCGGCTCGACGCGCGTGCACACAAAGTCGTCCTCGTCGATCCTCCAGGACTGGCGCGGGGGGGGGGGCGTCAGTGGGGCGGCGGCGCGGACGGCGGGTGGGGAGGACAGAGGAGCCTAGGGGCGACAGCGGGGACCGGCGGCACGGGACGGACGACCCAACCAGACAGGCCGGGCGGCGTGCTGAGGTCGGCGCACATCCATCCACCCCTTCGGTGTACCGGAGATGTCATCTCAGCCATTCATATCAATGACAGCCACTTAGTAAACAGTGGGTAACATTACCAAACAGCGCGGGCGCGTCCTCCGCCTAGGAGAGGCCGGTAGGTACCTGGGAGGCTGCGCGGAGCCTGGCGGCAGCAGCACCACGCCAACTGTGCTACAAGGAGTGGGCGGCACATGGCATGACGGCACAAAACTAGCGACTAGCCTAATCTAACCTAAACTACCCACAGGAACACCCCCCGGGGAGGCCAAACGCCCGGGGTCTCTCAGAGGACAGCAACTGCGCCCCGATCTGTCCCTGGGACAGTAATCTAAGCTAAGCTCGGGTCTCTGAGGACAGCAACTAAGCTCGGATCTTACAGAGGACGGCGTCCTACGCCAAGATCTCTGAGAACGGCGGTGAGCTAAGCTCAGGGCTGATGATGGTGGTCCACGCTCTGGTTTCGGATATCTGACAGTGAACACGCCCGGGTCTCTGGGAACGGTGAGCTACGTTCGTCTCTCTGGGAGTGGAAGTATACGCTCGCGTCTCTCTGGGGACCTCTCATGGCGCCCGCCGCTGACGGCAGCGGTCCAGCGGACAGGGAACAGCCGGCCCAGCAGCGGTGCCAGGAGCAGCAGCCACACCGAGTCGACTCTCAGCTCGATTCTCACTCTGTTCCCGTCCCTGAGAAGGCCGGAGCTCTCCCGTCCCCACCCCGCCACCAGCTGACCCGGCAGCACGCACCTGGAACCACGAGTTGTCGCCGCGCTCCGGCAGGTCCAGGCCCGGCAGGTCGCCGTAGTTGTACTCGATGCAGTGACGGGTGCCGATCATCATCGCCTGCTGGCGGGGAACTGGCCGCGCAACCCGTCAGGTCAGGTCAGGTCAGCGGAGCACGAACTAGAGTCAGGTCAGCGACAGCATAGTCGGGGCCATGGAGTCTCAAGATGATACCAATGGGCAGTGATCAATGTCGGGGTCGACAGGTAAGGTCAGGTCAGCGAACTAAGTACCGGTCTCTGAGGGACGAGCTGAGATAGAAGATGGCCCCACGCCCATGTGAACTAGTCCTGAATCTATTTATCTGGGCAGTACATAGGACCCCTGGGTAAGGGTTAAATTCAAGATCGGATGAGTTAAACGGAGAAACAGGTCCTTACAAAGCACAAAAGAAAAGTCATTTCTCCGATACGAGCCACCAGATCTGACATTGATATGAGTGAGACGGTGTGGCAGCCGCAGAGACACAGGTAACTTCTTTTAATGCTTTTTTCACATATCCCTGTTGCAATTTCAGTAGAGTTGAAGCCCCACAAACATCTCAACCATCAGACCAGCCAGCCAGCCGCTATGTCCCACAGCGTTGTGACCACTCACCGAGCAGAGCTGTGGGACCGGACCACTCACTGAGCAGAGCTGTGGGACCGGACCACTCACCGAGCAGAGCTGTGGGACCGGACCACTCACCGAGCGGAGCTGTGGGACCACTCAGCGAGCAGAGGTGTGGGACCACTCACCGAGCAGAGCTGTGGGACCGGACCACTCACCGAGCAGAGCTGTGGGACCGGACCACTCACCGAGCAGAGCTGTGGGACCGGACCACTCACCTAGCAGAGCTGTGGGACCACTCACCCAGCAGAGCTGTGGGACCACTCACCTCACCGAGCAGAGCTGTGGGACCACTCACCGAGCAGGCAGGCGCAGACGAACGCGGCCGCCACCAGCAGCACGCTGAGCAGCAGCAGCAGCGCCAGCGCGCCGCGCTGCAGCCGCTCCAGCACGGGCATCAGCACCTCCGTCAGCAGCGGCACGCTGCCCACCACGTACCAGATGCCCTGCGGCGCACAGGGCCGGTCAGGGGCGGCAGGCAGGGCGACACGCTCCCCACCAAAACGACCGATGGAGTGGGTCATGACTTCATTAGCGAATGGGCACAGCTGCACCGAACGGTACATACTTAGTATCAAAAACTCGTCCCGAGATATTATGTGATTTGCATTATGACTAACAGAAGTCGTAAGAGGAAGTTATCGCAAAAAGAAGTAGAAAGCCAAGAGATAACACGTATTTGTATTTGTATTTGACAGTTAAAACACTCTCCACAGTAAAATGGCTATTCCGAGTGTCGCGTCACGGTTAAAAGAAAAAACAAGTTAAGATACACTCATCAATCACATCAAACAGAACACAATTCAAATCACACATTCATCCTTAAACACGCAAATACAACTCGGAAACAGAGCGTTTAAAAGCTCCCAGAGGGAGATGTCTAATGTCATGGGGCAGACGGTTGTACAATTGGGCTATGCTGTAGAGCAGGCGCCGCCTCCCTGCTTCGGTTCTCACCGTCTCACGCGTGGGAGAGACAGATCAGTGTCCCGCCGGGTTGAGCGTGAGCGAAGGGAAGAGTTGGCCAGGATTTGGGAGGACATAGTATCCGGCTCTTCGGTGCAGCGTATTTTGTGGAGGAAGTTAAGAGAGTGGATTTCGTACAACTGACGGGCGGTAGGCCAGCCCAGTTCCTCTCGCACGTCCGATATGTGGTCAAATTTTCTTCGGCCGGACACAACGCGCAGCGCAAAACTGAGAACTTTTTGGAGGCGTTGTGTGTTTTTGTCCGACCACGGAACAAATAACGTGTCAATACCTGATACCGGACGCCTTAGCTGCAGAAACGATGTTAATATCCGCAGCACAAAACGGTAAAATGTACATCATTGGTGGCGAAACACCTTCAATTAAGGAGGGACACTGCCGACTTTTGATCCCATTCTTTCCATGCAACGCCCATAGGGCTAATGTTAATATGCCAAAATCGTGGGGGGGGGGCACGGTGCCCCCCCCCCCCACGTTCCGACTTCCGCCGCCAATGAGAACTGTTACCTATGCTTGAAAAACCGTGAGCAGTCATGGACGGTGAGCACTGTGCGCGGCCACCCTGACTCACTCGCTCTCCAGTGCCGCCCACTCGCTCTCCAGCTGTGCCGCCCACTCGCTGCCGCCCTGACCTCGCCGCCACCCTGACCCACTCGTTCTCCATTGCCGCCCACTCGCTGCCGCCCTGACTTCGCCGCCACCCTGACCCACTCGTTCTCCATTGCCGCCCACTCGCTGCCGCCCTGACCTCGCCGCCACCCTGACCCACTCGCTCTCCAGTGCCACCCACTCGCCGCCACCCTGACCCACTCGCTCTCCAGTGCCGCCCACCCGCTAGTTATCTCCAGACCGTCCACTGAACGGAGCGACAGTCCTGGAAATGCAGCCGCCGAAACAGAGCAGCCAGCGATACTGTCTCGTTAGACGCTCACGAATCTCGATAACGACAGTGTGGCGACACAGACTGTCACGATCGGGTGCAGACGGCGCCAGCTGCCCATCACGGCGCCGGCCGGGCCGCGGGGGACGTGCGCTGCTGATCAGCGGTCACTCCGCGCCACTTGCAGCAATGACTGGCCAAGGTCTGGGGCGGGTCCGCCCCCCGAGACACGCCTACTGACCGGACCCAGTCCGACCGACCGACCACATCACTCGGGAAACGGAGAGGAGCTACCGACGCAAACACGACAATCTATGAGATCATGATAATTCGAAAAGCACTTGACAAAGTTGAGCAGTTTCAGAATATCACGTCAATCACGTTATGAAATAAAGATACCCAAGCCAATTGCTCTTTAGAAAAGTAGAAAAGATCTCAAACCAATGTAATTGATTCACAGCATGCGTCACTGACCTCACATGACTACCTACCTACCTAGCATAGAAGGTATATACAGCTCAACTGACCTAGTGTCATCGTTCGATCGATATAGACAGTTGGAACTCTTAACCCTCGCCGGCACCGGCCATTTTGCGTCCTTCGGCGGCACAAGGGGGGGGGGGGGGGGGCACGACCCCCTCGCGTTTGGCCCCTGATCGAGCTAAGGCTTCGCGGAAAAACAACAAGCGTGTTGCCCGTGACAAGAGGAAACCGATGATACCCGATTTTAAGGTCCTAGGTCATCGGTTGACCTTCCAGGTCAGGTCAATGACCCAAAATCGGGAAAAACGGGACCTGTTAGAACGTCGTTAAGCGTGGCTGCTATGGGGTTTTCAGGGTGCTGATCACGAATATCATGTTAGTTTTGATCACAGATGATGTCTTTATGCATTTAGGCCAGGTCGGGTCAGGTCAGGTCAGGTCAACCAGTAGGGGAAGGTGGGGTAAGACGGCCCAGCGGGGCAAGACGGACCACCAGCCCTCCCGGCTGAACCGCTGCTGGTATCTACTGCTTTATTCACTCACTATGTTTGTTTTCCTTCGTAACAATGGCCACCTTGATCTCATGCTGCTAGGATGCATAGCTTTTGAGTTATTGAGAAAAATGTTGTTTTTCGTCAAACCGATCTAATATAAGACGTCTACGGGTGATTCAATTACGGAGCCTTTCTTGCATGATTAGTTTCTATTTTGCACTTAACTGTGAAGAACAAAGTTATAAACTTAGTTATAGTCACACTTTAGGAAAGGCAAGGTTTTGCAATGTTGGGCTATTTGACATATACGTCATGATAATGACAGAATTTAGATTTGGGGCAAGACGGACCACTGTGGTCCATCTTACCCTGTGGTGGTCCATTGTACCCTGCATATGGAAAGTTCTTTTCAAAAACATTGACACAAGTTTAAGTAAGCTAATTTTTCAGGAAGGAGTCTTTGTTGCATGTGAGCCATGCATGCAAGTGCTCAGTTAGCATGCATTCATGCCAAACGACAATCAACACACATGTTCCCAGCTTTTAGCTGCACTTCCATCACACATGAGTAAAGAATAAAGGCTCATTTTGTTATTTTACCATTCTGGTTACTTTTTCTTACAAGAGTACAGAGCAGAAGTGTAACACACATGAACGGATAGCAGGCACTGCTGGGTGGTCCGTCTTACCCCACGTTTTTTCTTGTTTGAGTTTTTGACATGTCCCTCTTTAAGAGCATCCACCACCTAGATGTCTTTAATTTGAAATTTAGTCTTTACACATATCAACAGAGGAAGGATTGAGCATTCCGAAGACTATAAATAATATGAATTACGAGGGCAGTGTAGCAAGATATGCGGCCTCAAACCTTAGCTGGTCCGTCTTACCCCACCTTCCCCTAGGGGGTCGTGCCGGGTATTCGTAGGACGTGTCAACCGCCTCTGACAGCTTCGTAACATGTTACGATTTGGCACCAAAACTACTTCGAAAATGTTCAAATAGTTGCTGAATTCGAATTCAGCTCCAAAAACTAGCCTCAAAGCATGTAAAACTCGAAAAAGTGGACCGAGGTCATCAAAGGTCAATGACCTGACCTGACCTTGACATCCACCCTAATGCATGGGAGCAACATTTATGCTTACACGATTAAGGTCAATACCACAAATTGTCTAATGCACCGGTGCCGGTGCTCATCATAGCAGTCATATTCAGGTAAAGTTGCTTGTCGGTGTAGGTATAGAAATTTTTGGCTTCACGGAGTTTCTTATTTATGTTTGAATTCGAGAAAAGGCATTTAGAAGCATTAGACCGAGCGCAATAAACAAAATGGGAGGGATAACTCTCCAATCCGTGGAAGAAATCCCTCCGTCCCCTCCCCTGTGGCGCCGCCCCTGCCTACCAGTCTCCCGAATTTCATAAGCTGATGAAATACCTGAGGTCTTATTTGTGCACGGTGGAACTGACCAGCATCAGCATTCTTTTATAGAAGCTTTATTTCTGTTTACATTGCTCCGTTGTGAATAACCATTAAAATGCAACTTTTTAAAACATTCGTGAGTGATTTTTGGAGGGGATGTCCCCTAGATTCCTCAACTGGGGGGACGCGTCGCCCCCGTCCCCCACTTTTGACGCCCATGTCCACACCGCAGCAAGCCAAAATCTGCACCACACTGTCGCTGCACCAGCTCCGCACCAGCCGAACAAGCCCGCACCAACAAGATCTCGTCAAAATTGTCATACTTTGCAGACTGGCACAGATACCCTCACATCAGATGAGTGTATCTTGTTTCCCAATGCCGCAGTATGCAACCACCTCAGATTCTTTCAACGCAACCAATTAGCTGGCTGTGTCAAATGATGAATCGTTCACAGCGCCAGTGTGTTATTAGTTTGCTTTTCGGTGTATCAGTATTATTTGAGTGCTTGAAGCAGTGGAGCGGTCACGGTGGTCTTCAAGCCCTCCCAGCGCCCGTGCACATCTTGAATCTCCCATCGCTAGTTTGAGTAATTTTCATGATCAATTCAATTTTTAAATAAAAACTAAAAATGAAAACACCTACCTACCTTTTTGGGTCGTTCAGCAGAAACCAATTCGTGCGCCTCCATCTTCACAATTCTCGCAGGGTCGATAAGAATTACACCACTTTTGATGCTTTGAAGAGTAAATCTAGTAAAAAGAATATCAGCCAAAGTAAAGTTTGCTACATTATAACATCTAAACAGCGAAAAGCGCACACGACGCACCAGCAGACTGGGACATGCCTAAGAGCTGGACTTTTTGCACGCGTTCCCCGCCAGGGGGCGCCACTGAGGAAGCACCCTCTGACGTCACGATAAAACTGCGCGCACTGTGCGCACGGTTCTGTAAGCAAGTAATATAGTGGTGGTTTCATGGTGGAAATTGGAATAAGTATTTTGACGTTGTAAAATTTTAAGCCGTTTTTGTGAAATTAATTGGTAAATGCATTTCAAAAGTATTTATTTAAAGTGTGAAAGGAGAATAATTTGGAGAATATGGATATTTTTGTTCCAATAGCTTATTATGTGAGACATGATCGGTACTAACGGGTACTTCTAAGAAGTAGTGAAGAAGTACCAAACAGCCTGCTCGGCTACGATCGTCAGCTGTCCTTTGGAGCTGGACTTCAGCATATTTACGTCTGGACAACGAGTTGCGGGGAAAAGTGCTGATTGTGTTGCAGTTTTAGGAGTCGGTGATTAGGCTGGATTTTTGGGTTACTTTTTCGTTCAGATTCATGTATTTCGTAGTGTTTGGCTTTTGAATATTTTAGTTCTTTCAGATAAATATTACTTGCCTTACAACTTTTGTAAAAACGTTTCATGTTTTTATAAGCCGACGTTCAGAGTCCTAAAAATACATCAGCACTACAATCATTGTAAACAAACAATGGAGCACCACTTGGCTCTGTTCCAAGGCCATTTTTTAGTTTATCTGGTGGTTTTCTTGCTCTTGTACGTCGTTTTGTTGGATGTTTTGAATCCCTTAAGATTGACTTATATCATATTTAAGAATCATGTTGACTGAAAACAATCTGAAGTATCCAGGAGGCTGACAGAGCCCGAGAGGTCCTGACTCCTGAGCAATATCAATATCAAGTTGAACAAGTTATGAAATTTTGGTTGATAAACGCAAGTTGATCGGGCTCATATATCAGCAAGAAAAAGTAAAATTAAAAGAGCTTATTGTCCAAAAACAAGCTATAATATTGCAGACCTTGGAGCAATACTGAAGAGCACGCTGAGCAGGATCATGCCAGAAAATGTTGACTGATGAGCGCATATTGATGTATTGGTATGAATATTGAATGATAACTTACAACAGCAAGATAAATTAGTGCTAACTATCAAGTTAAAATCTAGAATGAATGGACTTGGGCAGTTTTACTATGCTTAGATGCTATGCAGATTGTAATGTGCATCAGGTACTCAGTGTCTGGCAAATGAAACATGCGATCATTCCATTGCTACTGGAGGAGAAAGCTTGGATCACTAAATCCACTGTATGTTGATTTTGATGTTAATCATCATCACTGTATTTCTTGAAAAAAGGATTGTAGTAAAATTGTCAATGTGACAATCCATGCAACAATGTGATCATATTATGTGTTCATAGTCATTTGTGAATTGTGATAGTCATTATTGGTCCAATATACAATGGCAAAGCTCTCAGTCTCAGTGTTTCTTCCTGTGGATGGCCAGCAGTGACTCAGAGCTTAGAAGTATTAGTTTTCTTCACAGGGCTGGGATAAAAAGTACTGAGGGTAATCTTCCACCAAGGAACTCTACTTTGACATGGTATGAGATGTAGGCACAAGTAGGTAGGTGCTCAGTTCCTATAGTTAGTAGTTGTGTATGTTTAGTCGTGTTAGCTTAGATTAGATTGTTAGTTTTTTAATTTGCCAAATGTCCATAAAAATGTGACCTGAGCAATGAGCATACCTGAATCTGACTAACCTGACAGCTGACCTAACCTCAATCATCACACATATTTGCAGCCTACCCAAGACCTGCATGGCAGTAGCACCCAGTTATAGGTAGGTACTCACCCTAACTCAATCTTACCTGCTAACCTTCAACTTGCCAAAAGTTTGCTCACATTGCCAAGCTGCATCCAGGGAAACAGTCAACTGAGGAACTGGCTCATTGGGTGGCTGGTGTGAGTCTGTGCATTTAAAGTGTTTCTTCTCTGAAGCTGCTCTGCACTGCTGTATGTCATGTTAGATGCTCAGAAAATGTGGGAAATGATTACTAAGCTACTTTAGTGCTTTGTTAATGCTCGAGACATGAACAAGTACAGATCCTGCAGGGTACAGCTATGAGTTAGGTGCTAGGTGAGTATGTTATGTGAATGTGCTGTTCCCTGTTTGACCGTAAGTATACAAACAAGCACAGGGTCACAGTTATATTCAATCTCCACATAAACATACAACAAAAACAGCCATATAGCCTAACTCCGAACACAACACAGATAACTTAAGCCTTTGCAGGCACAAAAATGTTTTGATTAACAGGACAGGTTTACAACATATCCTCTGTCCTTGGGGGATCTTGCTGCCAAGTTGAGGTATGATGAATGAACTTCAGGATTGATCAACCTTTTCTTAGCCACTGCTTATATACGAGAAGACCAAATGCTTGTTTGTTTTGATTTACAGGACATGTACTCGTATACAATATATCCTCTGTCCTTGGGGGATCTTGCTGCCAAGTTGAGGTATGATGACTGAACTTCAGGATTGATCAACCTTTTCTTAGCCACTGCTTATAAACGAGAAAGACCAAATGCTTGTTTGTAAACAGCGTTGAAAATTTAATGATCCACCTTCAATTCTGACATGAAGGCCAGTAGCGGCGGAGCACCTACAATTAAGGGGGGGGGGGGGTGCACTGCCAAGTGCACTAGTCCATTCTTTCCATGCAACGCCCATAGGGCCAATGTTGAAATACCAAAATCAAAGGGGGGCACGGTGCCCCGGTGCCCTCCCCGTTCCGCCGCGTATGATGAAGGCACAAATGAAATAGTTCCCTCTCCTTTTGGAATACACAAAGCAAAATATTTAAAAAAAAATATTTAATAAATTTTAGTGGATGCACAAGAGCAATTAGCGTAGCTTTCCCTCAAGTTAACTTCTGGCACTGTTGATGAATTACACTGACGCTTATTCGCTTCATATTTTGTAACAAACGCGCTAAAACTGCAATATAGCAGCACTATATGCTTCTTGACAAAATTCATTAGTATTAAAAATTTAGCCCTGATGGCATTGGTTTTTGGTGGAAACGTAACTACAAAATATTTTGTAGTAACTATTAAATTCCGGCCGAAAACAGTGCACGGTTTAAAAAAGAATCATTCCAATAACGGTCCATTCTTGCGGTCCTGAAATCGCCACTATTTCCGGCCTCTCCAACGCAACTCGTTGTCCAGACGTAAATATGCTGGACTTCAACGCTGTAAAAAAAATATGTGCTGAATTAATTTTTAGTTTCACCAAAATATGAGCAATTTATCATTTCTTTTTCATTTTTGTAATTATTGTTGAGTGAAGAGATATGTTGCTAGTTCTGACAATATAAATTATTAATTAAAAAAACGAAATGCGACGGTAAGTATCTGCTACTAAATTATCACTAAAACCAAATACATGAAGAATCTTGCTACCATTGCTTATAAAACGTGCTTATCAATACACAAATGTTTTATTTCAGACGAGAAGGATTCATTTGCCTGAAGTCTTGCGTCATGTGCTACTGCTTTGATTCCAAAGACGCTCTCCGGGTCGGGGTAATTTAGTTCTTCATCGATCGATAAGATTTTGATTCCATTGATATCCAAATTTCCCACAGCCGGCAATGGGAATCTCCTGTCGGTGTAAACGCCACGATAGTCCCATCCAACTCAAACACTGGGGAATATCCCCGCACTTTTGAGGACGGAAATCTATGGACCTGTTCGAAAAATAGTGGATAAGATACGGCGAGTTTTATGGTTGGGTCTCCCTTCCGAGGCACATATTTACGGGGGATATTGGGTCATATTCCCCCGGTCATATTCCCTGTGAAGGTGCCCAGGTTGCTGCCGCTCGAATTTTGGTCGCCTACTTAACAAAACCTCCGTTGGTGCCATCTCAGTTTCCTCGAGGTCAGGCAACCTTCACACGCCGTTGGCTACCTTGGCTGGCCGGCGACTCGTTCCCCTCGTGGCGACGCTCTTGACATCCAGTCAAAAGTTGGAGTGGCTGGCGCCCCCAGTGGGGGCCGGGGAAGGGGCAGTGGGCCTCCACGTTGCTCTCTTCCCGAGCCTATGGTGACTTGGCTCAACTCTCCTCAATAGAATCTGGATTCTGCACGCTGTATTAACATGGGCGTAGACACCACTACGGACAATACGGACAGTGGGTGTGACAATCAGTAGTGCCATTCATATAGAGGGTGTCATATATGAGCGGAGAGGCAACAGTACAGCTGAGCGGAGAGACAACATTAAAACAACAGTACAGCTGGCGTTGCATGGAGCTGCAGGCAACCGGACAGCGGAGGCTTGCGAAAAATAAACAATTCGTCACTTCAACGTATAAACAATAGTATAAAAAGCAACATAAACACATATTCTCATGGTCGTACCCATGCACTAGCGGCTCACGGCGGGCACAGGCACGCAGTGTGGTAGCGGTACCGGATCACACGTCATGGGCGTTGTCTCAGCATAGGTTGTTATGAGCGGAGAGGCAACAGTACAGCTGAGCGGAGAGACAACATTAAAACAACAGTACAGCTGGCGTTGCATGGAGCTGCAGGCAACCGGACAGCGGAGGCTTGCGACGGGTACAGGCACGCAGTGCGGTAGCGGTACCGGATCACACGTCATGGGCGTTGTCTCAGCATAGGTTGTTATGAGCGGAGAGGCAACAGTACAGCTGAGCGGAGAGACAACATTAAAACAACAGTACAGCTGACGTTGCATGGAGCTGCAGGCAACCGGACAGCGGAGGCTTGCGAAAAATAAACAATTCGTCACTTCAACGTATAAACAATAGTAAAAGCAACATAAACACACATTCTCATGGTCGAACCCATGCACTAGCGGCTCACGGCGGGCACAGGCACGCAGTGCGGTAGCGGTACCGGATCACACGTCATGGGCGTTGTCTCAGCATAGGTTGTTCGCAATCTAGTTGAAGCCTAAGAAGACGGCCAGTGGGGTCTCACTGATGCTGAGGCGACCTCGGAGACGATGCGTCGCCCCTCCTGTCGGCGACCTGCGGTGAGCAGGACTCCAGATAGCTGTCTGGCACGTTGCCGACACTGCCAGACGCTGTCAGCAGGCCTCACTTCTGCAAGTGATGTGCAGATGGACGCCAGGTGACTTCGTCTGCAGGCGATTCCGGAGACCGCGGCCTCACCAGGCAGTACCACCTGCATCGCCATGTCGGTGTTTCTAGAAATGGAAAAATAACAGTATCGGTGAAGGACAAGCAATACAATGTATTCTGTTTTCCTCTCTTGCAGGTATACGTAATCTACAATTATCATTGTTCCTATTTCATTCAACTGAACCTGAAAATTCCATATTGGCACATTGTTTGACTAAATCTGTGTAGTTGGAAACAGGGGCGACGCCACGGTGCGACGACTGGAGGGGACATTGACCATTTTGGAGGGGCTCGGACCATTTCAAGTTGATTCTTTCCATGCAACGCCATAGGCGTAATGTTAAAAATTTTAAAAAGTGGAGGGACGAGATCCCCTCCGTCCCCCCCCCTGTGGCGACGCCCTTGGTTGGGAAGCAGATTGTTTGAAATACATGTTTGGCTGAACAGTGCAGAAAATATTTCATTGATCACTATAGCTGCAACAAAAAGACTGAGACAGAAAACATTTGCGCTTACCTGGCTCCTTAGACAGTCCCGCGCAACGGAAGTGGTACCATTTATCACAGCCTTCGCATCTGACCATTGGTGCTGCACTGATGCTGCTGCACTCCCCACATTCCCAGTACATTAGGAGCGTGTTGGCTGTGAAAAGATTACATGAGTCATGGCGCATACATGAATAGTAAGATGTTTTATATGTTTAACATCGCATAGCAAAGACAAAACAGCTGGGAGTCAAGTGTAAGCCAAAGTGTAAGCCCTGCCATGTTTTGCAGACTGGATTTTAAGCAAGAAAAGCTTTGCTAAAAATGACGCTTGACGAAGCCTCATCCTACTGGGCTGTCTGACATGTCTCCCTGTAAAAAGCATGTGGCCCTTATATTGTATATATGATGAATATGTTAATAATGCAGAGAAAACACAGTATAAATTATACCCAACGTTTCATCTTAATCGACTTTGTCAAGGGTGTTTGAACAGCTTGAGATGAGTGAAGTGTAAGGGTACCTAGGTACATCTGAAAATAAACTGAATCTGCGTTCAATAAACATTGATTTTGATAATACATTTCACAACTCAACTGCTAATAAGTTAGCACGACAGATAACTAACAATCGCATGAAGAACTTCTTGATTCGCCTTGACATCACATTGTCGTCCGAACGAATGTTGTCTGAAGTTACACATTTGTTTTTTCTGCGCAGCATTTGTGTTTGCCATTTACCGCACTAAATGTTCGCCAGCGGTGGTGACTTTTCCTTACCTGCTCACGAAACGTCACACACGACATGACGTCACCCGAAGACGTCATCAAAAAGTCCAGCTCTTAGGCGTGTCCGCAGACTGCCACAGACTGTAAACAATAAACAATCCGCCTCTCGGCAAAATGAGGCAACGGCACCAAGGATAGGTTTAAAACTACAATCAAGCATTGATGCGATCTTATGACGTCAAAGTCCTTGCGCCCAATCAAAAGTGTAGATTTTCAGGTGGTTCACAAATCTCCGGAGGGCTGTTCACGGGCCCTGTGTGCGGTCGGACCGCACACAGCCTCCAAGCTCCGCCCACTGCGTCCCTACGTCAGCCTTCCGTCACCGCACACAGCGACCGCTGTGGCCGGTCGGGACTGGCCACAGCGGACCGTCCACCGCACGCAGCCGTGACGTCAGAGCCGCCTACCCATCCCCTACCCCCACGCCTGCTGGACGCAGCGCACACACCGCACGCAGCAGTGTGCGGTGCAGAGGTCGATAAAATCTCTGACCATCTGACCCTAGTCAGAGAAAAATAAGCGAGCGAAAATCACATAAAGAAGAAAATATCATGGAAGAAATTCTAAGATTAGCAAAACCAGCATCGTTACATCCATACACCTATGTCATCGACTAACAACAGCACGGGTAACAATTTAGTGATGACAGTTTTCTACCATTTCTCCACTTTCTCCCTAGTCAGAGCTGGTCTGATCCGGTCAGAAGCAGCTCTGTGCCTATTAGGTCGGTTTCCCTACCAATTCATAACCAAATATCGCTCTTATTGGCAGTCGGAGAAAGTGGTGTTTTTGTCGACCGCTTTGTTTTCTTCAGCTGCCAAACTCTTGAGACAAGAGAAAAATAGTTGAGATTTATCAATAATAGTCGCTAATTCTTGCGATGTTTATTGCGAATCTGAAAGAATTTCTTCAAATACAAGGAAAAGTCTCAATAACGGGAAATAGCCACCTTAGCGGCAAAGACGCTAAGGCAGGGGTCGGCAACCTTATTTGGATGGGGGCCTTATATGTGATTTGGAAGCAACCGGCGGGCCGGAGCATGGTCACAGTTTGTTACAATCACGCGCAGGAGCAACGGACCGGAACACAATGTTAGTTACTGATGCCAGCCGCGGGCCGGATCCGGCCCGCGGGCCGTAGGTTGCCGACCCCTGCTAAGGGCCCGACAGCGACGCGCGGTGAGGGAGGGAGGGAGTGGGTAGGGGGACTAGGAAAAAGGGGAGATGAGACGCGGGGCAGGAGGGCAGGAGGCCGGCGCTGGCCGCGGGGAAGGTAGGGGTTGGGGGGGGGGGGACTCGCAGGAGCAAAACACTCCCGGGTTTCAGTCGGCAGAGGACTGCGTGCGCGTATTGTATTGTATTGTATTTTACATCATTGGCACTCATCTGTGGCGAATAGTCGGAGATACCTTGGCAACAAGTCGGCGCACGCAGCGATATGTCGGCGCCTACTCGGCGACTGTTTGGCGATTATATTCGTTTATCACAAGTTCGAAGCTGGCCACGAAATTTTCATTTTTCATGAAAAATTTGTGGCGGTCGTGACAAGCCGTAAAAGTCGCGCGGTGGACACCGAATGGTCTGCGAAATGCCAAGACCGGGGAAGAAAGATCCCGAATCGGTCCGCGACATAGGATGACCTGCATATTCGTGCACATTCGTGTACCAAAATTTGGCAGTGTAACAAGAGCTTATGACTGCCGTATACCAGTGTTTTGGGTTGCGTGGATAGGTATCCAAATTAATCATTTCTCACAATCGCGAAGAAAAACCTGGAGAAAATTGGCAGGTAGTCGGAGAAACTCCATGAATTTTGTCGACCTCTGGTGCGGTGCCCGTGAACACCCCTCCGTGCTTTTTGTTTGTCATTTCTGGGTGAGAATCAAGTGAGAATCGAAAACATGCTGCTTGTAAGGGGCCCAAGGCTATAAATGGGCCCACTCTCCACATTTTCTCCAGACTGGAGCGAAAACCTCGGTCATTCATTGGTTTTGAGACGGTCTGAATTGCTAGCGGGATTTCTTTTCATTCCGTTCTGAGCAGGAACTCATGAAAATGTACTCGATTCTGAAATGCTTTCGTTATGCATGTCAGTCAGCTGCATCTACACTCAACATAGGCGAGTGAGTCGCTCATGACTCAAGACACGAGAAAGATCACTTCTTGACTACCCATATAAACGACACCGATCACATTATCATTTACGTCATAAGATCACCATGTTTCATCTGAGGCTTCTACCGGTAGCATCTGCCCTGGGACGCCACGCCCATCACCCCCGCACAGTTACGACAGTCCTATGTGATAATGTGCATTGTGCAATGTGCATGACGCCACTAACGGTAAGCCCGCGCTGCCCGTGCCGCTGGTGACTGGCGAATTCGCCATAAATCGAAATGTTGGCAGACGCCAAATATGTAGTGACCGGACATTCGTGGAATAGTAGACAGATATGGGTCCCCGGCCGTCTTAGCTCAGGCCGGTGGCTGAGCCCATTGGGTCCAACCAAGATTACTTTACTTATATGTCCAACTGGATCCATGATTCGCCCGGACCGGAGAGGCGACACAGAAGTACACAAACGGTCAACCAGTTCAGCCCGGAGTATTTCGGTACGCCATCGGACTGGCTAACCTAACTGAACGGCGCCAGGAGCCACAGACGCCGCTACCTGGAGAGTTCTGCCCCGCACAGTGCGCACACGGCGATAGGTTAGCATGTCACCCGCACCGTTCAGATGACCACCGCGCAGAGCCGCGCACTCCGCCCGTCCGTCCGCCGGCCACTGGCCGCACGCGCCGCCGCCGCCGGCCAGTGACCGTTCCCCATTGTGGCCGCACTTTCCGGGAGGGTGGTCGGGGCCCGGTGCCGGGGACGTCCGAGCGGCGTCAACGGGGCGCCGACCTGCCGCGGACGCACAGGAAAATTAACCACCGCCCACGGCCAGTACAATGGCACCTCCACCGGCCGTCAGGTTTCCACGACCCGACGACCGACCTTCGAGGTACTCTTCAGAATAGGCGTGCACCAACTACACGTCTTGCGACTTTCACCGGCTTGTGGTCTGTGAGCATGGGAACTATTGTGCTGACTTCACGCAGGAGTGTGGAGTCACCGCAGTCACCACGAGCTCTGAGGCCTGCGATGTCCAGCACAGGTTCAGTGGGTCAGCGGCGCCCACGGCTCACCCGCATCGCACAGCGACCCGCGTGCCACAGACGCACCAGTCTCAGCCCACGACCCGACCGGGCGCCCACCCGCATCGCACAGCGGCCTGCGTGCCACAGACGCACCAGTCTCGGCCCACGACCGGGCGCCCACCCGCATCGCACAGCGGCCTGCGTGCCACAGACGCACCAGTCTCGGCCCACGACCGGGACCGTCCCTTCAGGGAGCCACCCGACCACAGATCATAAAGCGCAGAGCCCGGGCGCAGAGCACAGCACACATTTTCAGCACCAGGTGCCTGCAGCACGCACCTGCAAGGATCGCGTACAGTTCCGATGCAGTCTAGCGGCGCCTGCTCCCTGGGCGAGCCGGCGCCGCGGCGGGTGCGTATTATTTAGGCCAGGGTTCATAATGTCCAGGGCACAATGTGTCCAGTGCTCGAAATGGCCAGTGCCTTGAATTGGCCCATGTTCACATTGTCCAGGGATTACATGGTCCAAATGTGGCCAACTGGCTGCAGATAGGGTAAATTCAAAGAGGCCAGGGTTCATAATGTCCAGGGCACGATGTGTCCAGTGTTCGAAATGGCCAGGGTTCATAATGTCCAGGGTACGATGTGTCCAGTGTTCGAAATGGCCAGGGTTCATAATGTCCAGGGCACGATGTGTCCAGTGTTCAAAATGGCCAGTGCCTTGAATGGGCCAGAGTTCATAGTGTCCAGGGATTACATAGTCAACCCAACCCAACCTAACCTAACCTAACCTAACCTAACTTAACCTAACCTTACCTAACCTAACCTAACCTAACCTAACCTAACCTAACCTAACCTAACCTAAGGTAATGATGTTTGCCTACCGGGGATAAGGAAATAGTTTCTCGCATGAATAGATTGCAAGCAATAGTAAATCAAATATTTTTAGGTTAAGTGGTTATGCATCAGGCTTCAGGCCTTCGGCCTGAAGCCAGATACATAACCATTTAACCTAAAAATATTTGATTTACTATTGCCTGTAATCTCTCCTAAGGCATTGCCTTCGGCACTGCACTGCTTCGCATTGAGCTGGTTCCGTGTTTTTTTTTACATAATGACGTCACTATCAGTGACTATGTAATCCCTGGACATTATGCACTCTGGCCCATTCAAGGCACTGGCCATTTTGAACACTGGACATATCGTGCCCTGGACATTATGAACCCTGGCCATTTCGAACACTGGACACATCGTGTCCTGGACATTATGAACCCTGCCCATTTCGAACACTGGACACATCGTGCCCTGGACATTATGAACCCTGGCCTCTTTGAATATACCCTATCTGCAGCCAGGGGGAGCATTCATTCTGGCCAGGGTTCATAATGTCCAGGGTACGATATGCCCAGTGTCGAAATGGCCAGTGCCTTGAATGGGCCAGAGTTCATAATGTCCAGGGATTGCATGGTCCAAATGCGGCCAACTGGCTGCAGATAGGGTATATTCAAAAAGGCCAGGGTTCATAATGTCCAGGGCACGATGTGTCCAGTGTTCGAAATGGCCAGGGTTCATAATGTCCAGGACACGATGTGTCCAGTGTTCGAAATGGCCAGGGTTCATAATGTCCAGGGCACGATATGTCCAGTGTTCAAAATGGCCAGTGCCTTGAATGGGCCAGAGTGCATAATGTCCAGGGATTACATAGTCACTGATAGTGACGTCATGATGTAAAAAACACGGAACCAGCTCAATGCGAAGCAGTGCAGTGCCGAAGGCAATGCCTTAGGAGAGATTACAGGCAATAGTAAATCAAATATTTTAAGGTTAAGTGGTTATGTATCTGGCTTCAGGCCGAAGGCCTGAAGCCTGATGCATAACCACTTAACCTAAAAATATTTGATTTACTATTGCTTGCAATCTATTCATGCGAGAAACTATTTCCTTATCCCCGGTAGGCAAACATCATTACCTTAGGTTAGGTTAGGTTAGGTTAGGTTAGGTTAGGTTAGGTTAGGTTAGGTTTGGTTGGGTTGGGTTGACTATGTAATCCCTGGACACTATGAACTCTGGCCCATTCAAGGCACTGGCCATTTTGAACACTGGACACATCATGCCCTGGACATCATGAACCCTGGCCATTTCGAACACTGGACACATCGTACCCCAGACATTATGAACCCTGGCCATTTCGAACACTGGACACATCGTGCCCTGGACATTATGAACCCTGGCCTCTTTGAATTTACCCTATCTGCAGCCAGTTGGCCACATTTGGACCATGTAATCCCTGGACAATGTGAACACGGGCCAATTCAAGGCACTGGCCATTTCGAGCACTGGACACATTGTGCCCTGGACATTATGAACCCTGGCCTAAATAATACGCACCCGCAGCCAGTTGGCCGCATTTGGACCATGCAATCCCTGGACATTATGAACTCTGGCCCATTCAAGGCACTGGCCATTTCGACACTGGGCATATCGTACCCTGGACATTATGAACCCTGGCCAGAATGAATGCTCCTCGCCGCGGCCTCTGCCGACGGCGCGCACCGGAGGAGAGGGCGCCACGGTACAGCGGATCGCCACGACACCGCACAGACGGGACTGGGATCGTGCGCCACCGCGCCACCGGACATGGACGCGCGTGTCTCAGCGGGAGTGCCCTACGCGAGATCGACAGGACCCGTTCACGGCAGACGACAGAGATGCGAGGACAGAGGAAATGAGCAATATCCACTGGCGAGGAGTAAGGGCGGCATTTACAAGCTCCTTGATCAAGTTGGCAGGAGCAGGAGCAAAATAACATGTTCGTAACGAAACCCACCAGTAGCCAGAGTATCCCACATACTTTGCGCCAAGGTCCCGTCTCGGTGAACTAAGAATGAACAGTCGAGTGAGCGTACACGTTACACGATGTATTACCGCACTGCGAATATTTTCACTGGTATTCTCCTTGTCATGCGACACTTCCGGCTCCCGAGCTGAGCTTCTAACTGTCGCACACGAGAAGTGGTACGATTTACTAAACTTTTATTACAAAACGTCCTACAATAAGAAGATCTTGTGACACAGACTGACACCAACGAACTCAGAAACAAAGTAATGCAGATTACCAGACGCGTTAGCGGTCACCCGGCCAATACACCGAATGTGAGAAAACTGTTCATCACATGTATTGCCAACACATGTTAAAAACTGCCGCGCCGCTGATTTGCGTCTGATAAAAAGGGTGTTTGTCGGTCGGCTGGTGGCTGGCTGGCGCGCCGCCGACCTGTGGCGAGCGCCGCTCGGTCCCCGGTTACCTACACGATCGCGTCGGCCGCGCCCGCCCGGCACTCACTCACTCTCACACACTCCGTGTCACACGCACACACGCGCACCGCGGCTCCACTCGCTCCAGTCACTCTCTCTCAGTGTGTATGTGTGTATGTATCAGTTCAGGCCGCACGCACGGCGCACAGCGTTCTCCCGCACCACCTCCTGGTAACGTGAAATTTCTCCAGCGCCCGGGCCGGGCCGCCGGCGGCGCTGTCTGCGCGCCCGGCCAGCGGCGCCGGCCGGCCGGTCGGCCGCTGGCTCCGCCCGCCGACCGGCCAACTAGGATTTATATATCACCAGAGCGAGAGCTTGTCTTGGGTGGGCGACACCGGGCCGCAGGGTGGCCGGGCCGTCATCAGCGTCCTGCCGGCACAGAGCGGGCGTCAGCGGGCGGTCAGACACGGTCACACAGAGCCCCCGACCCGGCCCGGCCCGCGCACAGCCGGCCGCCCCGCGGACGGACAGAGCCCGCCCCAGTCCGGCACTGCACAGACTGCCCCTCCAGACAGAGATACTCAAACGGACATGGCTAGCTATGTCCGCGTCCATGTACGGTAAATCGGCGTCAGCCAGCAACTTTTGATCAGTCGGAAGAAAGCGAAACATGTGCCCCCGATACCCACAGAATTAGACTGATCACTACAAACTGAGACCGACACAAGAACGACTCTCGGTAACGAGTTTCATGTCGAGCAGTAGCACACAGACAAGTTATACAGAGTGGACAGGACGTGTAGTGGGTGCGGGCTGGGTCGGGGCGGTCCGAGCGGGGCGGAGGGAGGGAGGGGGCGACATCGGACCCGGGAATCAGTCAGGGCCCGACACATGCAGTCACGTGCACATCGAGTGGCCGGGGTGGCAGTCCCGCCCCGCGGCCTCCCAGCACGGCACCAAATACCAACCCACATCAACGGCACGAGTGGATCAACGAACGTTTTACGCGGTAATATTTGCCCTGAGATGTCCAGTTGGCATTGGAAATTCGTCTTTGAGCTCGCTTTTCCAAAATCGAGCAAAATGTAAGTAAGGTGTTTTTTTCGGATCAAGCATACACCGGTTGGCTTCCAAGACAGCATTTTGGTGACACCCCACGTGCTTGCTAGGCACCATGCCGGGACATCCAAAACTATGGGTGCAATTTTTAACATAGATTAGAATTGAAACGACACACTGAAAGCCTACGCAAGCCATCGCGGGTATTTGCATTGAGGTTGGATCCCCAAATACAATTAATGACAAAACAGCCAGTAATGACCGGCATTTGTTATCGGCTGAATCTGAGAATTTTCTATCGCTTGTGAGGTCTAATCGTGACTGCACTGAGCAGCTGACTGAAAGCGGCCCGGCGCGTTGCACAATCGCCGCATCCAGAGATGACGCAACGCCTCCCGATGACGCCCCCTGTCACAATGGAGGGGGGGGGGGTGTGTGGGGGGGGGGGGGTGCGAGTGGTGACGCGTGGGCCCCGCCATGGACACTGCTAGTCCCCGTGCAGGTGCCGAGCTGAGGGAGGGACGGAGGGAAGGAGACTCCCAGGATCGGCGGGTGCAGGCTGGGCGCACGTGCAGGCCGGGCACGGGTGAGGGGTGACGGGTGAGGGCAGCGAGCGACGACAGCCGGTCAGAAGCGTTACAAGAGATCCGCTGGGGCGGGCCCCCGGGACCAGGAGTCGGCGGGCCGGGCAGTGGGAGACGGGCCATCCACCACGACAGGGACAGGACTCGACAAAGAGCACATGAATATACTGCCTGCTTACAGGTCGCTTGCCTACACTGGCTAGACTTGCTCAGTTGACTCCTGAAACACGGAAAGAAGCGCCATTGTAGTAGACGGCCGACAGAGACGGTGTGGCGCGCGGCACGCAGCGGGCCCTCCCCCGACTCCCCATTGTGCGAGGACGGGCGCCACCCACAGCAGCGGCGAACGGAGCGCCGCGCCACCCGTCCGGGGCACACACAAGCCGCGCCCCGGCCCCGCGCCAGCCGCACCCACACACACACAATCCGCACCAGCCGTCCCAGACCCAAACAATCGAGACCAGAAAGGCCACCCAACCCAGTATCCAAGAACAATGACTCTGTTTCAGCAGGAGCCCGCCGCACGGCCCAGCATCCCCGCAGCACCGCCGGCCCTCCCTCCCCGGGCCGCGCCCCACAGGCCGCCGGCCCCGCCCCCCTGACAGGCGCTGCCCACCCACCCGGCAGCGCCCCACAGGCCGCCGGCCGGCTCACCTGGCTGGACGGCCGCGGTCGGGTTGGGCTGGCCGGCGTGCGCCGCGATCCCGTTCTGCTTCAGGATCGTCCAGTCGAACGTGTAGTCGTACTGGTGGTTCAGCGTGCGGAACAGGATGCGGAACAGCTGGCGCAGGTACATGTAGTCGGGCGCCTCCTCGAAGCGCAGGCCGCGGCAGTAGTTGAGATACATGGCGAACTCGCCCGGACAGCCCTTGCAGAGCACTTCCAGCGGCGTGGCCATCTTTTTCTCACTGATGCGCTCGTACTTCTGCTTCTTGTTGACCGCCTGTGTGACGGAGAGGGGGGGGGGGGGAGGGCCGGGGCGGACGGTCAGAGGTCGGCGGGTCAGCGGCGCTAGGTGACACACACAAGAGAGATACACCGGTCCGCTGTGCGCCGTAAACCACGGCGCACAGCGGACGGCGGCCAGCCGACTGGAAAAGCCGCCGTCCGGGAGACTTGAGGCGCAGCGCCGCCGGATGGACGGACGGCTCAGCAGACTGCTGCTGCCCCTCTCTGGGAGACCAGCGGCACTCAGTCCCGCGGGCGGAGCCAGGCGTCACCCATTTGACAGTTCACACTCGGTCGCTGCCAGCGGAGGCTGCCACTGCCACTCCCTCACCTTCAGACACTGCCAGGGGAGTCAGTCACTATCTCACCTTCAGACCCTGCCAGGGGAGTCCGTCACTATCTCATCTTCAGACCCTGCCAGGGGAGGCTGCCACTGCCTCACCTTCAGTCCCTGCCAGGGGAGTCGGTCACTATCTCACCTTCAGACCCTGCCAGGGGAGGCTGCCACTGCCACTCCCTCACCTTCAGACACTGCCAGGGGAGTCAGTCATCATCTCACCTTCAGACCCTGCCAGGGGAGGCTGCCACTGCCACTCCCTCACCTTCAGACCCTGCCAGGGGAGTCAGTCATCATCTCACCTTCAGACCCTGCCAGGGGAGACTGTCACTGCCACTCCCTCACCTTCAGACACTGCCAGGGGAGTCAGTCACTATCTCATCTTCAGACCCTGCCAGGGGAGGCTGCCACTGCCTCACCTTCAGTCCCTGCCAGGGGAGTCGGTCACTATCTCACCTTCAGACCCTGCCAGGGGAGTCCGTCATTCTCTCACCTTCAGACCCTGCCAGGGGAGGCTGCCACTGCCACTCCCTCACCTTCAGACCCTGCCAGGGGAGTCAGTCATCATCTCACCTTCAGACCCTGCCAGGGGAGGCTGCCACTGCCACTCCCTCACCTTCAGACCCTGCCAGGGGAGTTCGTCATTATCTCACCTTCAGACCCTGCCAGGGGAGGCTGCCACTGCCACTCCCTCACCTTCAGACCCTGCCAGGGGAGTCCGTCACTATCTCACCTTCAGACCCTGCCAGGGGAGGCTGCCACTGCCTCACCTTCAGTCCCTGCCAGGGGAGTCGGTCACTATCTCACCTTCAGACCCTGCCAGGGGAGGCTGCCACTGCCACTCCCTCTCAGTCCCCGCCACTGGATACTGCCATTATCTCACCTTCAGGCCCTGCCAGGGGAGACTGCCACTGCCACTCCCTCTCAGTCCCCGCCACTGGATACTGCCATTATCTCACCTTCAGACCCTGCCAGGGGAGGCTGCCACTGCCACTCCCTCTCAGTCCCCGCCACTGGATACTGCCATTATCTCACCTTCAGGCCCTGCCAGGGGAGGCTGCCACTGCCACTCCCTCTCAGTCCCCGCCACTGGATACTGCCATTATCTCACCTTCAGACCCTGCCAGGGGAGGCTGCCACTGCCACTCCCTCTCAGTCCCCGCCACTGGATACTGCCATTATCTCACCTTCAGACCCTGCCAGGGGAGGCTGCCACTGCCACTCCCTCTCAGTCCCCGCCACTGGATACTGCCATTATCTCACCTTCAGACCCTGCCAGGGGAGGCTGCCACTGCCACTCCCTCTCAGTCCCCGCCACTGGATACTGCCATTATCTCACCTTCAGACCCTGCCAGGGGAGGCTGCCACTGCCACTCCCTTTCAGTCCCCGCCACTGGATGCTGCCATTATCTCACCTTCAGACCCTGCCAGGGGAGGCTGCCACTGCCACTCCCTCTCAGTCCCCGCCACTGGATGCTGCCATTATCTCACCTTCAGACCCTGCCAGGGGAGGCTGCCACTGCCACTCCCTCACCTTCAGACCCTGCCAGGGGAGTCAGTCATCATCTCACCTTCAGACCCTGCCAGGGGAGTTCGTCATTATCTCACCTTCAGACCCTGCCAGGGGAGGCTGCCACTGCCACTCCCTCACCTTCAGACCCTGCCAGGGGAGTCAGTCATCATCTCACCTTCAGACCCTGCCAGGGGAGACTGTCACTGCCACTCCCTCACCTTCAGACACTGCCAGGGGAGTCCGTCACTATCTCACCTTCAGACCCTGCCAGGGGAGACTGTCACTGCCACTCCCTCTCAGCCCCCGCCACTGGATACTGCCATTATCTCACCTTCAGGCCCTGCCAGGGGAGACTGCCCTTCCGGAAGTAGACCAGCACGTAGCCCAACGACTCCATGTCGTCCCGCCGACTGCCAGACAGAGACACACACACAGTCAGGGGACCGATCCACGATATTAACTGCCCACGACGGGCGTCACAACGTTCAGCAGCCGCGGCCGGCTACGGCGCCACCACAGCAGCTCATTACGCGCGAGCCGGAGACCAGCGTATAGGGCTTCCAACAACGGGCGCATAATATATGCCGAGGCCTGCACTAACGAATGTAGGGAAGAGTGGGGTAATTTGGCGGCTTTTTTTAGAAAACGATATAACTTAAAATTGACGACACATTTCTGCATTTTCTCAACGCTGGCAGGTGTCACATTCATTTTACTTTACTGGACAGTGAACTTGAAATGATAGAGTAATTACTTATATTGAAATTGTGACGTATAACAAAGGTTTGCAAGGCGGCCAAATTGCCCCACTAGCACGGTTATTTGGCCGGGGGTGTGGGGCAATTTGGCCGGTGTTAGTTTGCGGTCGGGATTTTCTGTTATATTGCGAGTCAGCTTCAGATTCAGCAATGACGTGTGTCCTATGACGCATTTGCCGCATTTTTGGAGGTTGACTCAGGGGTCACAGGGTTCAAAATAGCCAAATTAGCGGCTCTAGATGCGAAGACAGTTTTTTACGAATAACTTTTGAAGTAATCACGCTAGGCCAAAACTTAGAGTACCATCGTAATTCTCTCGTCAGTCCGCATCGAAAGATATATGTCTTGACCTTGAGAAGGTCAAGGTCAAAGGTTGACCTCAGGTCACGTTGCATCAGGTCGCTTGACCTCAAGGTCACGTGATTTCAAGGTCATCATGCATATCATTCGATGCGCCTTGGCGAGCTGAACAGAATGAGACCATTTGTGCGGCTGTACCATTTTTATGTAAGGATTTATTAGCAAAAAACGTTTGATAACCTTTGATGACGTCACATGCTCTTACAGTTGACCAATCGGAAGTAAGGCATCAAAGTAGTCAAAGTTGGTCATGAATCATGTCATTTATGGTACAATTGACCATGAAAACTCGGCCGTCCCAGCATAGTGACCATGAGCGCACCGGCCAAGTTACCCCGCTAGTCCCGGCCAAATTACCCCATTTTGCCATTCTGAAAATTTATGTCTATAAAGTCATCACGACTATACGGAATTAGATAAAATTGCTCTTGGAACCGCTGAACACCCCCAAGAATGGCGCTATAATGTCTGAATTCGTTTTTAGCCCAAATACTACATGTTATACAACTTTGTGAACAGAAGTAAAAGTTACCATTTTCTAATGAAATTAACGTTTTATTAATTTTGAATAAAACTACGAGGGGCAAAGTTTTGACATTTTTCCTCCAGTTATTTCTACCCATGACAAATGAACAGAGACTAGAGTTATTTCATTCACTTTTATTAGACATCGTACAGGTGGGGGCGGCCAATTTACACCACCGGCCAAATTACCCCACTCTCCCCTATCTGAACAGGGGACCGTTCGCGCTGGCATCTGCAGCCGATCATCGAAACGGACCGACCTGCTGGGCCGCCGCCGTAATAAAGACATGGATGCTATAAACGCACACCTCTCAGCGTTTATGAAACAATGATACACACAACAGTCTTTGACATGTGCACTCGCCAATGTAAGCTAAAAAAAAAACTGATGTCAGGTTCTGAAGAGCACGATTGTGCTGAATGCTTTACATGACAATACGGCTGCCTGGTTAAACAAAGCCATGGTAAACACCCTGAGACCCCGGGCAGCGCATAGACAGACAGGCAGCATTTCGGCGGCCGCTACTACGCCGGGATGTCGGACTGCCGAACTGATATCGATACCAGCTCAAGTTGACGGATCAGGCTAATGGTGATCTCACAATGCTAAATGCACCCATCAACTACTGGGATGCTTTTTTACCCTCGAAGAAGCACGCAATCAAACATAATTTGGAAAAGGTGGATGATGGTTGGCTGACTCGCCAGTGTCTCTCGACTGCATAATGACGGAGCAGAAATAGCGGACCGGTCGCTCTGCGGTCTCGCTCCAGCCGCCCGCTGCCGGCGGGGCGACACGTCCGCGCCGCAGCTCCGTGTAGGAGCTGTACCAGGCGCACCGCCTGCCACCGCCTCCCCCCCCCCCCCCCGCTGCGCGGCAGTGAACCACACGACGCACAGAGGAAATAACGAGACGTCATCAGCGCTTCTCACATACAGCAGCTTTTCGGCACGTATAAACAGAGACGTGCATAGCGTACTTGGTCCGTAGCAGATTTAAAAAAAAAATCGCTAGAGCTCCGCTGACGTTACAAAGTCAGAGAAGGCACTCAAATGCATAAGCCCCTCTGAATTCGAGTGCTGCAGACTTTGAACTCAACTTTTTCCTATTTAAGGCATTTCTCGATGTTGTGAGTGTCCAAACCGGTAATTGCAAGCCAGGGACCCCAATTTGGCTATCTCAACTCAAAACTCATGTTACGGTGGGAATGGGATGGTCACTTTAAGAAAGCGATGGGTTGGCCAGCATAGTACAGAGTTCCGTCCGGTGGTGGCCACGGCGGACCCAGCGCCGGAAATACCTCTGCCCCCTGCCCTCTGCCCAGCCAACCGTACCCGGTCCCTGACCCACCATCCGTACCTCTGTCCCCGCTCGTCCCTCTGTCCCTACTCGTCCCTCTGTCCCCGCTCGACCCTCTGGCCACTGTCCGTCCCTCTGTCCACTGTCCGTCCCTCTGTCCCCGCTCGTCCCTCTGCCCACTGTCCGTACCTCTGTCCCCGCTCGTCCCTCTGCCCACCGTCCGTCCTTCTGCCCACTGTCCGTACCTCTGCTCGATGCCCAGGTGGGCGTTGATGCTGGCGTACCGCGCCGTGCCCGTCAGGTTCTTGTCCTCTCGGTACGGGATGTGCACGCGCGAGCGGCTGTCGCGGAACTTCTTGGCCAGACCGAAGTCTATCACGAACAGCTGCAACGGCGGGTCAGCACCGCGTTCACACGTCTGACGGCACCGGTGGCCACGGGCACAGCCGAATGGCCGGGCCCAGCCACAGCCAGCGGCGGCGCCCAGCCCCGACCAATGACTGAGTCCAGCCACGACCAATGGCCGAGCCAAGTCACGACCAATGGCCGAGCCCAGACTCATCAATGACTGAGCCTAGCCACGACCAATGACCAAGCCCAGTCATAGCCGGCGGCTAAGCTCGATTATGGTCACAGCCATACACACAGTCTGAAGACAGAGTAGCATATCCAAAAACTAAAATGGCTCTATGAGAAACCCAATAATAAAGTTTACCAAGCAATGCATTTGAAATAAAACGAATCTGAAAATAATAACCTCAAAGGTGGACAACTCTAGAAAATGAGTTTTAAAAATGTCCTGTACAGAAGAGCACCTTTCTGAATTCCGCACTAACCTTGTTGCAGTGCCTGCCAATGCCCATGAGGAAGTTGTCTGGCTTGATATCGCGGTGGATGAAGTTTTTGCTGTGGATGTACTCGACCCGGCCGACCATCTGGTCAGCCAGCATGAGCACCGTTTTCACGGTGAACTGCCGCGAGCAGAAGTTGAACAGGTCCTCCAGTGACGGCCCCAGCAGGTCCATCACCAGCACCCAGTACTCGGCCTCCCTGCCGAACCATCTGCGCAGAAAAAACACACGCCCGCTCAGACTCCCTGCCGAACCATCTGCGCAGAAAACACACGCCCGCTCAGACCCTGCCGAACCATCTGCAAAAAAAACACACGCCCGCTCAGACTCCCTGCCGAACCATCTGCGCAGAAAAAACACACGCCCGCTCAGACTCCCTGCCGAACCATCTGCACAGAAAACACACGCCCGCTCAGACTTCCTGCCGAACCATCTGCACAAAAAACACACGCCCGCTCAGACTCCCTGCCGAACCATCTGCGCAGAAAAAACACACGCCCGCTCAGACTCCCTGCCGAACCATCTGCACAGAAAACACACGCCCGCTCAGACTTCCTGCCGAACCATCTGCACAAAAAATACACGCCCGCTCAGACTCCCTGCCGAACCATCTGCGCAGAAAAAACACACGCCCGCTCAGACTCCCTGCCGAACCATCTGCACAGAAAACACACGCCCGCTCAGACTTCCTGCCGAACCATCTGCACAAAAAACACACGCCCGCTCAGACTCCCTGCCGAACCATCTGCGCAGAAAAAACACACGCCCGCTCAGACTCCCTGCCGAACCATCTGCACAGAAAACACACGCCCGCTCAGACTTCCTGCCGAACCATCTGCACAAAAAACACACGCCCGCTCAGACTCCCTGCCGAACCATCTGCACAGAAAACACACGCCCGCTCAGACTTGCCAAATCATCTGCACAGAAAACGCACGCGCTCAGACTTCTTGCCAAATCATCTGCACACATTTTTTATTTATAAATTTAGGCCTTTTTATAAATTTTAGTTTGCCGGTCCCATAGCTCAGTTGGTAGAGCGTTGGACTCCGCGTGGTGAGAGCACGCGTTCCCGGTTACAACAGTCCGGGTTCGAAGCGCGATGGGCGCTTGACATTTATGGGCCTTCTGACAGGTATGGTTGCGGTTGGTGGCAGGCCGTAGCCAGGTGAAGTCAGTGAGGGGACCGGCCGTGCGCGGCTATGTGCGCACGTTAAACTTTGGACTCTAAATTCTGCCATAGAACTGGAATTGCGCGATCGGAGGGTAGAGGGCAGGGTCACCGCAACAAGCTTCGCTTAGCGGTGGCTCTGTCCTTGCGAATCCTTCCCATCAAAAGGTTCGGACTAAATTAAAAAAAAAACACACACACACACAAAACTATCCTCAGCCTCGGTGGCGAACCATCTGCCAAAAAACTATTTACAGCTCCCCTGGTGAACCTTATGCACAATAAACACTTATGAAATTATGCTCAGTCTTACAGCTGAACTATTTGCACAAAAAGCATACTCAGATTGCCTACCACTACCAGACTATTCTGCAGAATAAGTGCAGGAAAGAACATGCAACATGCAAATCTGAATCCTCGTTCCAAAACGAGGAGCGCAAAACAACGATGCCAATCAGTCTTAAAGCAACATTTATCAATATTCTAAACGGTTCGTAAATCTTACCAGTGAAAGCTAAGGCAGTATAATATAATTTTCTCATAATTGGACATAGGACAATATCATGCGACATTATAATTGGTCACTACATAAAATGAGCTTTCTAAGCATAAGTACACCATTTATATGAAAGGTGTTTGCTATGTGTCGTAAACAAACTGTTAGACTAATTAAAGGATAACTGCGCAATCAATCATTCATTCCTAAGAAGTTGGACGGGGCAGGTGGGTGACCTGGCTGTGTCCACCCAGTAAAAATCCACGAAATAAACATTGGAGCGGTGCGCGGTGTCGTCCTTCAGCACGCTGCACGCTGCACGCATCAGCACGCTGCCGGTTTTCCCATATATATGGTGGTTCCATGTTAGCGTTCCTCAGCCTCTCATTTACCAACCGCACAGACCACGTGAAATTGACCAGCGGGAAGCTGAAAAACGCCAGCAGGCTGCTGATAATAACGGGCGCCCGAATAGTGCCCGGGTTACAGGGCAAAGCAATGTATCTGCTCCCATGCAGCACATTTGATAATATTTCAATAATTAGCCACAGTGAGACATATGTCCCCATTATCTCGAAGTGAATCTAAGAGAAATGTAAATAACACTGAAGTTAACAGTATAACAATGCATATACCAGGATTTTTCTGCTTCATTGGGAAATTGAGGTGGATTTCTCTGAGAATTCAGAAGGCAAAGATGTTGTGCCCACCAAACCAAGACACAGCTCTGGTACTGCTCACTGTAATTACAGCGGACTGGAGCTCTCTCCCACCGATAGTGAGCTCTCTCCCACCTAGTACAGACTATCCACAGCGGACAGAGTCTAATGCGACTGAACTCCTTGTCAGACATCCTAAAATGCATGACAAATAAGCAATGCACGGATACCAGATCAATTTAGAAAGCCCGACATCAGACAAACTTATCAGAGATGGAACAGGGTGCTGGAAGGTACATTAATTAGTTACGGAGCGAGCGAAGCGAGCGGAGTCTTACGTAGAATAACGGAAATTTCTGAGTATGAGCGGCCAGCCGTGCGGACGCTTTTGCGAGGCTTATATCTCAGGAACCACTTGACCGATTTACACGCGGTAATTTTTATTGGGTAGCTTCATTCCTTCTACCAAGTATTGGACTATTCCCGATGGATGTGGGTGACCCCTTATGCACGTGCCACGTGCAAAACCAAGAGGTCTCAGTTTTGTAATTGTTGCAATATCTCGATAACTACTTGGCCGATTGCGCTGAAAGTTGGCATGTAGGTAGGCACCCACTAGGCACTGCATATCCATGTGCTAGAGTTGGGGTGCTGCTGCACGTGCGCACGTGCAGGGGTCGTTTCCAGATCTCGAGAACGGCTGGACCGATGGCGCTCAAATTTGATACACAGTTAGGGACCAGTTAGTAGGGTGCCGTGCACAAGTCAGTTGGGACCCATTTTGCACGTGCGCACGTGCAGGGTGCCGCTTCCAGATCTCGAGAACGGCTGGGCCGATTGTGCTCAAATTTGGCACATCGCTAGCGACCGGTTAGTAGGGTGCCGTGCACAAGTCAGTTGGAGATACCCCTCGCAATTTCGCACGTGCAAGGCCCACCCTCTCGCTCGCTCCGTTAGTCGCCCCAAAAGGCGTTATACTGGTGGTATGTACCTAGGGTTTGATGTCAGCAAAGCATCAACTGGCCAGCTTTACGAGGTGCAGTTTGTGACCAGCTGTACCAGCCTGCAAGTTAGTAGGAAATGAGCAGCTCTGTCAAATATCCCTCATTTCCAGGCAGTTTATTCCAAGATTTTTATGTGGATGCTCCAGATCTGACTGTCCATGTAACCTTTCTTTTACCCACATGCTCTCATTATAAATAGAGTATCCTTTGACCCTGAGTTCTCCTGCCTTTTGCCCATCCTTTGGGCTGACAGGCTTGGTGAGCCCCAACAGGTGAGAATAGTTCCCACAGTAGTGGCCACTACATGGAGGTGAGGCCTGGAAGTATCAAAACTGCCAGCTGCTGCAACTTAATTTGGGCAAATTTGTGGAATAGGTAGTTGGGGCAAATTCGTGGAGGAGGTACACTAACACCACTGCAATATACAACCCTGCTGTACTCATCAACCAAATTATGTACCTATTTCGAGCATAGCACCAACGCATCACCCGTTCCATATCTATGAGAGCATTAATCCACATAAGGTTACAGGGAAAATGTCAGATCAGAACCTATATTGATAGGTACACTTACATCTACATATTTAGCAAAACATAAGCATCTAAATCCCATTCAATCTATTTGTGATGGAAATATACCCAAACCTATCAAAAGGCAAACAGGTGGGAAAGTGTGGTGTCATCTGTGCAACATAAAACCAGTTGATAAGACACCAGAATCCAGTGAGGACACACTAGTCCAGACCCATCCCCAGGGGGAGAGCCTAGACAGCTGGACATTTCACCTTACCAGATGTGCTTTACAAGCATGATGTGTGACTATGTCTCCCTAATTAGAACCACACTTTGAAAGACAATATGTAGCTGTGCTTGAGCAAGTGTACAAGACACATTCAAAATGCTGGGAAATGTGTTTGATCAATTCTTCAAACGTTTGAAACTGCCTGACACTGCATGTAATTGAAAATGTCTTCAATGTCCAGTGGTAACAATGCCAGAGCACCCCAGGCTGCTGTCCAGTGGTAACAGCACCAGTGCACCTCAGCTGTCCAGTGGTAACAGCACCAGGGCACCTCAGCTGTTGTCCAGTGGTAACAGCACCAGGGCACCTCAGCTGTCCAGTGGTAACAGCACCAGAGTACCTCAGCTGTCCAGTGGTAACAGCACCAGAGCACCTCAGCTGTCCAGTGGTAACAGCACCAGAGCACCCCAGCTGTCTAGTGGTAACAGCACCAGAGCACCCCAGCTGTTGTCCAGTGTTTATGGTAACTACACCGCAGCACCCCAGCTGTCCAACAGGCATCTGATCAGCAGGTGAACTCTAGGTCAAAAATACAGATAACGTACCTACATGCATTCTCAACACACAATGCGTATTTGACAAGACACTTCTAACAAATACGCCATTCCTTGCAGGTAAAGGTGATGGGCAAGAGGTCAACAAACTCACCTGAAATGTGGGATTCCTATTCCACCCTGTAGGATTTTGTAGAGCTTGCTTTCATAGAGCAGTTGTGGATGTCGTGCATTGATTGGTTCTAGTTTCAATGCTACCTCCTGAAACACAAAGATCCATAGTCAAGAGCATGAATGGGGCAATGAAGTGCCAGTTAAAAGCAAGTGGAAGCACCGTGCCCAGAACAAATAAAGGTAATGTCATAAAAGCACTGCAAACAAGAAACAAAAACTTTCAGTAAAAAATGCAATGATACACCATCAGTCATCAAACTGCTCTGCAGCATTTGTTAGTCCAAACCACCGCTGGCTTTGATTTAACTGGACAGAACAAAAAACACTAAAAGCATGTTAGATACAAAGGCACCTGCTAAGCACAGGGCAGGCAAAATCAAGAATTACACAATCACCTAGGGTGTCATCTTGGTTAGGTACATGTTCCAATCTGTAATTGATTATAAGTAAAGTATGGGAAACTTGAAAACAAATTAAAGTAATATTAAACATCAACTTTACAAATCAATAATCCATAATTCTTAACAAAGTAATTCACTTTAAACTGAGCATACATCAACTCATAGCAAACAATCAAACCCACACACTCGAAGGTAGCTTGGAATTAGATAGCTTCTGGATTTAAAGCTACTACACAATATATTTGTCCTGCATAAATCCAAATATCTACATTTAACTTAACCTTTTTCAGAAATTCTACTCAAGGGCCATTTCAAGGCATGCTGCCAGCAGCTACTAACTCTCAGTTCCCATAGAAACATCAACTCTCTGGAATACCCTGATATTGGCTGACATTCAATTCAGCAGTTTTGTTGCTGAGTGCCAGCAGTGCAAGCAGATTAACAGCTTCATTTGACCTGACATACACAGTACACACCACACAGTTGTGAATCAAAACTCAGCATCACATAGCTCACAGCCAGAATCATTATTTTCTTTCAAATTGCCGAAAAGTTCAAGCCATTAGACAGTTACTGAAAGGCCAGGTTTGGGCTTCATTAGCATGACATCATCCACATGGAGGTAACCTAACGGGGAGGCGCCGACTGTGTATCAGGGGGGTCTCGATGTTCAATGACATGAACTTGGATCCGTATTTGCCATCGTTCCGTCGAGAGGCAAAAAACGCGATTCTTACCAGACGTCACTGAGGTGATATTGGTGTGAATGTCGTGTGCGTGATTTGTGTGTGCTATGATGATGCCATACCATGTCTACTTACCCTATGTTTTGTCGGTTTTATCTGCTTTACGTGTCAGGTGAAAAGCCACTTTTTGCTGTGGACCCTCGATGAATACATATCTGAATCTGAATCTCAACCTTTCAACTCATCTCATGAAACAAATTAGCAGCAACTAGCAATCTGCTGCCATGAACTAAGGTCAGGGAAACTATTCAACTAGAAAGAAGGAAGATAGGTGCCTACCTAACAACTAGGATTGCAGCCATAACATAGGGAATGAAATAACATATAGCCATCACAGGTTATGATACAAGTCATAGTAAGATATGATATGACCCTAGCATGCACTTTCAACATGTTCAACTTTAAGGCCACATTGGACAAATACTGGAACCAAATCACATACTCCACGAGTCCACCCTATAGTACCATCCATGGGAATCCTTAGTTCAGGGAGCTTGACAAGATTGGGATGCTTCAGAGTGTGGGCTGCAGCATTCCAAATTCCTGTTACCAATAGCTGATAAGCAAGGTAAGGTACAGACTACAGTAGGGATATAGGTAGATAGTCAGACTGGACTAACAAAACATCCATCATAAATACCAAATATTTAATAATGATTGTACAAAACACTAGTTCTAGGCAAAACAGCCACAGGTGCAATAATATAGAACAGCAAGCTGTTTCTCAACAAAGGAAACATGTAGTTATACACAACAAAATGATCACTTAACCAAAAATAAACTCAGCTAAAAGGGGAAACAGGCGATCAGCACAGGTAACGGAAGGTAAAGGACGAACCATGATGACCTGGCATAAAAAATATTTGGTAATGGATCATAAGCAATGCCAATCACCTGGCTGACAATTCAAAATGTCACTTTTTAGGATGCAAAAGCAATGGATACATGGATGCATCGGAAAACATAATTTTCAGACACAAAAATAACTGCATTTATTCCAAATCAGCATCCACAAATTACCTCTCCATTAGTCGTGTTGATCCCTGTGTAGATTTCACCGAAGGAGCCACTTCCAATTTTACGGATAGCTTTGTATTTGCCCGCAGCAACGAAGTCCTTGCTTCTCAAAGACATGATGGGCAAATATGACAGAATTTAGAACAATTTAATGCGTCATCGTTCCCCTGCGCCGCGAGGAACGAACGAAAGTTGGCCGGAAGAACCAAGAACAGAGGACCGCACGACCGACAGCGAGTGGGGAAGGGTGCGGCACTGAATTCTAGTGCTGTTGGGAAATAGCTTGCCCAGCCGAGTGCTCTGATCAGTGCTGACATCTAGTATATGACTTAGGAACTACGCCACGTATTCACTACAAACCTAGCTTCGCACTAGATTGCGGCTGCTAATTTATTAGCATTTGATGAGATGAGATTGAGTCCAGCCACAGTGAAAACCTCCATTTATTAAAATGACAGAACTCACTGCAACAGCCAAAGTTAATACCGAATAATATAATTTTGAATTTCGTGACAAAGTATATTTAATTTTCGAGCCATTTCACATGCAATATTGCATCCGATTCATATCCGATTGGGGCATTCCACGTCAAATCAAACACCGAAATCCGTCATCCCCTTCGATTTTTTTGAAAATTTGTAGGCAGACTGGGCATGGTTCAAAACTGAGTTACTTATAATATTTTCGAAATTTGATAACGTATCGCCGAGATATAGGTCATCGAATATAGCCAAAAATGCCACACATCATTTTTTTAAATGCTTATAACTCTGGTTCCTTTTCTGGTATCAAAATGATATTAACAGGGTCTTGTAGGCAATTGATAAGGCTTTGATTTTTAATTATAAAATTAAATTGAAGTGACCTTGAAATGCATTTGACCTTGAATTAAAACAGAAAAATTTAAATAGCAAAAAACACGCCACCTTCGATTTGGGTAATTTTTACATATTATGTCCGTCACAATGTTCCCAACCATCTGTGAAAAAATTGGAGTGGGCCATTCATAACTTTCGCGGCAAACCGTTTTCATGCATCAACATCACGCAACCGCGCGTGACCTTGAAAGACAGAGTCAAGACATGCTTGCTTGTGTACACTTTCTGAAATGAATGATTGCTGATTAGTGATATCCCAAACTCTGCGAGAATGGAAATGCATAGTCATCGTAGTCAAGCATTCACGTTACATTGTAAAAGTGTCTCAGGCAAACGGTATTTTGCGGTGAATTTTGAGCCGTGTGGAAATGCATCATGAAATAAATTCAACGAAAACATTATCACGCAACGATATCTTCACGTCTTTTGATCTTCACTATACGAAAGAACATACATTTTTGAGTATGTATGGGGAATTTCTAGTTAATCCGATAATAAATATGGCAGTTAGAGTCCTGCTAAGAGTAGCATGTCGCCGGCTGAGGCAGTGCTGCCAGATTTGGAGGATTTCCGCAAATCTGGAGGATTTTGAACTCTATTTGCGGACAAATTTCGCTTTTGGAGGATTTTTGATTCTGGAGGAAAATCTGGAGGATTTGTCGCCCGATTATTATATTCAATTTCATGGAAAAATATAACACATTCAATACTAAAAAGGCATTTTCCTGCCCAGCGTCACCCTACCCGTTAGGATATATCACGCCTCACCGTGAGACTGCAGAATGTCTCAGTCTGTAGCTATATCTACGAGGGTCGAGGGTACCAAACTACTGGCTGTCTAAGGGGGACATTTGGGGCAAATGCCCCCGGCCCCCCTGCAGCACCCGAAATCGACGAAAATATTCGTTTTTTATAATAGGAAAACTAAACAGCTTTTATAAGAAAAGGTATCTTTTAAACTGCACAGCAGTGCGAAAGGATTCGAAATCCGATGAGTTTTTAGAATTTGGTGAAACTTTTTTGGGGGTATAGCCCCCCGCAGCGTCCAAGACCGCCTTTCTATATCTACCAATAGGATTTGGAGGAATCTGGAGGATTTTTTGTAACTGATCTGGAGGATTACAGCCTTCCCCATCTGGCAGCACTGGGCTGAGGCGGGATCGGCCGACGCGGGAAACGCAGCAATCACAATTTTGTGTTTACACGTTCATATTTCAATTGTTTACCAACCTATGTTCAGAATTCTTTCACCATAAGATTGTCTGTACATTTCTTAGTCTTCTCACAAAAATTGACGCGAATCGAACGTAATCAGCGGTAAGGAGCGCGATGTAAAGACGGAACCGTTCCGTTCCGTCCCGGCACAGTCTACAATTCAGGCGGCGCGTAGCGGTCGGCGCCGGCTGCCGAGTCGCCGCGTCGCCGCGGCGACAGGATGTTCACTTTACACCGCTATTACTAGAACAGTTGTGAACCGATTTTCTTATTGCTTGCACGATGAGATGTGTAATTCAATTCTGGACAGGTAGCCATAAGTAATTTCGCATCAATATTATGAGATATTGGCGAAAAACAGGAGGGGTGGGGCGAAATTCACTCTTCCCCCTCCACTGCGCGTGCTAACATACGTTTGCATATGTGCCATTTTCTTCAAAACTTATGAATGGCCCACTCTAATTTTTTTCACAGGTTGTTAAGAATATGGTAGGCAATAAAATATATGAAAATGAGCCAAATCGAAGGTGGCGTGTTTTTTGCTATTTCAATTTTTGTGCTTAAGAACAGAGTTAAGCAAATTTCAAGGTCATATATTTAAGTCGATGCAATTCTAAACAAATGCTTAAGAAATTACCTAAACAGTAAGGTTTATTTCATTCAAATCAAACAAGTACAACCAAAGTTATGGTCGTTCAAAAATATAAAGATGCAACATTTTGTAAAAATTTGATGCCCTATATTTAGAAGACCTGTGGTCAGAATGTGCAAAAAACATCAATGTAATGTCCGGGGCGACACAGGAACTCGCTCACAAATTTATAATGAAATCGCTGATGGTAAGGTGCAAAACAGCCGATTTTTGTTCGATTTGACGTGGAATGCCCCGATTGCATCTGATTATGCACCTCTTGCATCTTGATTTTGCACCTCTTTTGTTGGACTTGGCACATAGGCGGCGGAACAGGGAGGGCACCGGGGCATCGTGCCCCCCTTTGATTTTGGCATTTTAACATTAGCCCTATGGGCGTTGCATGGAAAGAATGGGACCAAAAGTCGGTAGTGCCCCCCTTTGATTGAAGGTGTTCCGCCGCTACTGACTTTGCACGTTGGTGTCAACTCCGGTTTCTCCATGTTTCTTATTTACTTTATCTCCTACTTGACTTGTTTGCTTGATGTAGATAGCAGTCTCCAAATCAGTCAGCTATGCTTACTAGTGGCAAATCGGAAAATACCGCATTAACTTTTTTAAAGTAAATTGTGACAGCAAAATAGGTGTTATTCGTGATACAATAGTGGCGTGGTTGTTACGCTTAGTATTGGCGCTAGTGGCGCTAGTGTTTGAAAATTGAAAGTGCATTTCAATGAATATATGGTGCGAATCAAGTCCAAATATGGTCTTCGGCTAGGCACCTGTACAATAAGGTTTGAAAATCTTAATATTACTAGAAATACGCCCTTTAGGCATATAGGCAATTACACTGAATTGGGGTCACAAGAAGGTTAGGTACAGTCTTTTATGTGAATGATGCCAAAAATTTGATGCCTATTTTTAGGTGCTGATATTGAAAACTCATGTTTGCTATAGGTGTACCCTTACTTCTTATAAGCACAGAGTAATCAGTGAAAAAATAAATAAAAATGCATGATTTGAATAGGTACATGTATCTGTAAGAATCTGGGGTATGTGTACGAAGAGTGTCGGTAGTTTGTAGAGCGTTGGTCAGTTGCCAGTTGGTAGACTAGACCATCAGGATTTTCTGTTCTATTTTAAATACCTATGTCCAATATTGGATGCTTTGATGATGACTATGAGTTTAGGATTTTACTCTGCGCTCGATGTCTCAGACAACAAAGATTCTATGTCGTCCGGCCAACCCCATGCAAGGTCAGTGGGGGCTTGGCTGCAGTTCTGTGATTGGCCGGACGGTGTAGAATCTTCACAGTCCGAGAGACATCAAACGCGGGGTTAGATAGTTTGTGAATACCAGGTATTCACAAACTATCTAAGCTCTAACTGGAACAAATAGGTTATTGGTATTAAATATCTATAACATATTTGTTACCTGCAGTTAGAATTCTGCTATACTTGAATATGTACCTATATCACCTGCCTCAGCCCCCAGGATAGCTGCCAATTGTTTGACTTTGAAGGGCAGCTGAGATGGCGAGCGGCAGTAGTATGTCATTTCCGACCCTGTCGGAGGAGGAGCTCATCAACCTGGGAAAGGAGATGCTCGGCCCTGAGAGCCCCATCACGCTTGCTGCTCTTCGCAGCCCCACCACAGGTATGTCATAGTAGGTAGTTAGCTACTATGAAGTATGAGAATTACTTTGTATTTTAATGACAATTAAAACACTATGATACCCACAATACCAGCTATTCTGCTACATTGCTGTTCATTGCCAATATTTCTGATTTTCTTTATTGCTAAGACACTGCAGTAACGATTGATTGGAGTGATAAGAAATACCATTAATGCCTTTGTGTTTTTTTCAGAAACAACGTTGATGCTATTTCGTGTGTTTCTGACTGACATATTCAGCTGGAATCTAGATGTGTGCACAATGGTGAGTGTACTGAAGTATTGTCTTGTTCAGTCGGTCAAGTTCCCACCTTGATGTGCAATTACAGTAAATAAAATTATCCCTTCTAACGAGTTGCCACAAAATACTCCAAATGTTGAAGAGCTAGTTACATTTTGATGCCTACACCCCTGAACAAGGAGCAGCATATTCTGTCAGGCTGAGATTGCTTTTCCATTTTGTACCTGCAACACAAACATGGTTATTGTGCTCCTTTCTCGTCTTGAGCGTGGATTTTGGTCAGTGTGTCATTCATCATGTAGACCACATGTGATCTTTGTTTTTTTTTTTTATCAGATCCATGACATCACCCTTATCGCCAGGTCCCATTTGACGCCATGGCGCGTGTGCATTTTTTCGAAACGCACCAAGACATTGCGCCGGTGATGCGTTTTTTCCGAGTGATGAGCTCGCTGCTGAGCTGCGTCCACTACGACTCCTTCATCATCGAGGATCTCCTACAACCGAGTAAGTGCCGTCAGCAGTGCGTGGCAACAGAGCCATCCTTGGGCGGTATTGTCGTCGTGCTTAGCTATCGCGTCTTTATTTAAAGGACGTAAAAACGTGTCATTAACTCTGGAATCGTCTAAGAACAGGTTTTCCACGGACGTTGCAGTCCATTTATAGTGGACATCTTATCATTCCGCAGCTCTATTTGTCGCAGAGCCGTACGCACGTAGGTACCTGCACTTGTATACGTCAACGTGTTATATACCTCTCTAGTCTCTGTTTAAGCTTTACGCTTTGCCAGGCTTCAGGTCTATGTTATCATTGACGTCTTGGAAATCGTCTGCATTCCACCTTAACCCACGCCCTGCCGGGGGAGTGTCTGAACACCACCACCACCACCAGTCCACCCCCCCCCCCCCACCCTTCGGTTTTTCGCCAGGCTCACTTAATCATCCATCTTGTTTGCACATACGGTAAAATCCGCTTAATAAATCCACCTTGGTGACATGTCGTTTTGGATTTATTTAGCGGTGGCTATATTAACCGGAGTAGTCATTTTCATTAACCCTAGAACGCCTAGGGGGGGGGGGGTTGTATCAACCCCCCCCCCCTGAGGTTTTTTCGAAGTGTACGCTAAACGGCTTGTCGTAGCGGGCTGAAATTTTCAATACCCTCTGGGGCAACCTTTGCGCATCTTTTGCCGAAAAAAAATTGATCGGGTCATGTCAGGTCACGGAGTTATGACGTCATAAGAGGTACAGCCTCCGGCCGACAGTTACCAAACGTGTGCGCCGAATCCCTAGGTTTTCTGCCGGTGATACCCACATTGTTTGATGGATCATGATGAAGCTTCCCATGCATGTTGCGGCAAGCATTGGCTATCGTGTGGTGCAAGAAAATTGACCGGGTCAGGTCAGGTCACGGAGCTATGACGTCACAAGAGGAACAGCGTCCGGTACTATTTTTGAAAAGCGCCCGAACCACTATTTTGCTAATTCTTGTCACCTCAATGGGAATATGCAGCAATATTAGCTTCTATAGGGAGCAAATGGACCTCCCAAATCCAAAAATACAATCAGATTTCAAAAATTTAAATTTTGATTTTTCGAATTTCTGCCGCCGACTGTGACCTTGCCGACTTCCGGCGCTCCCAACGCGCCATTTTTAGAGCTAGGGAAACGAAATACATACCAAACGATAGAGAATTGATCAAGGAACACGATAGTGAAGGTTTCAAGTCGATATCTCCCACCGTTTTGCCGCAATCGCCGCGGAAAGTTGAAAAAGGTATATTTTTCCGAAAATTTGACCTTTGACCGGTCAAAAGTAGGTCAAATGTTGACCTAGGACCAAAAAATATACCACCAATCGCGAGATCTCGTTGAGAGCAATCCGTTGGTTTTTTCCGCTAAGCTCTACGACCTTCCGTTTCGAAACGCCAGGGGGGGGTCGTAACAACCCCCCCCCCCTGGTCGTTCGTGTTATGAGAAATGGCCTGGTCGTGCGAGGGTTAACCCGCGCCGGGCTGGGGGGGAGGGGGTGTTTGAACATCCCCCTCCCCCGCGGTTTTTCGAAGATATCTCAAAAACGTCCGCGCCGCCGTTTTTGGCACACCTGTTCATGCTTCTTTTCTACACATGTTGTGAAAATTTCATACCCAGGGCTCTCAAGGTCAGGTCACCAGGTTACGTCAAGTGACCTCACCTCAGAAAAAGTTGCAACCCTCGTCATAGGTGCACCGACTGAACGATCACCTTGAAACTTGCAGGGATTGATCAGAGTAACAGAATGTACAAAACGTATATCTCGGAATTTTGATGTCGGTGACCTAAGGTCAGGTCAATTTTGCGACCTCTCCATTATAAGTCAATGGGAGAATTGAAATGCGTCTATTTTGGACGAATGGTGTTCAAAACCCTCTCTATCATCGGTTCATAGGTAAACATGACACACTGAATCGGAAAAATGCACCTGTGGGCTGTGACCCCTCTGTGTGCCTCTGAGGTCATCTCAGGCCATAAAAGGTCACCAGCAGTTGTTTGGCTATAACTTTTGATAGAGACGTGCTAGAGCGATGAAAACACGTCAGATGTATTCAGCTCGACGATACTGATCGACTGATATGCAACATGACCCTTTTCGGTCAGGTCATGACCTTGACCTGAGGTCAAATTTTCAAAATGACCTTTCAAAGTCAACAAATAGCTTATTCGACGCGTCTCGACGAGAGGAACACGATGCTGCCAAAAGTAATGTCGTGGCACTCTTGAGTCAAAAGTTATTGCCGAAAAAAAAAAACAGTTTTCGTGAAAACTGCTATTTTTACACTTTTTGCCCTCTTGAGGCTAAACCGTTGACTTGAGGCCAAATCTGAGAACAATACTCAGAAAGGTCTGTAAAAGGGCTATCGAATGCGCTTTTCTGCGTCGCTGTAGCTCTATTGGTTCCGGAGTTAGCCGTTGGCAGTTTCCAAAATTGTTGAAATCGATTACATTTGACCTGTGATCATGTGATGACCTCTGGCGACCTGACCTTAGACCTGACCCGAAAAGTGACTGAAGCGTTTCCGTCATTATTTTTGACGCTCTTTCTAATGCCGCTTACCGCGTGTCGCTACGTGGCCCAGGAGCCGAGTTAGAAGGGGGGGGGGTTGTTCAGACCCCCCCCCCCGGCCCGGTGCGGAATCTCAGAGCACCGGCCCGGCGCGGGTTAATAATTTCGAGCACAGCTCTTCATAAGAATACAACGCTAAAAATGTCAATGGTGTTGGTTATAAGACCATCAGGTACGGTTTAAGGTCACTTTCTGGTGAAGGTCAGGTGAAAAATGTCAAAGTTCAAAGTTGATAGTATTGCATAGAATGGGTATTAATTCGATGCAGTTCGTCACGGCGAGTCTAATAATGGTCTTTGTTTTGCGCTACATGGTCTAGAATTGCTAAAAATTGAGTTTGGAAATTTGACGTCATTAATTTTGAACAGTTTTTTCGCTATAACCTGGACAAAGAAAGAGATATCGTTCTCAAATTTGGTATGTAGATAGAAGGCGGTAGAGACTATCACATATATTCCGTTTTTCTAAATTCAAAAATCTTTTGGCATTTTTTGGCTATTATATTAAAAAAAAATATGTTTGGCTTTTGGGGGTCAAAATTCAAAACAGTAAAATATCCGTGATAGCAGTGACGTGAAGCCCTGTTAATTCTACACCTTTTATGTCTAAAACATTTTTCTGTATCTCTAAAGTGCGTAGGCCTGACAGCTCTTCCCGCGTCCGAAACCTTTTTTTCGAAAATGGTAGAACTAGAAGTAACGTCACTCCGACGTCACTAGCGGCCAACCTATCATAGCCTTTGGAACAATTTTCGTCACAATATGTAAAAACTATTTACGGAAGGGTACTGAAAGTTTGGTGACGATCGGCGCAGCGGTTCTGGAGATATATCGAAAAAAACTAAAAGGGTAGGGGCAAAAAATGCCCCCCCCCCCCCCACCGCCTGGAAGGTTAATATTGATGACCTAAGGTCTGGTAATTTTGCGACCTCTCCCTTGTAAGTGAATGGGGAAAAATAGAAAGGCGCGTCTTTTTATGAACGTCATTCTAAAAAACTCAAATTACAAATAAAAATGACACACTGAACTGGAAAATGGCACCCATGACCACTCCCTATGTCCCTGAGGTCATCTCAGGTCACGAAAGGTGTCCAACTATTTTCCGTGAATTACTTTTGCTAGAGGCATGCTAGAGCGATGAAAACACCGAAAGGTCGTCATCCACTGGGCGCGCACATTTATGCGCTGATTTTAACATTGGAGGCTATGGTTTGCGCGCTGACTGCGGTTCAGCGCCGAACGCGCGATGAAGCGCAGTCAGCTGATTATTCGTCGGCTGGTCGGCACCGAATTACTCGCTGACGAGTTGAAATAATTAAAGGTAGTGTGCCAGCTTTCCTGGACCGTATGGAGTTAATGGCCCAGATAAGGAGAACCGGATTTTTAGAACTTATCCATACCTTCAAAACTCATGGAAACGTCTTAAATTCTTCAAATTTTGAGTACCCCAGTGCGAAATTCGCCCCGACGGGTTGTCGGTCGTACCCCAACCACATTTCACACCACTATGAACAATAAATGCACACACTGAAATCGCTATTACCGATATGCTCATCCAATCAAGTTTCGATAAACCCGTTCATCATCATCTCCTGCGGTTTCGAACACGCCTGTTAGGTGGTGCGGTAGACCGCGCCCAAAGCCAGGGCCCCGGTAACGTGAGGTAGCCGCGAGTCGGGGCAGCGTGCGCTGACCCAAGCCGGGGCCGTGCGTCCTCCCGGTGTCATGTGATAGCCCGGGGCTGCCCGCGGGGATGCGGTAGACCGCGCCCAAAGCTGCGGCCCCGGCTTGGGTCAGCGCACGCTGCCCCGACTCGGCTACCTCACGTTACCGGGGCCCTGGCTTTGGGCGCGGCTTCTGCTCATACTTTGTAGTGCGGTGGTGGTGCGTCGGGCCGCGCGCTCTGACTTCGGCCAAGAAAAATGCGTCAGCTGATTATTGTCATTTCTGCCACTTGCGTGTGGTGAAATGGGGTCATAACTTAAGAGACGGCTTTTTCATATCAATTATTTTACATAAAATCATATTTCAAACCATAAATAATGTTCGACAGCCAAATAAAAGAAACAATACCAATACAGGCTTACAGTTTAAGGCTCGACATTGTGTTGTCTACGATTAGACAGCTGATAACTCCTTCCCGTACGTCGTAACTCTCTAATGACAGAGTTCAGTGATAATGACCTTTGCTTATTGTCACATGTGCGCCGCATTCGCGATTGTTGCCGACGCCTGTTTGCAGCTCAGCCCACTACAGTTGTTATACATATCGAAAAACCGATAAACTTTTAGGCGAAAAAGGCACTATTCCAGGCCCATTTTTGATTTTTTTGCGATATTAGGTAAAAACAGAAGCTTCTTATCCTAGGAAAAATAAAATGGGAAATCTTTCAAAGGCGGCACACTACCTTTAAACTTTTCAGCGCGGGCTAGGCGCTGAACGATAACGCGCTGAATACGCGCCTAACCAGTGGACGGCCACCTTTAAGGCCGTGTTACACTGCCGAATTTTGGCCACGACCCTGTCGCCGAATCACGTCGTGTAGGAAATCGGCGAACAGTTCACCGACAGAGGCGAACAGTTCGCCGACAGAGCCCGATTTGCAGAAAACGGGTGGGGGCCCCCTAATCGTGCGCGGGTCGAAGCTGATGCATGATTCGGCGAACATCGCGAATGAATGGCGAATCTGTTGCGAATAGTCGGCGATACCTTGGCAACAAGTCGACGCACGCAGCGATATGTCGGCGGCGACCCGGCAACTGTTTGGCGATCATGTTTCGTGGCGGTCGTGACGAACCGTAAAAGTCGCGCGGTGGACACCGACTGGTCTACGAAATGCCAAGACCGTGGAAGAAAGATCCCGAATCGGTCCGCGACATATGAATTATAATGACTTGCATATTCGTACACATTCGTGTACCAAAATTCCGCAGTGTAACAAGGGCTTAAAGCCCTTGTTACACTGCCGAATTTTGGTACACGAATGTGCACGAATATGCAAGTCATCCTATGTCGCGGACCGATTCGGGATCTTTCCTCCAATGTCTTGGCATTTCGCAGACCAGTCGGTGTCCACCGCGCGACTTTTACGGTTCGTCACGACCACCACGAATATTTCATGAAAAATGAAAATTTCGTGGCCGTTCGCCGAACTTATAATAAACGAACATGATCGCCAAACAGTTGCCGAGTCGCCGCCGACATGTCGCTGCGTGCGCCGACTTGTTGCCAAGGTATCGCCGACTATTCGCAACAGATTCGCCATTCATTCGCGATGTTCGCCGAATCATGGATCAGCTTTGACCCGCGCACGATTAGGGGGGCCCCCCACCCGTTTTCTGCAAATCGAGCTCTGTCGGCGAACTGTTCGCCTCTGTCGTTGAACTGTTCGCCGATTTCCTACACGACATGATTCGGCGACAGGGTCGTGACCAAAATTCGGCAGTGTAACACGGCCTTTAGATGTGTTCAGCTCTACGATACGGATTGACTGGTATGAAACACGACGTTTCCAGCCATGGCGTTGCTTTGACCTAAGGTCAAATTTTCAAGTTGAATTCCAAGGCCATCCTGTAGTTCGTTCGACGCGTTTCGACGAGAGAAATACGATTCCGGTTAACCCGCGCCCCGTTGAGGTCTGGCAGATTCCAGGTCCTGTTGGGGGGGGGGGGGGGGCAAGGCCCCCCGTCGTATCTCCGGAACCAATAGCCAGATCGGAAAAAAATTCAAACGGCAATCGAAAGAGCTCATCGAGATGCTTAATATAGGATATCGATGACCTTGATATTTAATCTGTGACGTCACAGGGAGGTCAAACTAGGTCAAATCAGTCCAATTTGCAATGACGAGAAGTCGTTCATAAAAATGAAATCTAAGTTTTCAAAATGAGTCTGGATATGATGTATATGACAGGTCTCGCATGTGGATAGTCACCTGAGTGGATGATGACTTGTGACGTCACAACAGGGGTCAGCCTCGACCAATCAGAAAACACTTTGGTGAATCGTAAGGAAAGGCATGTTAAATTGTGAATATTCGAGTCTTTATGAAGACATATGATTATGTATCCACAGAAACCTCCTTGACCATTTTATTTTGACCTATGACGTCACAGGAAGGTCAAATAAGGTCAAATTGTACCGGTTTACAACGAAAAACAATTTTTTACGTAAAAGTGACTAGTCACGTAAAGGATCATATTGTCAGCAAATGGTTAATAAAAATCATAAATATTACTCCTGACTGATTTCAAGCACAAATACCGAAAATATTTTGACGTCATAAGAACAGTCGCTACTTTTTCAGTCATTCAAATGGCTATATCTCAGGCAGTTTTAGAGATGTTTTGTTAATTTTTGGCATGTGTAAGGCCAGTAAGAGGTTCTCTAACACATATTCCGGTTTTTTGAAAATTTCTTCAAATTTCAAAAATATCTTAAGAAATCTAAATTTAGAGTTAGAAAATCCCTAGATCTAGAGATTTTTATATTTTGGAAATTTCGAGATAGCCATTTTGTTTGCCATGCTTTTTTATACCTACGGTCCAATTTTTGAGTCGCTAAGTTGAAACCCTGATTTTCTGCGATTTTTCTCCGTGAACAACTTTTTCGACGAAAAATCGTCGAACATGACCTCAGTTTGACCTCTATTGCTCGTGATCTGAGATGACCAGGGATGCGGAGCCGTGGAAATTTCAGACGGCTCCGGCTCCGGCTCCGGCTCCGTAGAAAAAAATCGGCTCCGGCTCCGGCTCCGGCTCCGGGTGAAATGTTATGGCGGCTCCGGCTCCGGCTCCGGCTCCGAGTAAAATGGTCCGGCTCCGGCGGCTCCGGCTCCGGCGGCTCCGGCTCCGACTCAGTACATCCCCTACGCAATCAATTAAATACGGGTGGAAGAAAAATTGGATTGGTTATACGCGTTACTCTTTGCCATGACCGGCTCACCGCGTCCCCGCGCAAACGCACCTCGGAGAGAACTGGCAGAACAAAGGGCTAGGAAGCGATGGCATTGGAAACGCAGTCGCCGCGAATCGGAGTTCAGTGAACCATCGTAAGCTGACACCCGTCTCGGCTGCATTGGGGGGTGAGGGGTGGGGGGTGTGTGGGATGAGACGGTGCTGGGAGTCGCAGTCCACTGCACTGGTTTGAAAACAATGGCCGTCACCTGATGACTGGTCCTCATGTTCTGGGGATGCAGTAGACGTGGGGGGGGGGGGGAAGAGCAAACAGGAAGTTGTTTGCGTACTGTGGAATACTGGGGATATTCGGATTTTTTCATTCACTTGATGGCCCATGACGTAAGTACCATATGTTTTACTGCCTTGTACTGTCAAACCGAACTAGGTCAATTATTTTTTTTCCTCTTCAAAAAATAAAAAGGAGCCGGAGTCGCCCCCTTTTTTGGCGGCTCCGGCTCCGGCTCCGGCTCCGGGCTATATTGTTTCACGGCTCCGGCTCCGGCTCCGGCTCCGGGCAAAATATGCCGGCTCCGGCGGCTCCGGCTCCGACTCCGGCTCCGGCTCCGCATCCCTGGAGATGACCCTAATTTTTTCAGGAGTTGTGTAAAATTGATGTCCGGAGAGGTACTGAAAGTTTCAAGTCGAAATTCGCAGCCGTTTCTGAGTTATCTCCGAAAAATCACAGGGGCCCTTTGCCCCCCCCCCCCCCCAACGGGTCGCGGGTTAAAGGAAGCTCGTGCAAGTTCTGTGTCAAAAGTCATTGCAGAAAAACTGTTTCCTCAAAACCCGTCTTTTTACAGTTTGGCCTCTGGATGTTATCCGTTGACGGTAGGTCAAATCTGAGGACGTTTACCAAAAAGAGCGTAAAGAGCTATCGACTGCGCATTTGCTGCGGCGCTATAGCTCTCCATTCCTGAGCTTTGCCAAAAATTGTCGGAATAGGCGAAATTTGACCTTTAATGACTTCTGGTGGCCTGGTTTTTGACCAAACCTAAAGAAATGGCTGGAGTAATTTAATTATTATTTTTGACGCTCTTTCGAACGCCGCGTGCCACGTGTCGCTCTATGGCTCAGGAGCCAGTTAGACGGGAAGATGTTCAACCATTGCCCCTCCCTTGGCAGGGCGTGAAATTACAGGAGCGTCGGCGGGGCGCGGGTTAAATATACGATATCTGCAAGTTATCCTCATTTTTATTAACTATAACTCATTTTAGTTACATGTGATTAGTTACATTTGATAATTTTGCCAGCGTAGTTTTACTGACATTTGCTATAGAAAATGCATTTTTACGTCTAGCTATCTAACACTGAAACTTCCTTGAAGAAGCGTTAAATTCATAGCCTTTGTCAGCCCTTTGTCTGGGCTACTTTCCAATAAAAGCTAATGGTCAATGGTAGCGCTATCGGTGTGTGGTGTGCTGGAGCGCCAGCGGTGCTCTGACGGCGGCCTGGTTCGCCGCTCAGATCCGAAGCGGCTGCGTCGCCAACTCTCGGCGCTGGCCAACTTCTCGCTGCTCCACCAGCGCATGTGCGACGAGTACGCCGACGAGACCATCAAAAAGACCGACCAGGAGATCCTGTACGAGGAGAGGTGAGCACGGGTGGGTACGGCGGACTCCGACCTGAGACGGGGCATCACCAATACACGGGTGATCATTGGGGGAGGTGCTGTATTTGATCACGCCTGGGGGAAGGAGATGACTTGACTTCCTAGCCAGCATAGGCATTGGTGTTGATAAATTGAATCGTAATCCTGCTTCCTAGCCATCATAGGCATTGGTGTTGATAAATTGAATCGTAATTTTGTTACAGTTTCAGCGATGATTCCAGTTACCAGTAAGAAGGCGTCCCTGTAGGTGTTTCATGTATCGCCGATGTTCAGTGACTCGTTTGGTCATTGATCAAGTTATTGGTGAGTAACGGTAGTCGTACTTTTTCACAGGCTCGTCAATGAAAATAAGGCTCTGAAGAGCAACATTCACAGGGAAATAGAGCGCGAAGATGAGCTGAAAGTAGAGCTGCAGCAGGTAAGCCCGCCGGACGGCCGTCGGTCGGCGCTATCAATAGTGACGCCGCTCTCCTGGCGGCTGGTGCAGTATCAGCACGGCCAAACAATGCCATTGGCGCGGCCTTTGTGCGAAGGGGGTCTTCATTTATGTCCGGTCATGATCTGTCGTGTAGATATATGTGATTGGGTTGATCGTTTCATCATCAGTTAGGATGGCGAGCATGAATCGCTGGACTCATGGGTGTCGATTTCCGCCGAGTTGGGGGTGCCCGGGCTTAACAAATTCGCCGCCGCCCTAGCGGTGACCGTGACCCGCGCCGTCTGTTGGGGCTCCAAAGCCAAGCCGGCCGAGCCGGCGGGGATTTTGGGGAGCTCGGGCACCCCCAATCTGGCGGAAATCAACATCCATGGCTGGACTAAAGCCGGAAAGACTAGGAACGCACTAACTTCTGTTACGGCATGTGTTTAACAATTTTTGATGGCATCGTAATACCTCAAAATATTACGAAGTCTTTCATGCTCCGTTACTTTGACCCGACGTGTTTTCGCGCAGCGGCACAGTGCGATCGACGACCGAAACCAGGAGATCAGCGCGCTGCACGACCAGAAGGAGCAGCTGGAGCGCGAGGCCAAACAGACGCGCGCAGAGGTGGCCCGGCTCGAGGACCAGAAGAGCGAGGACGCCGTCCAGGACGCCAAGGTCGGCCGGGCGGGGACGCCTGTGGATCCCGGGGACACCACCCACTCCTGGCCGGGCGGGGACGTCTGTGGATCCCGGGGACACCGCCCACTCCTGGCCGGGGGGGGGGGTGTCTGTGGATCCCGGGGACACCGCCCACTGCTGGCCGGGCTGGGGTGCCTTGGCGTCCCGCTACCTACTAGAGTATCGCCCACTGTTGGCGGGGCTGGGACGCCTGCGAATGCCGGTACACACTGGTACACACCCAGTCCTGGTGGGGCCCTGAATACTGGGCTCCATACCGGGGCACCACTCGCTGCCGGTGGCGGCAGGGGCGTCTGAGGGTACCGGCCCACACGGCACCCCACCCCATCTCCTTGTGATATCAGCGCACGGACATGCTGGATGTGTTGACGTTTGAGCCGACTGGCCGGACTGGAATCTCCGTAATAATATGGGTTCGTAGACTCGACGAACCAACAACCAAGGGTGATGTGTAGGGTTGTTTGGTTTGCCGTTGCGGTGTGGGTTTGGCCGTCTGTTGAGGCTCTGACGGCCGGTGGGGTGGCGGCCGGCCGCCGCTGGTCTCTGAGCGCCCCCCTCCTCCCGGCAGCTGAACGAGGAGCGGACGGCGCTAGAGGCGCAGCTGGTCGGGTCCCCCGAGAAGGTGCGGCAGACGCTGACCAGGGCGCAGGAGCAGCTGCGGTGAGGACCGGGCCGAGCGCGGGGGAGGGAGGGGAGGTAGAGCAGTGCTCGACGTTCCTGCTACCCATTGCCATGCTGCCGCTATCGAGGTCAAAAGCCGTGACTTTGGACTTCACTACTCTGTAGATCTTAATGATGAGCTGCATGCGGGCGCTGCCAGGTTTTGCTACTGTTATGGAGCTATTACAGTAGGCATACCAGCGTTTGTTTGCGCCTGCTGGTTTGCAGCTGTCATTTCCGGTGCCGGGCCGCAGCCGCAGCAGAGGGCTGTGAAACTGTGACGTTCGTGGCCGCCCCCCCCCCCCCCCCGATCCCCCGGTCGGCTCTGGTTGTCGATATGCTGGCGGCAGGCACTGAGTCGGCCAGAGTCACAGTTTCCCTGTGTTCCCGGTGGTACACCTGTCGCTCTGCCAGGAGCATGCTAAGACACTCACCATTTGTTTTATAATTTCCTACCTGCGTGACCTCAACAAACAAACGAATCGGGCATTGTGTCTGCTGAATTTAGTCAGCCGTGCCCGCTCTGTCCGTGCCGCCACGGACGCTACCTACCCCTCTGTGACCAGTGGTCTCTGCCCGGCGGCGGCCCGGCCGAGGTGCTGGCTGCCCGCTAACGCTCCCCTGCCCCGGTCAGCGCGGCCGAGAATCAGCGGCAGACGGTCTCTGAGCAGCTGCAGCAGAGTCGCGGCGACCGCCAGCAGCGACAGCAGGCACACGAGGAGCTGCAGCGGCGCGAGCAGCACGCCGAGGTGGTGCGCGAGCTCTCCGAGCGCCAGAGGTCAGTGGGGGCGGTGTCAGAGGTCAGTGGGGCGGGGCCAGAGGTCAGTGGGGCGGGTCAGAGGTCAGTGGGGCGGGGCCAGAGGTCAGTGGGGCGGGTCAGAGGTCAGTGGGGGCGGGTCAAAGGTCAGTGGGGCGGGTCAAAGGTCAGTGGGGGCGGGTCAGAGGTCAGTGGGGGCGGGTCAGAGGTCAGTGGGGGCGGGTCAGAGGTCAGTGGGGGCGGGTCAGAGGTCAGTGGGGGCGGGTCAGAGGTCAGTGGGGGCGGGTCAGAGGTCAGTGGGGGCGGGTCAGAGGTCAGTGGGGGCTCTCCGAGTTCCAGAGGTCAATGGGATGAACTGTTGAACAGCTCCCGGATACCGGGCTGTTGCTATACGAGATGGTCGGTTGATGTGTATGTTAGTGGCAGATTGATGATTGTATGCTCGCAGCTAACGGGGATAAAAATGTCGTTGAAACATTGCGCTATCTCCCACGATCTCTTGCAACTCCCGACTGTTAACGCTGCTCTGTGTCAAAGCGAAGTAGAAGTTGAGCTGCGTTTCGTGCGTTTGCGCGCTCCAGGGACAAGAGCGGTGAGCTGACGGCGGTCACTAAGGACATGGAGGCGATCCTGCTGGAGGAGACCGAGCGTCGCAGCGCAGCCCGGCTGGCCGTCAACAAGTCAGTGTGGTACCCCCTCACCCCCTTTCAGGGATGTTTGTGACTTCCTGGGACCTCGAGGGATCTGTTAACCTCCCCCTCCCTAACCTCAAGTGACGCGCAACTGGCCTCGAGGGATACGTGACGTTCCACCTGGAGTGACGCCCGACCCCTCTGGAATGATGTGTGTCCTCCCCGGTCGGCGTATGATCCCTCTCCTGTGGCGCGTGACTTCCCATCTAGTCATGACGCCTATGTGTGAACGGTCTCCACCCACACTGCAGGGGGCGGGGAGGGGGTGGCGCGGTGGCGTCGTGCCGTTCCCTGCACTGGGGACTGGGGGAGTTTCGGCTGTATGCCGGCTGGGAGCTGGTCGTTTGGTCCGGTCAGTTCGTGTCGGTGGTAGTCGCGCCGTGTGCTGTGTGCGCTGCCGCCGTCCTGTCCTGTACCCGGCTGATACCCAGTGCCGCTGCGGCCGCCCGACCGCTCACCGTCTCGCTCTGCTCCAGGTGCCAGATGATAGAGGAGAGCCGAGAGGGCGAGATGCAAAAGTATGAGCGCTACATCAAGGACAAACAGGCGGAGCTCGACAAACGCGAGCGGTGAGTTGTGCTGGCTGTGCGGCTCGGTGGCGGTGCCCTGCGCTGGTCTGTGCTGGTCTGTGGGTCGGCAGCTGAGGTCGTGTGGGCCGTGTGTGACCGCCGCGCCCGGTGGTCGCTCCGGCAGGGTGCAGGAGGAGGCGCGCGCGCGGCTGGCCGCCGACCAGCAGGAGACGGGCCAGCTGGCCGAGCAGGCCGAGCTGCTGGAGCAGCGCGCGCAGCAGGAGGCCGAGAGGGAGCAGCGCCGACTGCAGGAGCTGCAGCACCGCGAGCAGCAGCTGGCTGACGCGGTCAGTCACTCGCCACTCTGTCTGTCTGTCTGTCTGTCTGTCTGTCTGTTAATCTGTCTGTCTGTATGTCTGTATGTCGTTTGTGTCTATCTCGACTCCTAATTTCCTTCTCTATCGATTTTTTTTACATATTTTTTATTATAAATTTAGTCAGAATATTTTGAATGGAAGGATTCACAAGGGCAGAGCCCCCGCTAAGCGAAGCTTGTTGCGTTGAGCCCGCCCTCTACCCTCAGGTCACGCAACTCCGGTTCTGTGGCAGAATTTAGAGCCCAAAGTTTAACGTGCGCACATAGCCGCGCACGACCGGTCCCCTCACTGACTTCGCCTGGCTGCGGCCTGCCTCCAACTGCAACCATACCCGTCAGGAGGCCCATAAATGTCAAGCGCCCGTCGCGCTTCGAACCCGTACTGTTATAACCGGGAACGCGTGCTATCACCACGCGGAGTCCTTCGCTCTACCAACTGAGCTACGGGACCGGCCTGTTTATTTATCTGTTTATTTATTTATTTATTTATTTATTTATTTATTTATTTATGTTTAATTTTATCTATGTACTTAGTACCTTGCTGGCTTGTAGGCTTGTTGTCAGACGGCCCACAGAGGCCAGTTCCGAAGTGGCTGGTGTAGAAATTAGGACAGGTAAGGCCAGAATTAGAAAAACTTCAGAAACGAGCTGTTAGAATAATCGATGGACAGCCAAGACTGGCTCATACGGCGCCAATATTCAGGAAATTTAAACTTCTTAAACTTAGGGATCTTGGGCATCAACAAATGTTATTACTATTACACAGAAAACTTAATGGGAACCTGCCATCTGCTATTGCTGAGCTTTTTGTAACCTCCGAACCTACTAGAATTAATCGTTCCGTTAAACATTTCAATGAGTCATTTGCATATAGAGTTTACAAAACTCATACTTTATCATGGGCTGGGCCTAGAATTTGGAACAGAATTATGGTACCTTTATTTCCTAGACTTTCTACGGTGCCAACTTCGAAATCCGTTATCAAAAACATCTCCAAAAGTTTCTTCCTAAGCCAGTATGGTTGATTCATTGAATACAGTGTTTCTCATCAATATATGTTCCATGTATATTAGTATGTACGTTTTATACACATAAAAAACATCTTTATTATCGAGTAGCTAGTTCTGTTACCCGTCCTTCCTTTTCGGTTACCCCTTTCCCATTGTGTGTATGTGATTTTTTGTGTTCTTTGTTTTTGTTTTTGTTTTTTTGCTTGTTTTTTTTTTTGCGTCTTTTGATATCGCCTGCCAGTCTCGTTATGTTGCCTTTATTGCTTTATTGCCTTACCTGTCCTAATTTCTACACCAGCCACTTCGGAACTGGCCTCTGTGGGCCGTCTGACAACAAGCCTTGCTTAGTTGGACGGCCTTACAAAGGCTCAGTAAATGACCCTGCCTGAATTTGACCAGAGATGTTACCTACAACTATCCACTATGTATGTATGACTGTATCCCCCTCAGTTGTCTTCCTCCCACTAACATTCCCCTGTGTGAGTGAGCATCAGTGGGCGTTTCAGGGATGTAGGAGGGCAGTCACTAACTGTTTGCAGTTGTGACTACTTTGCTTCTTTTATACCATCTATTAACAGCATGCTTACTCCTCTGATATTCGCCTTCTTTTGTTTTTTTTTTCCTTACTCTTAGCAGGGAGTGCCGCGACTTGTCATATTAAGTTTTCTGGTGTTAACGTAAGGTTCTGTGTGTCGCTGGGATAGAGGGAGGGGGCACTCCTGGTCACCTGTTCATGGGTGGCGGTGTAGAAAAAAAAGTACCTGCTTATCTATTCATCAACACATCTATCTATCAATCTACACCTTTTGTCGGTTGAATTCGGTGCGTAATCGTCCACTTTAGAAGTAATGAACTGTGTGTAGATATACCGGAATATTAGGTACAAGAAGCGCATGTCTCGGCGCAGGTCAGGCAGTCGGCAATATCGCATTCAATTTCGGTACAGCGGCAATACCCTCCATTTTTGGCGACAGCGCACATATTGCCGCTGTGCCGAAATTGAGCGCGATATTGCCGACTGCCTGGCCTGCGCCGAGTTATGCGCTTCTTGTACATAATACTGCGGTATGTCTACACACAGTTCATTAGTTCTAAAGTGGACGATTACGCACCGAATTTAACCGACAAAAGGCGTATCTATCTTATCTATTCATCTATCGATCTATCTCAGCCTCCTCTCTCTGTGTTTAATTTAACATGTTGACCCAGCGTGTAACAACTCGGTAACTTATCAGTAAGTCGGTGAGATGTATGGGTGTCCCACGTTAGCCGGCCCCCTGTGGCGGCTATGACGGCCCCCTGTAGCGACTCTGACGTCCCCCTGTGGCATAGACCCGGGAACAGGGGGGGCAGCGGGGGCGCTTGCCCCCCCAACTTGGGAGCCGAGGGGGCGGCGCCCCCTCAACTTTGAGGCAGCGAGAAAGGATCTTTCCTCCCTTTTCCGGACTTCATTCCTTCTTGTTTCCTTCATACATCTAAACATCAACACACGGCTTTTTCCTTGCCATCTGAATGGTTTCTGCTGATTGGTACAGTATCGATTTGACAACATCTGCTATTGTCAACCCGCTTTGGTTTGAGCCTGACCTTAGCCATAAGTTTGGCAGGCCAGATTTTATAATGGACCATTTTGAGTCAACTTTGAAAAATACATAACGTACAGCCCACCGCTAAAGTAATGTGTGGTTTTACCAATCTCAACGGATGGCTTTGACCGACGATTTTTAAAAGCAGAAGTGATTGAAAAGAACACGTCAATAGATAAAGTTGTAGCTGCAAGGGTGAAGATACATGTAAGCTACATTTAAAGTCTCGTTGCAGTCTGGCTGATCGTTCCTAGGCTTCAGAAGCAGAACATACCCATGACTGAAACCACACATTACTTCTGCTGTGGACTGTACATACAACGGTGGTAAAATCGTTGCTATAGGTACATATATCACAGTTTACCCGCTCCGGGTGTGAGGGAGGGGTGTAGGGCAATGAGTGCACTGACGTGGCGCCCTCGGAGGGCCGGTATGGGATTAAAGCTCAGTGACACTAGGGGCTTGTGTGGTGCCTTCGTTTATCGGTAGCACCCTCAGAATCGCCGGCGCAGGGCCCTCAGAGCCGCCGGTAAGGGGCCTATAGAGTATAGAGTTTAGAGGCACTGGTATGGGGCCGTCATGCAGGTGCCGGTGTGGGCACTTAGAGGTGCTAGTGTGATTCTCTTAGAGGCGCCGGTGAGGGTTCTTACAGGCGTTGCGTAGGCCCTCATAGACGCTGGTGTGGAGCCGTTACAGACGGGTGTGGGACCTTAAGAGCTGCTGACGCGAGCTCTCTACAAGCCAGCAGGGGGTCTCAGTGACCGGCAAGGGGCCCTTAGGCCGACAGAGGAAGTCCTGTGGGGGTCCTTAGAGACCGGCATGGTACTGTCAGACGCCGGTGGGGCCCTAAGAGTCACCGGTGTGGGGCCCTCAAAAGTCACCAGTGGATGGCCTTGTTTTAGATGCGCAGGTGTTGGTTGGGTCCACGGAGCCGCCAATATAGGGCTTTTAGGCACTGGTGTAGGCACTCAGAGTTGGGGGTGTGAAACCCTCAGAGACACCGATATGGCCGTGAGCCCCCATAGGCGCCGATGAGGGCCCCACAGTTGCCGTTATGGGGCCCTCAGAAAAATAAATGCGGGACCATCACAGGCGGGAAATGCCCAGGTGTGGCCCCTCATAGGCCGGTAAGAACTCTCAAGAGGCCAGTAACGGGCCTTTGGAGACCACCGCGGGGCCCTTAAAAGCCATAAGAGGCCCTCAGAAGCCGGCGTGGGGCCCTTATGGAGATCTTAGTGTGGCTATTGCCTATTTGGGGTCCATGAGGTACTCTAACGAGCCCCATGGGGCCCTTCTAAGTCGAAATATGGCAATCGTTAGCCCTCAGCGGTCAAATGGCGCCGCAGGGCCCCTCGGACCCGAGGGTTCCTTTGAACCCGATGGAGGGGGAGGGGTACGTAGACCCCTAGCTACGCCACGGTTTCATATGCATCATGTCAGGTATTTTAGGCTCGCCCCCCCAACTTGAAAATCGTTCCCGGGCCCCTGCCCTGTGGCGACTCTGACGTCCTCCTGTGGCGACTCTGACGGCTCCTGTGGCGACTGTGACGGCTCCTGTGGCGACTGTGACGGCTCCTGTGACGACTGTGACGACTCACCGCCACCGATACGCCTGCGACGGCTCCGTTTCACAGGTGGACTGGGTGCGGTCGGAGGGCAGCCGGCTCCAGGACGACATCCTGGCCATGATAGAGGCGCAGGACCAGTGAGGTCGGCCGGCCGCCCGGAGCGGGGCCGGGCGCACCTCACCGACCGCCCCACCGTTATCAGTCGCCCGGGTGTCGGTCGCCGTCCACTGCGTGCACATACTCGCCACTCTGTCAATACGAGTATATTAACATAGCTGCACGGCTAGTAGACACGGCGGGATACCGGCCCGGTCAGTTTTAGCGACGGCAATGGCTGAACGGCGATGAACTTTGAGTTCTAACTCATCCCCAGCATGGGGTGTAACATTATGTGAAATCAGCTACATCGGTGCCTGGCAGGAGTATGTTGCGACAAAGATGCATGCTTGTCATCTGTCTATATCATTGAAATAAATAAATGATAGCATTTCCGACTAACTTGTTTGAGTTCTGAACCAGTGACTCGGGTGTTTGGCTGTCAACGATGATGACCCATGAAATGCATGGTGACTGGCGGCGACAATTACGTCAGCAATGGGCACATGACTGCAGCTACGAGGAAATCGGACTCAATTTAGGTGCACGAGCTCTTACTACTGTTGAAGAGTTGATGAAGCCATTCCATAAGTAGTGATCTCACACACCGTTTTTGTATGGTTGAGGTCACTAGACAGGTAAAAGAGTCGATCATTTTAACCGGTGTTAGGGGCGACTTTTGCCGGGCCAGCGGAATGCTTGAACACCCCAGTCTAACCTGGCTCCTGGGCCACGTAGTGATACTAGTGGCAAGTGGCCTTTAAAAGAGCGTCAAAATCATTGAGAAAGAACAGCAGTCATTTTTAGATCAGGTCAACTGTGAGGTCACAGGTTGTCAAAGGTCGAAGTTCGCCGATTTTGGCACTGACAAATCGGCCAGCGATACAGCCCCGCAAAAGATCATAGGTTACATTATTTAGCAGTTCCCATACCTACCTGCCACGTTGCATGATTAACCCGCGCCCCACTGGGGGGAGGGGGGCTATATAGCCCCCCCCCCCGTTTTTCTACAATAACTTCCAAACCGCTTGACGTATCGACGCCAAGCTTTCAGTACCTTAGGCTGCATCAATTTGACACCTTGTGTCAAAATTTGAACTTCGTAACTACTATAGGTCGGCCGGAAATGACGTCAGAGTGACGTCATGTTCGGCCGATTTCGACGCAAAACATTGAACTACGGCAATCGCTCCCAAGAGCTTAATTTTTAAGCTAGATCCAATTTCTTTGCATGAGAGGACTCAGAATAGACTGCGCTATCAAAGTGCTATCTCGGATTTTCGAAATTTTGAAAATTTCGAAAATTTAATATAATAAAATCAAAAATTTATATTTTTACATTTTTTCAAAAAGTTTTTGACTTCTCGAAAAAAAAAAACGGAATATATGTGATAGAACGCATAATTATGACTAACTCTAGCAAGTTTTAGCTAAATACCCAGTAAACATGCCGACGTCGGCCCGACGTCGGGGTGACGTCGGCAACTCGGCACCGGCATGCCGACGTCGGCCCGACGTCGGTCCAACCTCGGCACGACGTCGGCTGGATGTCGGATATGCCCGCATGTTCCGACGTCCAGCCGAGGTCCAGCCGACGTCGGGCCGACGTCGGACCGAGATCAATTGCTGAGGTCCAGCCGACGTCGGGCCGACGTCGGGGCGACGTCGGACCGACATCGGCCGCTGTTTTGACCGTTAAAATAATATAAAATACATGTTTCATGTTTCATAAAGAGCCTCTGTATTCAAAATATCCTCAGGAAACTCAAATCTTCCTCCACGCCGCAACCCCCTGATCCGGACTGGTGGACGGGAAACTTTATCCCATTTGGGATTGCCCGTAAGCCGAGCTCGCCCGTAGCCGGGTGCGGTGAGTGCTTGGGGGCTGCTCGGCCTATCCTTTGGTCAGGGTCAGCCCCGGCAACTCACCAGGGCCGGGCCCAGTTCATATAAAAAGGCCAGTCGGCAAGTGTCACTTTGCCAAAGTGCCACTCTATCAAAGGGACACTTTGGGAAACGTTGGTGCAGGTGTGTAAGAGTGGCTATATGAATCCATTGTGGGATCGCCCTTTCCAATAAGTGTCACGTAACAGCAATGGGACCAGGGACTCTAACTATATGAACTGGACCCAGGGTGCTCGCCAAGAAGACCAATGTCTCCATCCTTTGATCCTTCCGGCTCTGAAATGGTCTTGTCAGACCGAAAGGGCATAACCCAACAAAAACAAACCAAATTCGTTAGCTGGCTGCGTAGTGTAGTGGTTAACGCACTAACCTCGCGTTTGAAGTTACACGGGGTTCGAATCCCATCGCCGGCTGATGCTTTTGGCGTGTTGTCCCAGTAAACATGCCGACGTCGGCGATTGGGGGGCTCGAATCCCGCCGCCGGTTGATATTTTTGGCGCGTTGTCCCAATAAACATGCCGACGTCGGCCCCGTCGGTCCAACGACAAACGATCTCGTCAACCTCGGCAAACGATCTCGGCCCGACGTCGGCTCGACGTCGGCTGGACTTCGGCTGGACGTCGGAACATGCGGGCATATCCGATGTCCAGCCGATGTCGGGCCGAGGTTGAACCGACGTTGGGCCGACGTCGGGCCGAGCCTCGGCCCGACGTCGGGCCGACGTCGTCATGTTTACTGGGTATCTTCAAAAATGGCCAAGTTTTACGCATTATTGCCAGGCATCGGTAGGATTGTGATTGCAGGATTGCAAAATCCTGATTGCATTCCTTTTTGGTGGATTGCACCTGGATTTGAAATCCATTAAAAAAAACAGGATTTGATTGCGGATTGGATTGCATCATATTTCCAATTTTTGCAATCCAATCCGGATTGTGTTTGATAAATGCTTTGAAATGGTTTGTTGCGATTGAAAATTATGAGATCGGCTTCATCGGCTTAATGTACTTTGCTATCAAGGGCTTTACATCGAAACTTGAAATAATTTAAACGCTTTTAATTTAAACGCTCAAAATAATATACGCTGATGAACTACATAGGAAGGGCAAAATTACGTATTTGAGGGCGAGTTTTAAAAAATATAAAACACTGGTTGGGTAGAGGTTTAAATGTGGGGGTGTTTGACGCAAAAAATATTTCCCATAAAATACCTGTGCCTTAGATAGGAATTACTCGCAAGACTAGGTACTAGAAATGGGTGATTTGGGGATGGAGGCACGGCCATATGCCCCCCTCCCTCCCTAGACTAGGTACTAGAAATGGGTGATTTGGGGATGGAGGCACGGCCATATGCCACCCTCCCTCCCCCAGATCCACTATAGTGGATATATAGTGGATATATAGATATAGTGCACATAATGATACAACAGGATTGCAAAAAAGGATTGCGGATTTGATCACAATCCAAGTGAAAAAAGGGGATTGCGGGTAGGAATGCAATCCACTTCGGCACAAGGAATGTGGATTGGGAATGCAATCCTTTCAAAAAGGATTTTCCCGATGCCTGATTATTGCAAAAAAATCACAATTATCAATTTTTCAAATCAATTTTTCAGCACGTATTTGACATCGAACGTCAATATAAATAGCACCATCGTGTTCCTGAGCTCAAACTGCATCCAATAGACCCCTTTTTTGTTGAAAAATTTCAACTTCAAAATTTGACCTTTTTTACCTGAAAGTGACCTGACCTAAGCTAAATTCGACTCAAAATGACATTAAATGACACAGACGATATCAAATTCGAAATCTCGGACCTAAATGGACCATAAAACATATGTCACGTGACCGACGCATGATATATTTTCGTGACCTGTGATGACCTGACCTTGACCTGAAAATCAAAGTACAAGTTTGGTACCCTCAGGGTATCTAGAGCATCTGTTCACGAGTGTGTGCTCCTGATCTGAAATGAGCCTGATCTGACTTGTAAGACGGCGGCCAGAGCCCAAAACATGAACAAGCCAAAATGCAAATAATTTTTACTTTGACCTGACCTGTGACGTCATCGGTGACCTCGAGGTCAATGAAATTAGGTTTCGTTCGACAGTTTTTTCCGGGGCTATCAGACGCCGTTTGAATTTTGACGATCAGCCCAGTAGTTTCGGAGTTAGGAGGGGGGCTATGAATAGCCCCCCCCCCCCCAGTAGGACGTGTTATACGCAGACCCCAGTGGGGCGCGGGTTAAATCGAGACATCCAGGCATCTAAACGGCACGTGCATTGTACATACATACCCTGCGCCAACTCAACTCAAGGCCATATATAGGCGCCAACTTAGAACCGACGGGGGGGGTTGATCGCCCCCCCCCCCCTGAGATCTTGAGAACGAGGCAAGCTAGGGACAAGCGGTAAACGACGTGGGGTACGCACGGACAAGGTCTACAATTTTTTACGAAGGTTATTTTCAGTTCAGGTCAAAGATGACGTCACAGGGGTAAAAAAGTCAAAATGGCGGCGCTAAATATGAGGAATTTTTCTTGAATAACTTTCGAAGTAGGCAAGCTAGGAACAAACTAATGGCACCATCGTGATCCTTTCGTCAGTCCGCATCGAACCATATATACCTATGTTGATCTCGAAAGGTCAAGGTCAAAGGTTGACCTGTCCTCAGGTCACGTGACCTCGAGGTCAACATTCGATGTGCCTTGAAGAGCTGAGTTTACTTCTGAGCCATCACACTGCAATCATTTTGACGCCGTCCCAAATAACAGAGGCGATGTCTAGTCCAGCACCACTTGCATCGACGTCCCTCGCGAGGCGTTCTGGGGTCATCCGACCCATCTCGTCAGGAAAAACGTGCACAAAAACGCCCCGCTCTCGCGCGGGGGGCGCTCGGCGTCACTGACCGCGCCTATACCTGGCGGCCCGCGTAGCGGTCGGGTGGACGGCAGACGGGTAGACGGGCGGTGCAGCGATACACGCAGCCGACTCCGGCCAGACTGGACGCCTGAGACCAGTGCGTGTGGCCGGTCGTAGCTTGTGTTGTGGCCGGCCGTAGTTTGTGCTGTGGCCGGCCGTAGTTTGTGCTGTGGTCGGTCGTAGTTTGTGCTGTGATCGGTCGTAATCTGCGTTGTGGCCGTAGTTTGTGCTGTAGCCGGTCGCAGTTTGTGCTGCCGGCCTGGCGTGGAATATCGCTAACGATTTCGTTGAAAACGCTCGTCGCCGTGCTGACCGAGGGCCGACTTGCTGCTCAAAAGTTTCGACTGAAAGGCCTGGACTTAACATTACCAGCGCGGTTGGCAGGTAAGTGCGCAGGTGGACGGTTGATTGTGTACCTATGCAATATGTATCGTGGTGCAAATTCACTTAAAGGAAACAGTCCACTTTCCTGAAATCAGTATTTTGCTATTGATTTATGATTTTTTATGCTCAAAATAATCATGAAATAAAATAAAACCTTTTTGTAAGAACAATTATTTTCTATATTTTAATATAGGACGAACTATATTCTATGTAAAATAATGTTTGACGCGGAAGCTTATTACGCATTGACCAATCATATTGCGTAGCTCAAACCTACGCATACTGCATTGGCTGTAAGCAGCACGCTGATTGGCTGACGATGACGTGGCTACATTCCTGTGCAAGGCACGCATTCCTCTACAAGGCACTCTTTTCGGAACGAGAAATGGAATATCTTCGTCTAGGGTGATCGTTGAGCCGTAAAAGCTCCTGATTTGTGCTAGTCTCAGCTCAAGCTACGAAACTGCTATTCCAGCTCAAAATCCCATGTTAAAAGTGAACTATTTCCTTTAAATCGTGCAGATACTGGATATCCACGATATCCACGCCCAGACCACGCGGATATGGGGCGGAACACCCTCACCGTTTCGGCTTTCCGTTTCGCCTTTAATTTAGATAAAGCCTCACGGAAAAACGAGCGTGTGCTCACAGAGCCGCATTCTTAGCACCGTAGTAATAGCATGCGTCAAGGTCAGGCGTGTCGAATGGGACACTTTTTTTTGTTTCGGCAGGGATAACTTGAAGTGTTGACCTCAGGTCAAGGATGATATATGAGTGTGTGCTGCCCTGAGCTGCAATGTAGATTACTCGGGATGACAATATTCAACAGGAAGTAGGCATACAATCGACTACCTAGACTGATTCCGACAGCTGTTCCTATGGGCACGAAACAATGAATGGGAGTAATATGTTTGGGAAATGCACTAGACTTCAAACACAGGCGAGATGTGTAAGAATTAATCAAAACGCCGTCTTTGCAGACTCGTTAATTAAGTGGCGATTTTTTAACCACCTGCCCGCAGGTCGCGGCGGGTCTCCCTGCCGAAGCGCTGTCATGAAGCGCAGCGGGTGGGAGCGCCACTGGCGGCGCTGTGTGACGCGCCGAGTTCGCCCCGGCCGCGCCGTGACCGCCGCCGCCGCTCTGCTGCTGCTGGTGCTACTCGTCGTGCGCAGCGATCCCGCCGGGAGTGGAGCTCTGCAGCGCCCGGACGATCCTGCCCGGAGTGGAGCTCTGCAGTAGAGGTGGCAAAATGTGGACCCGGGGACCCGGTCTATGGAACCGGTCTGGACCCGGATGGGTCCAGACCGGGTCCCCCAAAATATTTGGCCGGGTCCAACCGGGTCCTATCATTTCCCTGTGCTTTATGTAAATATTAAATTAATATCTTTTATGCTTTGGCAAACATAGTCATAGTTGATGCAATTTCCAGTTCATAAGTCCCAATTCCACTTTTGAATTTTAACATTCCTGCAGATTGGGCTACCTACTCTATAGCATACTGGTCAGTCTTGCTTCAATTTCTTATCTTGTCACCTACAACAGAATAAACAAGTTCTAAGTGCTAGCAATCCAGAAAACATTTCACCAAATGTTTGTACAGATCACTTCCATTCAGTTTGCTGTACAAAACCTAGCAATATTTTGAGCTGTAGAAATCAAATGCCAATAACATATGTAGGTAAGTAGGTATGACTGAAATCCATTTATAAATGGACACAAATCCAATTGAAGCAAGGCTGACCAGTTGCATTCTCACCTGCCTCTTCAAAGACATTGACATACCAAGGTCACTATGCCCACCGGAAATCAGAGTTCATGTTTGATTCAAATGCATTTCATAACTCAAACAGCTTTGAAATTATTTCTATTACGGCCAGAAGACAACTCATAAAACCAACATGCCCTTTCATAAATCCATAAAGCTATAAATGAATCCAAGGCATTCTCCAGAAACCGTAGTATTGATCAGATTTTTAGCCAACTGGCGCCGCATGGTGGCGCTAGCAGAGCGTATTATACATATAGCGCTCTGCTAGCGCCATCATACGGCACCAGCTGGCAAAAAACTTAGTCAATACCAATGCCCTTCTCCAAGGCCAATGATTCCGTGTTGATGTGAAAATGGCGCATTTGAGCGTCATATATGCTATACCTTACGCACACTAATCTACTGCATAAAGGTTACAATTTTGGAACACGTTTGGGAAGAAATCAAGTAAGTCTCAGAACCCTTGGTATTTGTTCTATATCTAAGTACTAACAAAAAAATGTGGTTTGTTTTCTACGTTAATAAATTGGCACTTAAGTCATGATCGCAACCTTGCAGTACTTAAAAGTTTATTGCCATTTGCCATTACGATTTTGCAGTACTTTAACCCCAACAAAATTTTGCAGTGATTTAACGCCTGTTTTGTCCTTGCATTGCTATCGTGTCGACATTTCTGGCGGACCTCACAAAGTTTTGATGTTTCTATTTTGATTTTGAATGTGTTTTCTCGTTTGGGGCCTTGGTCCTTGGATAGTTGATAATATTTGTAAGGACTAATGAATTAATTCTAAAAACGAAAACTTTTACCAAGAATATTAGAAAAGGTATGTATCAGTATGTTATCTTGTTCCATGTTGATGTTAGGTTCTGACTCTGGTGAAGGCACTGCTCCATGGATCCCCAGTTCACATCATTTTTAGCAGCTGTAGTAAAAGTGGCTTAGGTTAGCATGAAATTCATTGGTCTACTTACTTCTTATATTCTTAAATAATCTGGTTCTAAAATACAAACTGTGAAGCAAAGTGAAATGACCATGGCATGAGTTTTTTACTTTGCAACACAAGTGTGCCCAACCCAATTGGAAAGAAACTATTTTATTCTTGCTATACCTACAGCTGTACACAATTTTCATAATGAATTTCGGGAACGGGTCCATCTGGTTCCAACGCTGACTTAGACCGGGTCTGACCGGTTCCAGAAATGTGCCAGTCAGACCGGGTCCGGGTCCGGGTCCCAAAATTTTCCAGTTTTGCCACCTCTAGGGCAGCGCCCGGACGGCACCGCCCGGCCACCAGGGTGAGCGCGGTGTACTGTGTACGAGACGGAGATGAGACCAGACCAGGTGACAGCACAGTATAGGAGTAGTAGATGAGCTAGTGTCTGAGCTGACCTGACCGGTCCGTCCCCAGGGAGCTGGCCGGGGAGGAGGGGCGGGACCTGGTAGCGGCCGCCGACCGCCGGCTGCCGCCCGCCGTCGGTGACGGCGCCGCGGTGTTCGCGCTGCTCGAGGCCACCCTGAACGCCACGGAGCCGGCGGCGGCGTGCCGGAGCCGCGCCGCGCTCGGCGGCTGGTGCCTCTGGTGCGCGCTGGTCAGCGTCGACGCCGACTCGGTGCTCTGGAAGGCCGGCTCGGATGGCAGCAAGGAGGTGTGCCTGGACCGGCTGCCGGACGCCGACGGGCCGCGCCGCTGCCGCGTCATCTCGGTCGGCATCAACAACGACTTCAGCTTCGACCTGGCGGCGGCGCGGCTCGGCTGCCGCGTGGACGCCTTCGACCCGACCATGGAGCGGCCGGACGGCTGGGTGGCCGAGCGGCTGCGCTTCCACGGCGTGGGTCTGGCGGCGGCCGCCGGGCCGGCGACTGTCGGCGGCCGGCCGGTGCCGCTGGACACGCTGGACGGCCTGCTGCGGCGCGCCCAGCTGGCCCGCGGCCCGGTCGACTACCTGAAGCTGGACATCGAGGCGGCCGAGTGGACGGTGCTGGAGGCGCTGCTGTCGGCCGGCGGCGGCGCGCTGCGCCGGGTCCGCCAGCTGACGGTCGAGCTGCACCTGTACCAGTGGCAGCCGGAGCTGAGCGGCCGGCCGCCGCCCGCGCTCACCTCTCGCTCGGCCCGACGCATGCTGCGCCTGCTGACGGCCCTGCGGCTCGCCGGGTTCGCGCTGCTCGACACCAAACCGTACAAGAGCTGCACGCCGGTGGCCGGCGGCCGGTGCATACCGTGGATCTATGAGACGCTGTGGGTGAACGACTCGGCGCCGCTCGACTAACGCGGCCGGAAATCGGCAGCGGGAGCGGTGACTCACCTTATCTTTACCGTCCAAATCGAGTCAACTGGCGACAGCACCGTCCGAAGCGGTGAACCGATGTGACATTGCTAAAGGTGACAGCTGACTTCGATTCGCGATTACTGTGACTGTGGACAATGTTTGTTCTTTGTATGATGTCAACGAATGCTCACCAGTGCAACAGACATGCACACTGCGCACAATACCGACGGGAAAATAAGTAAGGTGGAACGGATCGATGCTGTGCTGTGTGTAAGTGTATGTGGTCGTCCGGCGTCGGCGCTATCGCGAGTAATTAATGGCAACCAAAGCGTTTTATTTTCCTTTTAGCTCACGACGGAATAGTGGGTAGGTACCTAGTAGCCGTTTTCACGACGGGCTATCCGGCAAGTGCACCTAATTTGACCAGATCTGCACCTAATCTCTTTTACAGCAAATATGTTTATTTTATGAATTTATTTTAGTGTTTTAATCGATGATAGGTACCTACTCTCTGATAATATGACAAAGCAGGCATTTAAGCAATTAGTGCAACCCTAGCTGATAGCTAGGTACCTACTAAGAGACACACTGAACCTAATTTGACCAAATCTGTACCTAATCTGCACCAGATGTGCACCAAATGTGTACCAGATGGCCGTCCTGAAAATGGCCAGGTACCAAAAGTACCTGTTTGGTCCCTTGCTACCTCGGGAATTTTAGTAGTTTTTTTTTTGTCCCATTTAGGTACTTCGCTGGCCTATTACTCAAGTTCCATCCATCAATTTGAACTGAACATACACAATAAAGACGACGCATTAGACCATTTATAGCTTTTACTAAGGTGACTATTCTCGGTTAGCATTATCACGAATCAATTCACTCGTACCATTACCAAACGGCTGGTGCCTGCGAGGTAGGCAGCCCGCACAGCACGCACTATAGGCGACCGCCGCCTATACCAGCGGCGACTGCCACTCCGGCCGCAGCCCAATATTACAATCTACTACCATTTCGGCGGTCGGTATACATGTTACGGGTCATATGCTAACTTAGGCAGTATGCACACTGCCCGGGCAGTATGCAAACTACTCAACAGCCCGGGCAGTATGTAAACTACTCAACAGCCCGGGCAGTATGCATACCGCCCGGGTAGTATGCATGCTACCCGACCCCTATGGCCAGTATGTATGCATACCGCCCAAAAGCTTGGGAAGTTTGCATACTGCCCGCTTCTTGTCTTGAAGTTGTGTATTCCATGTCCATTTTCAAAATATTAATGGCTCTCAAAGTGACGTAGCTCAGCCGCGAAGTCTTTTTGCCGTCAAACGTGATTTATCAATTGAAGGGTGGAATAAGGATTGGAATATAAAGACTTAAAATTATTTTCCCAGACTTTCATTGTTAATTAGCCAGCGGCCAACAAGTCATTTTCATCTGAAATGACGACAGATCTATAGTGTCATCACTCGATGGCTTTGGTTTGGCACCTGGATCTGTAGAGGGCGTTATTATAGTTTAAATAGCTAATGTTGCATGAAACCATTTACATGAAAGACGTTACAAATTGCTATGGTCAGGTTACCAGGTCAGGTCAAGTGACCTTACCTCAGAAAAGTTAGAATGCTCGCCCATAGCTACACCGACTGAACGATCGTTTTGAAACTTGTAGCGATTAATAAGAGTAAAATTAGGTACAGAATGCAATGCATGTATGTAAATTTTATCATCAACCGAGGACCTTAGGTCAGGTTAATTTTGCGCAGTCTCCCTTAGAAGTTTAGGTACAGGACAAAGTTGAAGAACGCATTTTTGGATGAACGTCATTCTAAACACTCTCAAACATCATGTTACAGATTAACATGACACACTGGATCGGAAAACTGCACCTGTGACCCCTTTTTATGACTATGAGGTCATATCAGTTCATAAAAGGTCTTCAGCAATTCTTTGACGATAATTTTTTATGGAGACGTTTTGGAGCGATGGAAACAACCTTAGATGTGTTCAGGTCAAAGATAAGGATCGAACCGATAAAAACGATATGACCTTTTCATGTCAGGTAATGCCCTTGACCTCAGGTCAAATTTTGAGCTTAGATCAACTTCGAATGCTTTCCAGAAATCGCTAAAAGAGCTATCGCATACGCTGATTTGTGGGCGAATTTGTAAAAAAAAATGAAAAAGGCGAAATTTGGCCTTTGATAAGCTCTGGTGCCCTACTCTTTGACCTGACCCAAAAAATGACTAGAGTAATTTCGTCATGATTTTTGACGCTATTTAAAATGCCGGTTACAGCATCTTACATGCCGCTTACTCCTGTACCGCTGTGGCAAGGAGCCGAGCAGGGGTGTTCAACCCCCCCCCCCCACCACCACCACCACCACCACCACCCCACCAGCCCGGCACGGCTGGCGCCGAGCACTGCCCCGACGCGGGTTAAAGCGTCTGTCATTGACATGACTCGTATATGCCAGCTATTGCACTAACTAGTCTCACGAGCCACGGTCAGCATACTGCCCGAGCAAACATCTTACCCGTGAGATGAAAGGTGGGTAGTATGCATGCTACCCGGGCAGTATGCAAACTTCCCGGGCGGTATGCATACTGCCCAAGGGGTCGGGTAGTATGTATACTACCCGCCGCGGGCGGTATGCATACTGCCCGGGCTGTTCGGCAGTTTGCATACTGCCCGGGCTGTTGGGTAGTTCGCATACTGCCCAAGTTAGCATATGACCCGTAACATAATATTCTTTTAGACAAAGACCAAACGGAAACATAGGTTTTTAAGGAATGTCGAGATGCCGTCAATGTGACCGGGTGGCCGACAGCCGACGCGACGGTCCCGTGTTGCTGGGCGCCCCAGACACCCAGACCGAACACATTAAAGTGAACCAGACGGTAAAAAAGAGGGTCTAGACATGATAGGGCATTGCCAATTGGGGCCTCCATCGGGGAGTGGGACGTCTAGTTTCCTTCTCCACACTATGTATGTAACTCATATAGCTCGTACATAACTGATTTACATGTAGCTCGCGAGTGAAAACCCTAACGGGGCCAATTATGAGTGGACACTCCCATGAACTATCCCACCTCGCGGTACATACTTCGATCGGACCTCGCACCATCACGACGCGGGTTAGCAAGAGCAAGTGTCTGCTCGACAATGTCCCTATTCACTGAGCATATGTAGGTACTGCCGGCGGAGAAGTGACGCTTCATCACCATAAGGTGTCGGCGCGCCCATAAGCCCCGCTCTAGCAAAAAGAGAATCAGGAATTACGAAATACTGATACGATGCCGTTGACTGTCGAGCCTCTTGCACCTGTCCCAGGACCCAGACCATAGACCATGAGATGATCCGCTGGTCCCGCTGCCGAGGGGTTAAAGCCCCCTCCCCCCTCCCCTCCCCGTGGGCGGCAGTGACGTCGTTGGCTGGCGTTCGGCCCGCGGTGGGGGAGGAAAGGGGGTCGGGGTCCGATGGCAGCTGACACGGCAGTCAGCTGATAGGGTCGGGTCGCCCGTCGTCGGCCGGGGCGGGGGGGGGGGGGGCGGTCGCCACCGCGCAGGACCGCGTCGGATCGATAGCGGACCTCGGCTAGTCATCTGTGCCCGTCGGCCTCCTGTGGACAGAGTCTTGTCCAGGGCTTCCCTCAGTCTGACTGCTTTCAGGCTGTTTCCGGAGGAGCAGTCAGCGGTCTCAGTGTGTCGGCAGTGCAGTGTGAAGCCACTCACCAGGTGAGCAGTCAGGGGCGTCAGTGCAGTGTGAAGCCACTCACCAGGTGAGCAGTCAGGGGCGTCAGTGCAGTGAGCAGCCGCCCACCAGGTGAGCAGTCAGGGGCGGCATGTGCGGTGCGCAGCCACTCACAAGGTGAGCAGTCAGGGGCGTCAGTGCAGTGTGAAGCCACTCACCAGGTGAGCAGTCAGGGGCGTCAGTGCAGTGAGCAGCCACTCACCAGGTGAGCAGTCAGGGGCGTCAGTGCAGTGTGAAGCCACTCACCAGGTGAGCAGTCAGGGGCGTCAGTGCAGTGCGCAGTGAGCAGCCACTCACTGGTGGGGTCAGCGCCATGGCGGCCCGTAACGACCGGACGATGGTCTGTCCCGGCGACAGCAGAACAGACAACAGTGCCGCCAAACCACTGGATAATTGAGTGAACATAAACGTGAAAAGTTGTGCATTTGTACTGTTAACGTATATTATGGCATATGACGATGCCTAATGGTATTTTGAGCCGTGTGCATTCGGGTTGTGTCCGCACATAATCGGTTGTTTACTGTCTGTGCCAGTGACCTTCAGAACTGCTGCAGGATTCATGTCGACCAGCCCGGGTCAAGTCTTAAATACTTTCATTAAATACCTTCATTATACCTAACAATAAAAAAACGAGAATATGCTTTGAAGTACCTACCACGTAACTACCACAGAATTAGTATAGAGTTTGGTTTTCCTTAGTTAGCAAGCTACCTTTATTACATCGTCAGGAAATCTTATCATAATTTGAAAATATTTCGGCCAATGTTCGCATACAACTTGGTAAAAATAGTCTCATTTTTTTAGCAATTCGTTGGTGGTAATTGCGTAACCAGAACATTCCGCAGAACACTGGTCGGTCGTGAGTCCATTGTCCTGTGACACGGCACCGTTTTTACTCTTTATCCAGTTGTTTGGCTCAGTGAACATTGGCGCCCTGCTCGACTGCGCCACTGCTCGCTGTCGAGCAGCTCTCCATTACCAGACACGCCGTACCCCGTCACATTAATGCGGCCGTCTGTCCGTCGACGCCCGCTGGAATCGCTTCGCTGGTATGTCATTAACGAGCTCTGTGACGGCGCCTACAAAAGGTGGCGGTCGCCATGACGGGCCATCCAGAGCAGTGGAGCGGCCAGCGACAGCGGGACGCGTCTGAGCTGCGAGAGCACCTGCTGAGCGCGCCCGGCGGCGACACTATGGCCAACAGCACCACCACCAGCGGCAGCAGCGGCAGCGACAGCGGCAGCAGCGCGGCCCAGCAGCGGCTCGAGGAAAAGCGCCGCGAGGCGGAGGCTCAGGGCTCCGGCGCGGCGCCTGCCTCCGAGCGCTGGGCCATCCAGGTAAGACTGACCGACCGCGGCATACCTACAGGTCACGCGGGTAAAACGGAAACACAAGCGGCAGAACTGCAGGCGCCGGTCAGTATATACAGGGCGGTAGGCGCGCACAGTCTGCTGGTTTGCCTGCCCGCGCCCGCTGACCCGTCAGCCGCCGCCGCCGTGAGGGGTCTCACTGCCATGGGAGACCGCCCGGGCGCCGGTCTCGGCGCCCCTCCCCCACCCCTACCGCCAGTCTCAGCGCCCCTCCCCCACCCCTACCGCCGGTCTCAGCGTCCCTCCCACCGCTCCCCCGGTCTCAGCGCCCCTCCCCCACCCTCCCCCGGTCTCAGCGCCCCCACCCTCCCGCCGCGGACAGGTGTACGCCGCGCTCAGCTCGTCGCTGCTGACCGGCCAGTCGGCGGCCGCTGCCAGCTTCGGCTCCATCGCCGTCGACCACATCGAGCGCGGTCTGGGCTCGGTGCCGGCCTCTGACGGCCAGCTGACGCTCTTCTGTGAGTGCCGAGCGACGGCGCCGGCGGCCGCGCCACAGGCGGCCGCCCGGGCCGCCGCCGCGGGGATAGGTGACGGGTCAGGCTCAGGGGTCACCACGGGAGCGGGACGGGCACACACACACAACTCCCAGCAGACACAGACGAGTGGAGCGAGATCGCACTGGGTGCAGCCGACTGCATCTTTGGCCATGCAGTCGTGGTGTCGCCAAACCCACAATGTTCGATTATAAAGTTGAATAAAATGCCACATTGAATCAATTCCTATCATTCATTACAGACATATTATTTTGCATCAAACAGACATTACAAAGCTATTCAATGCGAAAAAAAGATTAATTTGCAAGGCAACAAAGTCTTAGAAATCAGCTGAAGTTGGTGGGGAAAAACGCTTATTGGTGGGGCAAAATACCTAGTTGGTGGGGCAGCCGCCCCACCAACTGTATAGGAAGCTCCGCCCCTGGGTATATGAATATCGCACGATGACAGCGTATGCCAAAGGTGCTGTCGGCTTTACCCAGCCGCGACACTGCACAGTGCACATTGTTTCAATTTTATCGTCAGTTATGTGACACGATAGGAATTTTAGGCATTCCCAAATATTAAATAATGCCCTGGTAGCAAACGCCATAGGCCTACTCAACCGATTGTAGCAGATGTTTAATAAGAAATAGTCTAGTTTTCTTCCAATTGTTCATTGCAATTAAAATCAAGAATCTTAATAAATAGGGTAAGGTGCCTAATTAGCGACCCCCTTAATTTGAACCGTCATTGCTCACGCTCTGTGGGTGCCACTGTATTACTGGTTTGATTTTCGGAGAGATCGTTCATTTTTCTATTAAAATATAGTCATTTTCTGCCCCAATATACACTAACTTATTTGTAGTGAGCATTTTAGCAAACCATTGCAAAAAAACACTAATAGGGAACTCTTCCCGATTAGCGACCGGGGAGGGTCGCTAATAAGTCTATGGGTTTCCCCCATATTAAAAATGGCAAAAAATGCGACGCCTGAAAAGATGAAATATGATCTCAAAAAGGTAACCTATACGCAAAGCACTCAATCACTCGAACAGGAACGTTTATCCAACACATTTACGTAAGTAAAAACTGATCACGTGATGCACCGAAGGCGTAAAGAAGGCGGAAACCCAAATTTTGCGGGCTATCTCGTATGATATTCGAGGTCCGCGCTGAATTCGGCACCCCTGCAGTTGGTAACGACATTTGGCATCCCCTGCCACACATTGCAACTTGCAAGCTTCAGCAACACCTCATTTTCATTTCTTTCTTTTCCCCTTTCTTTCCCTTCTTGAGCTATTTGCGACCATGTCAGGCGCAAATAGGAAATATGAGTTGCGACACATTTTTAACCGCCATGCTGTGCACAGTTGAGCGATTCACTATGGGAAAACGGCAATCAATTGAAAAAGGAATGTCGACTCAAAATAAAAAAGGCGCATCATCCTAATGTGCATCGCTTTTCATCAGAGAGGGACCAAACACACATGTTTTGGATAAGAAAGTTAACATTTTTATACTCACCTGAAACGTCCCACCAGAAACATCGACGACCGGAAAATAATTTATTTTGATAACCAAAGTATGGCTGACCTTTTGACGATGTTTTTACCCCGTTTTCTCCTGCCAGTTTTTCTGTAGGGAGGTAGGTCGCAAATGGGAAAGGGTCGCTAATTTGGCACCTTACCCTACCCAGACAATCATTTGACACAACACCCGTTTATTTATGTGCGTAGGCTAAACTGTTACACAGTCAGCGGTTGGCTCATATAGCAACTGATTAAGATCGATAACCGGCTGCCATTAGATACTAGGACATGCAAAACGCATATGTGAGGTGTGCATGAGTATTGCTAATTAGGCCTATTTGCTGCGTTGTGTGATTGAGTGTGATAAATTGCCTGCTTTTAACACTTGTCTTCTCACATAATTTGCACTTAGCACCCTGCTGCAGCATAGATACTGAGATAAAAACCGATCCGATAAAACCAGTGAGATCAAAGTCACCAACCATGAGGCACATACAAAGTCATTTTCATGCATACATTGCGACGATGTCTCACCCTTTGAAAGCCCCACGAGGACGACTTGCGGAGCAGGTGCAAAAACCAATCGAAATTCCGTTTCATGTATGGAATTATGAATCAAACTTCACACTTCCGTTTTTTTTCTCACAAAAATTAACGTTGTTCTGATGGCACATGGCTGGTGGTCTTTTAAATCAGACTTTTACTTGATCAGAATGTTTAAGTTAAGCAGATGATATTACTGAATAAATTGACTCTCCCGCCGCCGACCTACCGCCCAGTACCCACCAGTCGGTGTGCATAACCCTTCGTAACGCGCCAAGACCCAGCCGTTAAAGGGACCCTCCCACCTTCAAAAAAGTTTATGAATTGGCATGAAAGTGATGTCGCTCGGTTCAGAAAGAGCGAAAACGAATATCTACCAAATTCCACCGAAAAATATTCACCGGTTTTCAAGATATTAGACTTTTACTTTTGTTTACTTTTTGGGATCTCCGCTGTTCCTAGCGACTTAATTTGGAAGCAATAGTTTGGCAGCTGAAAGTGCGGCACTTGTTGCGCGCAAAGCAGCATATACCACCGCGTGCTACAGAACGTTTTAGTCAAACATTTAAAAATCGTTCGATATCTGCGCTGACGTCACACATTCAGAGGGATATTCCTATGCATTAGCCCCTCTGAATCAAAATGCTGCAATTTTGAAATTCAATATTTCCGATTTAAGGCATTTCTCGATGTTGTGAGTGCCGAAACCGGTAATTGTGAGCCAGGGACCCCATTTTGGCTAACTCAACTCCAATCTAATGTTAAGGTGGGAGGGTCCCTTTAAAAATTGGCTTATAACCATTACTGGCACCCACACCCTGGAATGACAGCAAAATCCACACTGGTGCATATGTGGCATATATTATGTGACATTTCAGGCGCACTTTGTTTACCCAGTGCATGCGATCTGTCCACTTATGGTGCACTGCATAAGATCATGGTCATATGCTATAGATTATAGATATAGTTTCTGGTTGGCGCGGGGTGCACACCGGCCACTCGGTACAATGGCTGGAAGTAGGAGTTCGGTTCACATAAATAGGTGTGTGCGTCTACTGGAGAACGATGCTCTGTCGTGATGATGCTGCAGCCCGTATCTCATTCATAACGTATTGGTTGTCCCCGTTATTTTTTAAATGTTTACCTACCTGTAGCAAATGACACGCGTGGCCACGGTTTTCCATGACAGTAGATAGCTGTAGCTCATGTTTTTTTTTTAATGAATGCCTATTTAAGTTGCCATCTTATTACAGCTAAAAACATCATCTCTTCATGACGCTGGGATATTTAAATGCTACTTTTAGCCCCCGTGGTTTACGCAATGGCCATTATTCCCCAGCTCATTTTTATAAGCCCCGTTGTTTTCGATAAAAACGTATAATTATGCTCCTTGTGTAGTTAATGACCGGCGTCTGTGATTTCGATTGTTACCACCGTGTTTTCTCCGTTTGTCCGCCCAATTTACCCAATGGAATGTGTGCTTCCTGCGTGTTTCCCTGTCTTCAAGCGATGAAAAATTGCCATGAAAACAACAGACGAGTACCTATCATCGTCAAAAGGCCGTGCATTATTGCACGACATGGTCACAACACAAAGGAGTTGAAAGAAGGAAAATATTGTGAATTTTTATTCAAAGCAATAATTTGCTTTCTTGATGCACACGCTTCTAGTGTTTTTATTACTTTTTTGCATTGCGTGATTGATGAGAATCAATTTAAAGGTCTTGTCTCCAACAAGAAAACCAAATTTGCTTTGAGCGTTAAAGTGCTAAGGTCTCGAAAGATGTCTGTTTTTTATATATGTATATACATTATTTTGTAGAAGAACGCACGCTCAGGCATGACGGCTGCTTGAAAGCCACTTATCGAAAAAAGAAACGTATCTATCAGAACCACAGCAAGCAATTGAAAGTTGAAAGATTAAAAAGGAATTTGTCTACAACAAAGATCTGCGCAATCTGCCCTGATCTGCCCTGAAATATGTAAAAAGAGACGACAGAGATCTGCAGCTTTTATTTAGGTGCCTTGCCTTAACTATATAGTTATACATATTATCATATACCACTTCTAATAAGTCCTCTTTAATTTTTGTTCGGCGTTATTGTGCATGAATAGGTTCTTTGTTATCGCTTAGGTTTTTATAGCTTATTATTCAAATATCACATAGTTAGGTGCTTTGTTTCACTCGTCATCTAAACAAAGACAGTCACTATGCCGCAGGTTTCTGCGCCGAACCAGACTTCGGATGTATTTCAGCCAAGGTAATTGGGACATAAATTCATACAGCAATAGTGAAAAGAGACTTCAGACATCAGACGCGCTGCGCAACCGCCAATAGAACAGTGACAGCAGTGCACTCAGTCATCGCAATACATCGCGGCTTAGCTTGAGACACAATCCGAGTAATTGATTGGCTCTTGCGCGTTCCGAGCGTGGCGGTCTTTGGCTTCTCGCACTATTGCTTTGTGAATAAATGTTCTCCTCTGCAATTGCTTGAGGTGTTGTTTTTACCTTGTTCACTACTATAATAGACATAACTAAAAATTTGTCATTGACTTGCTGGTAACACTTTAACATTTGTAAAGTAATGTTTCATATTTGTATTTTTAAGCAGTTGTACCTATAGTATTTCGATATGTCAACTATAACACGAAGATAATCGTTTTATCTTGCATTAATGTAACTGTTTACCATAATCATCGACCTGTCAACATTTTCATGTAGTTTGTATGTTTGAACAATTAACCTGCGTTCATAAGCCACATTTTCGATGCTGGCCAACGGCCAAACGTTTATTGTTCGCGACAATATAATTACAGAAGGAAAATGGGAGAGGAACAACTTGAAAACGGAGCCGAAAAATCCTGAGGAAGGCAAAAGGTACTAACCAGAGGCGCGAGCATTGCATGATTGGGACGGGGCAAACGTGCTATTGATCCATTAAACCAGGAAAATGATGCAAATCATTAAGGAAGACATTCATATATTTTACAAAAAAAAATATCAAACTCAAAAAGCTCTTTTGCTCGGTTTCTATATACAACATTTCATTTTTTTAACCAGCTTTAAATGAAATTTATTGCAAGCGAAAGTCTAATTGCAAGCAACAGAAACAGACGTTTGCCCCCTCCATTGCTACGTCTCTGGTTTCCTTCAATAGAAGCAATGTGCTATTTAACGTCCACCTCTGAATTAGGTAAATCTCCATTTGTCGTCATTAAACGGTTTTGATGTTTTATTGGTGATGTATGATGATGCCTAGGCAAATTTTATATTATCTTGGGTGTACGTAATTTTTATTGTGCTCATATACTAGAAATAATTTGTTTGCGAGGAAATAGTTCACCTTCAATAAGAATTAACTTCGATAAGAAAACTAACTCGATAAAAAAACTTCGATAAGAAAACTAGAATCCATTGGAAAAGACTTAATCAGGACAAATGCTGCTGTTACATTTAACCAGATCTGCATCGAAAACAACTTGCTTCCCAAGTTTACGAATCTTCAATAAGAATGCTGCCAAACTTGCGAAACTAAACCCAGTCGGAGCCCCAGTCAAAAGAGATTGGCTTAAGTATTTGCGCGAACTAGAAAACTTTTCCTTCCTTGCCTTATCATATAGCCATATTACGAACACAAAGCTTGAACCTCTAAAAGTGTTTTGGTTTCCGATCGTGTTTAACTTTTTTAAACAACTTATTTTATTAAAAAAAAACTGTCCTTCCAAAGGGAGTTGACATACCTACCTAAATATCCCTCTATATATGTTCAAAGGTTGCTAATTACTGAGTCGTGCAATCATCAAAGTAAACGTAAATAAATTGAGTGAGTAATGAACTTAAGAAGGTGAACTATTACCTTGCAGTAACATTTAGCAATGGGCATTATCGTTAGTGATACGAGTCAGTTTGCTTAGCATGCGCTCACAAGTTTTCATGCGACGCAAATCTACCTTGCCACGATTATCAAATTTCTAATGCTTGTACGATGCATTTGAACACTGATTGCATCTCAGATGTACCAAAATAACAATCTAACCGAAAACGAGCCATGCTAACCAAACACAACTCGAAATGCTTTATCGGGCCCAGATGATGTTTTAATGTATCACTAAATTAGCTGTCATTCTCGTTTTCCCGAGTTTTCTCAGCTATCCACCAGCGCCCGTTTGTGTTGCCGCCCCGTGCCATTGCCGGCACCGTTTCAGTTGTCGCTCGTGTACACGCGTTCGTGGCCGCATTCTGTTGACCTCTCTACTCCAGGTGCGGTTGCGGAAACCGTGCGGCCTGACCTGGCTTTGTCGCCTCGGTTGGTGGCAGAGTCCACTTCGGATATTCCTCGGAACACAGCGATCGTAAATATGGCTTCTCCTTTTATTTTAGCCTTTCCCCCATTGAGGCGTGCTCCCTTGCATTGGTCAGAATCTCTGTCGAGTCGCTCCTCGCGATTAGGTCGGTTGTTTGTTTCCATTTGGTCCAGCTCGGCGCCGGATTCCGTGAGTAAGGGCAGGGAGGGCGGGCAGATCACTGGGTAACGGCACTCGAGCTGATTCCCTCCGCGCTAGGGGGACGGGGGGAGAGAGGTGCCGCGCGCCGCGGACGGCCGCTGACGCCCTGCTGACGGCTTCCAGTGACGGCGCACTTTGTGGGCACCACGCTGGGCTCGCTGGTGTGCGGCGCGCTCGGCCAGCGGTTCGGCTCGCGCACGCTCATGCTGGCCGTCACGCCGTTCTCCCTGCTGGCCTGGCTGGCCGTCGCCCTGTCGCCCTCCGTCGCCACGATGACCATAGGTGAGCAGCTACGGACTCGCCAATGTGCTATCAATGCGCGTCTCTATTTTGACATGATCTGATACAGGCAAGAAGAAAGCCTAATTTTTCAGCAATGTTTTATGAAAAAAGCATGCACTTGGCACCTAAACAACACACCTATATCAGAGAAAAGATTCATCACATAATGGGCAGTGCCGTAGGTCCATACCAAAACAGCATTAGCAAACTTGTAACACACTTCTTTTTACGGAATAAAACCCCAAGCCTTTACCCCACCCGGCTTCACCCTCTGACAGTTGTTGCGGCTCTTGTGTGACGCAGGTCGGCTGTCGCTCGGCTTCCTCACCATGATCCAGATGTCGGCGAACGTGCTGTTCATCTCGGCCACCTCCAGTCCCAAGTACCGCGGCCTGCTCTGCAACTTCATGGAGATGCTGGCGGCGCTGGCCGTGTCGGCCACCTTCCTGGTCGGCAAGTACCTGGTGTGGCGGCACGCGGCCGTGGCCCTCGGCGTCGGCTTCAACGTGCTGGCGGCCGGCCTGCTGGCGCCGCTGCCGGCCGACCCGCTGTTCCTGCTGACGCGCGGCCGGCTCGAGGAGGCGCGGCGCGCGCTGCTCTTCTACCGCGGCGCCGACGCCGACACGTCCGTGCTCAAGGAGCGGGCGGTGACGGCGGCGGCCGCCGATGAGCGCGTCGAGGTGACCTCGCTGGGCGCGCGGCTGCGGCTGCTGCGCCGGCGCAGCCACTGCGTGCCGCTGCTGCTTCTGGTCGTCCAGTACGTCGTCTACTGCTGGTCGGGCGCCGGCGTGGTGCAAAACTACGCCGTCGTGCTGATCCGGCGCGTGGGTATCGCGCTCGACCCGTTCCTGATGACCATTGTGCTGAACCTGAGCCGCGTGCCGATCACGTGCCTGAACAGCGTGCTGGTAGATCGATGGGGCCGGCGGCCGCTGCTCGCCCTCTCCGCGGCGGGCATGGCCGCCTGCCACCTGGCCATGGCCGCCTCGTTCGTGTGGCCGGCCGTGGCGGCGCACCGCTGGCTGCCCGTGGCCAGCCTCTTCAGCTGCATGGTGTTCTTCGCGCTGGGCATCGGTCCGGTGACGTGGCTGCTGCTGGGCGAGCTGCTGCCGCGCGCGCTGCGCGAGCTCTGCGGCGGCTGGATCATGGTGCTGTTCTCGCTGCTGACCGTCTCGCAGCTGCAGCTGTTCCCCGGCATGCTGAGCACGCTCGGCGAGGCGGGCACGTTCGCGCTGTGGGCAGCCGTGATGCTGGCCTACCTGGTCTTCATGGCGGTGGCGCTGCCCGAGACGCGCGGTCTAAGTATCGAGCAGATCGAGCGGCTGTTCGAGTCGCCGCGGGACGGCGCGCAGCCGCCGCGCGTGACGTCGCCGCCGCCGCTCCAGGTGTGAGGCAGCACCACCGCGCCCGGCCGCCGGCCATGGATTACAGGTAATCCATGCGCCGGCCGCGTGAGGGGGAGAAATGCGCACTACGCTTGACACACGCTTAGCGGGGTGGTTACGGACGCGCCGGGTGTCCCGAGCCGGGGCCGAGGCGCGATGGACAGGGCTGTCCGGGGCTCCCCGGGTGGGGGAGCCGCAGCTACTTACCAGTGCCCTGTTCACAAATCAAACGACCATGTCCGCCAATAAAGTTGCTGATTGACTTGTCTCATGCTGTAACGTGTGTTGAAACTTTAACGAAATAAAGATTTATTAACTTTAAGAAATCGTGTGTAAACTAGCGAATTATATAGGTAGGTACTTACCTATGAATTGAATAAGAACTTGAAAACGTATAAAGAAAATGCAAAGCTATCGGCTGCAGCTTTTTTTCTACTCAAATATACCTACCTACCTACCTCTCGTATTCCTACTACAAATAATGATTAATCAGACCTTGCTTTTGTCATTCTCATTCTCAGCACATCTTATGCCCACCAGCACGATCCTTATCAAACGTTTTCAAGAACCGGTTGAATTCTCCATTCTCTCAGCATTAGTTGAAGATACGAGTAGATACGGTGGCGCACGTAACGAGCACACGCCCGTTGCACCAATAAACATAATCCACATGCCACAAGCAAACAAGTCCAGCTAGGCGCTGGCGGCTGTCCGCGGCACTGGTCGACGGCACCAGTCGACCGGAGCAGCTGCAGGGCCACAGCCAGTTACATCGTGTGCCCGTAGTCGCCGCTCGTCACACACAGGATCGAACAGCGCTGGCCACCGCACCGGCCCTGCCCGTGTCCGTGAACTGCGCTTCTGCCTCCGTCGGGTAACTATGTGCGCATGTGTTGGTGTCTTGCCTTCGGACCAGGGGAGTCGTTCTTCTTCCGATCCATCACATTTTGGCCTTTTGTGCCTAAAATTTCAACGCTTTTATACTCATCAGCTACTTAACATTACCAAAAAGTAAGAATTTGATTAATTATATCAACATAAATTTTATTTAAGCTCATCAGCGGAAATAGCCTCAGCCAGCGCCCAGCTAGGGGTGGGGGGCATATTTTCAGCGCATGCTGTGAAAACTTCAGGCCAAGGTCAGGTCACGTCAAGTGACCTTGCCAGTAAAAAGGTGCAATGCCTCCCATAGCTACACCGAGTGACTGATCACTTTCAACTGAAACTTTCAGAAATTGATAAACGACAATATGTGCAAAATGTGAATCTTGGTTTCGATATCGGTGATCTAAGGTCAAGTCAGTTTTCCCACCTCTCCATTATAAGTTAATGGGAGAAAATTGAAAGGCGCCTTTTTTGGACGAACGTCATTCTAAACACTTTCAAACACCGAATTGTAAACATAACACACTGAACAGGAAAATGGCAACCGTGACCCCTCGTTATGTCCCTGATGTCATCTCAGGTCACGAATGGCGTCTAACAGTTTTTCGCTAATAACTTCCGATAGAGGCATGCAAGAACAATGCCGGAACGCCTTAGGTGTGTTCGGCTCGACGATACGGATCGACTGATATGTAACATGACCTTTTCCGGTCAGGTCATGACCTCGATCTGGGATCAAATTTTCAAGTGGACCTTTCAATGTCAAATTATATACCTAGTTCATTCGACGCGTCTCGACGAGCGGAACACGATGCCTGCAAGTGCATAAGTTATGTCGTCAATCTCTTGAGTAAAAAGTTATTGAAAAATGTTTTTCGTAAAAACGGTTATTTTTCTGTTTTGCTCGCTGGAGAAGAAACCGTTGACCTGAGGCTAAATCTGGGGGCACCCTCCAAAAAAGAGGGTTGAAAGGGCTATCGAATGTGCTTTTCCGCGGCGCTGTAGATATCTCTCTTGGTTCTCGAGTTATATGCCCGTGTTTCGAAAAATGTTGAAATAGGCAACATTTTACCTTTGATGGCCTCTGGTGACCTGATCTTTTACTGACCTAAAAATGACCGAGGTGTTCTCGTCCTTATTTTGGACGTGCTCTGGAATGCCACTTACCGCGTGCCACTATACGTGGCGGAGGAGCCGAGTTAGAGGAGGGGAAGGGAAGGGGGGATCCAGCACTCCCAGTGGGACGCAGGTTAATTAATATGCCTAATGGGCTTCCTTAAAGTTCATTTAGTTAAACAACGTCGCAAGATAACTTCGTGTGGTGTCACTCGTTAATATGGCTGTCGTGCCTATGAGCACATGTCAACTACAAGGTGATATCGGTCCGGCCATGAAAACGACTCCTGAAAACGGTATGCTTTCATGTGACCTGATCTGGGTGTGACAACCTAAAAAACAAACAAACAAACAAACAAATAAATAAATAAATACCTAAACAAACAAACAAACAAACCAAAAAGCATTGCATACCTACTCTGGTTTTGAAACGTCAACTTGCAGCCTCTGAGCGTTGCAAGCTTCCGATAATTAAAGTAAAAACAATGCAAATGTACCTAATAGTACAAGCGTGCAAAATCCGGAAGAGAGCGAGCGTCTAACAATGTCAACTCAGAGATAATGATGTTTTGGGTGACCTCCCGCCGCGCCGTGGCTGCCGCCCCGCGCCGGGCGCCTGGAGCCGCCCCTGTCGGTCGGGCCCGCCGGCGGTCACGTGGGTGACCGTCCCGGCACGCGGCGGGTCAGGGGCGCAGGGAAGGGAGAAGGAGCCAGCCGGGAGCTCGCACTGGCAGGGCCGGCCACGTGGTGTATCCCGACACGTGTGTGCCGAGTGGACGTGGGCGAACACATGGACGAACCGGCCGCGAGGTCTTCTAACAATTTTTGTTACATTTTTCACTGACGTTATAACTGAAGATTTGTGTTCAATAGTTGAAACGCTATTCGTTATGCATAAGAGGAAGATTCATAACTTACCTACTTACTTTCACGCGATTAACGCTGATTAACAAGGGTACCCTGAAGATATTCAGCAATCAGCAGATCGACAAGCCCGCTTCTACTGACATCAATAACCGATCGCCAGCCTCTCTCGATAAAAAGCGTTGTCTTCGTCACTTAATGCTAGCTGGACCGCCCTTCTACGCGGTGACTCCCAATCAATCCCGTGCCGGTGAGAAGCGGTTCAATCCGGTAGCATGGATCGTGCCAGGATTTGATAGATGAAATCCTGGCGAACTCGGCGCGTAACTGACAACTCTACTTATAATTCTGAAGGACATCTGCGACAATCAATGTATCTAAATGTAGAGCAAACATGTGGAATACCAGACAGCCGGCACGCCTGCTGACGGTCTGCCGAGTCACCCGAGGCCGTTTGTCATCACCTGCCGAACAATCGCACGACGTCGGCGGGCGACACTCGGGTCACACCAGCGCCGACCCGCGCCGCACGTGACGCCCGCACCTGTGCGCGGACGCGGGGCCTCTGCGGACAAAGGGCTGCTGGCGTCTCTGGCTCGGCGGCGCTGTCGGGCTGTCCTCAGCTGTCCTTTGGGTTATGTCTCGCGGGTGGCGCACCGATTGGGTGCGGCGACAGGTGCGGGTGACTGTCCGCTCGGGCGACCGTCATCAGCGTCCGGGCCACGTCAATCGACGGACGTCAGCAGATATACAGTTGCAGGCTCGCATTTGTCATTCCCTGAACCCCGGGGCACAGGCGGGCCGGAAGCGGGGCGCTGGGCCGTGCAGCTATATCCGTGAGCGGTCGGACGCCGCAGCTGCACACCTGCGTAGTAGGTACGGGAGAGCGCCAGTGACGCTGACCGCGACGGTGCTCACTGCGTCGAGCTCCACAGCCGCGCGACAAACTCACCTAGGTAGGTAGCACCTGAGGTAGGTGTTTGAAAGAACAGACTCCCGTATACCTACTCTTACCAGCAATAGGACTGTAAACTTAGTGACTCGTGCACGACAAACCTTCAGTTCGGTTGACAGGAACCCCTTGTAAACGTTGAAAGTCCCTACAGTTTTCCTGAAATGCGTCAAAAGCGGCTACACATTTTTTTCCCTGCACATACCTTTTGAAAAAAAAACAGCTCTGGGTCACCTAAGATCAAGTCACAGTGACACGTCAAGTGACCTCGCCTCTGCGAAAAAGAAGAAAATGTTCGCGCTCACTCCACCAACTGCATGACTGCGGTTAATGCAGTTCCAAACCTTTCCCAGATTGATAAGGGTGACTGAATGCATTTGATATGGTAAATGTTCCTATTCGCGACCTTTCCCGATTTGCGACCCCACCCTCTTGATCGAATTAGGCTGGAATATGAAACTCGATATATTTATTAATAAATTTATTGTATGCGTTTAAACACACGCATATACGCACATACTCTTGCCCCATTGCCCTTAGACAGTTTCACATAATTAGCGAATTTCTTACACAAATAGACCAGTTTAGAAGTGTTGGTAAAAATTTATCGACACCTAAACTGACATGATTGTTAGGGCAAGAACTAAGATGCCTAATAAGCGGCCCCTTAGCCCTCGCCCTGGCAGGGGGGTGGCGATGCCCCCCCCTAAGGTTTTACGAAAACAGCCGCCGCCAAATTTGGCACAGCCTATGGGGCAGCCTTTTTACATTGACCTGGAAATTTCAGGTCCGGGTGACCTTGGGTCAGGTCACCAGGTCAGAAAGTCCGGTACAAGGTCATGGTCAAATTTCAATTTTCTTTATGCACCTGTCCAACTCACAGTTTTTGACTGATTTCCTTCAAACTTTGTCTATGGGCTTCCCCATAGTAAAAATGGCGAAAAATCTTACCCTCGAAAACATGAAATAAGATACCTAAATATAGGCTAGCATATACGCAAAGCACTTAAAGGGACCCTCCCACCTTCAAAAAAGTTAATGAATTGGCATAAAAGTGATGTAGCGTGAATCACAAAGAGCGAAAATGAACATCTACCAAATTTTACCGGAAAATATTCAACCGTTTTCGAGATATAAGACTTTTATTTTTGTTTACTTTATGGGAACTCCGCTGTTTCTATGACGTCACAAAAAGTTTTCTTTACGTCGGCATTTGGAAGCAATAATTTGGTATCAAAGTGCGACAAATATTGCGCGAATGATGCGTTTATCTTATCAAGGTCAATATATGATGGCCAACAAAGGATTCCAGGACAATTCTTCTTATGGCATTTTTTCGTATCGCAATTCTTCGTCTGCAAATCTTCGTCAGGGCATTTATTCGTATCGCATTACTTTGTCTCGCATCAGGGTATATGAAAATCGGCTCGCATTTCTTCTTCAACGCAAATATATGCAAGAGTAAGCATTGATGGACAAATAAATGCACCGACGAAGATTTGTAGACGAAGAAATGCGGACGAAGAAATGTCATGCGAGGATTCGTTCGGGTACCATGACATTTATGTGATTTCAAAGTCAAGGTTTACAGCTGATCTGCTAAATCAAGCCAAGAATCCAAACTATCAAAAAACTATAAATATTTGTATTTGTTTGTCTGTCACAGAGGTCTCAAGCAATATAAGGTTGACATATGTTGAATCAAAAATCTACTGCCACAACTCACATCTCCTGCCTTAGTTTATCATTGTTGTTTTAACTTGCTTTTGTGGTGCTGTGGGGCAGTTCACCACATATCAGTGACTGGATTTTACGTTAATCAGAAATGGAGAATATCAACCTGGTGCGTGTTCCAAAAATTCAATCAGTTCGATCCAAACGGCCCCAAGTAAAAGAATTAATTTAAGAGCGGATTGTTATATTTTAAGTTCCAAAACGAAGGCAAAAACCGAAACAACGAATCAGACAATGGAGCGACGAAGAGACGAGAATGAAATCCAAGTTTGCCAAATATGCCCTGCCTAATCTAAGTTATAAATCCCGGACAGAACGGGCCA